GCGAGTATAAAATACGTACTAGGGAATTACGTATACTATTACGTAGGGAAGGTTTACCTCGATCCCTCTTAGGTTTCTAAATATCTCTTAGTATTCCTTTATAATCGACGTACGTAACCGCTCTCTCGCTCTATTAAGGGAGTAATAGAGTACTCTCTCTCTTACCTTATAGAGCGTAGAGCGATACGCTTCTCCTTAGTATATAGGAACGATATTATATTTGTTATAATAGCGTTTAACTTACTATTTAATCTTACTATTTAGTTTATAATTATACCTAAACCTCTATTTTAAGATTATCTTAGTAGTCTACCGACTCTCTCTCTTTAACGAGCTCTAACTAAGGATTTAAGCTTAGTACCCGTACTAAGTAAGATTCTAGGATTAACGAACTAATCCTAATACTCTACGCTAAGTAGGAGGTCTAAGTCGTCGGCGTTATTAATAATTAATATCTACTTACTAGCGGACGGGGAAGATAAATACCGTCGTACGCTGTCCTTAATATCTTCTCCCGTATTTAAAGTCCGATATAGTCCTAGCTATTACGTAATCTCTCTATAAGCTTATTCGAACGCCGCGAAGCTATACTTCGGTACCTAGAATACGGATATATCGCGGTACTTATCGCGGACCGAGTACGCGAATTTAAGCGCTAGTTATATCTTTCCGATACCTCCTAGCCCGACTATCGCTATACTCTAGTAGTCGCTATCTTTAAATAACTTTCGTCTTAAAGCGCGGAGCTTAGCCTCGCGGCCGATAAAACGTTTATTACGGAGGAACGGTAAGTATAACGCTAGCTAGACTATTTATATAACAGTTAAAGTTAGCTAGTACTTAATTTAACGAACGTGCTTATATTAATATATATTTAGGCGTAGTTTAGCTAACTACTTACGGATCGGCTTAAGCTCGTATACGCTTAGTATATCTATAATCCTTAAGAGTTCTTTAGCGTAATATACTATAGTAGCCGCTATATACGGTTACTACCGCTTATTCTTATAAGAGTTAGCGTAATCGTAGACCGCTCGAACGACTACGTACGGAAAGCTGTCTATTAAACTAGCCGCTTCTATTTCGAAGTATAATATATCCTCTATAGTTATAATTTCGTCCCTAGTACGTACGTCCTTAATAATAGTATTACCTAAGGCGATATTACCGTAGTATATCTTTAGCGCCTCCTCTACTCGCTCTTACTAATATTAGACTTTTACGTTATTATACTAATCGTAGCTTCCTCCTTCTAAGTAGTTATAGGAGGCTTCGAAGAGCCTATCCTAGTCGCGCCTTTAATATCTATATTTTGCCTTTATACGCGGGTACTTAGACTATATTTCTTATAGGTATCTTTCTAGCTCGTCTCCGTATCTCTTATATTTAGCTTTTAGACTCTATACTATATCTAGTAGAACTCGAGGCGGTTTATCGAGGCTCCCTATTCGTCGCTATACTCCTCCGGCCTCGACTTTTCTAAAGTCGTAATATACTACTCCGCTATACTATCCTATTAGCTAGCTTACGATTATATCTCCTAGGCGTACGTCTATCTCTTTACTCTATACCCTACTATAGATACCTACTATTAACCCTATCTTAATCGGGAAGCTACGTATTATATCCTTCGCGACTATTATAGTAGAAACTAAGCCTATAATTCTAGCGGGTAAGTAGGCTACTACTATATTATAGTCGTCGATTCTACCGAAAGCGTAATTGTTCTCGTCTCCTATCGCGTTACGTACTCGCGGGTACTCGTTATCTAAAATAGCTTCTACGGTAGCTTTTTCGACGGCGAGAGCGTAGATAATACTAATACTATACGCTTCTCGGCTACGGGTACTACTCTCTATTTCCGGCTATAATAATAAGTTAATTATAGTACGTAAGAGGAGTAATAATTTAGTCGTCGTACGTAATATAGCGGAAAGGCTAAAGCGACGGCTATCGCTACGCCTTTAGCTCTATAGTATATTAAGTAGCTATATAATATATCTTTAGGCCTTACCTTTCCTAAGGTCGTAAATTCTAGTATCTAGTATCGGTATACTTTAATACCTACGAGTTATAGGACTATATTACTTAATATAGTAGGAACTAACTAGTACGTCGGTTGTGTCTATCTCTGTTCGTCGTAGAAAACGAAAGCTACTCTACTTTTTAGCCCTTCTCTAGCTTTATATCGTAAAAAGCGGTAGAGATTAGGTAGCCCTATAATTAGCTACCGATATTACGCTATAGTAGGCGGCTTTACTAAACAGGCTTACTAGTACCGTTCGCTACAGAAGGTAATAAATATGCTCTCTAGAAATAATATCTATACTGCACAGTTCTAATTTGTATATTACACAATTAATGTAGTATAGGCGAAAAGAGACAGTTACTACAATCGCCGATCACTGTACTCCTGCGGAGACCTATAAGTAATCTTTGAGTCACCTCAACCCAAGAACCCCCAAATTGTCAGCATTTCATAAGTCAACATCAAGAGCAGAAAGAGCTGCCGTCATGTCACCTCTAGCTCTAGCGCAGCCTTACATCCCTCAGCTGCCAGCAAAGAGAGAATCCTCCCGCCGATCACCACCCCCTGTCCCCTGCCCGCGGCCCAGCGGCAAAGGAACCACCCACCAAAAAAACGTGGGCAAAAAAACTTTCATCACCTGCACACATCAAGATTTCCATTTTAGGTCCAAGCACTTGAATCCTTCTTGCAAGGAAGATTCGGACATCCGTTAGTTTCGTGGGCGGAGCTGCCAATGAAGTTGGTTTGAAGGAATGGGAAGTTGGAGTTTTGGGAGGGATTTGGGTTTTGTTGGATGGGGGACGGCGTGTGGGCTGGGAGGTTTTGTGTTGGGGGGTTTTGGTGTTGGTTTGGGTCGGGGGTGGTTTGGCTTTGTTCCAGCGAGGTCTGTGGACGACGGTGCTTGGCTAGTGTTGATGGGGTTTGTCGAGTATAGACAATTCTTCCCCTTCCACATCATATCACAGGGTTATGAGATGAAGCAGAAGAATTTATCCCGTAGGAAATATTATTCCACAATCGTTACAGGCAGTGCGTCTCCACGACTGATGGTGTGCGCTCGTGCACCTCACAACAGCATCTCAACAGCCGCTCGTAACTGCCGAAAGTTGACATCCATTAGCTGTGTTACGGTCGAGAGCAAGACATCTTTGAAGGAGGCTGGTCGATGAATCCAAAGAATGTCGAACAAAAGGCGGTCTGCAAGCAAACCGGTTCTGATACTGTGTAACCCCTGACCGCTTATCTTGCAGTGATGCAGGAAGCTTGGAAAGTGCAATTAGCAGTTGATTTAGCCGATGCAAGTCTCTCTCATATGTTTCTTTGAAGTCGTTTCTTGAATTGTTTTTCTTCTCTCGCTCTCAAAGATGACGCATCTAGAAGTTGGTTGTCGTGGCTTTCTGACTCTCCAACGTCGACGCACAGGGGACAACCATGTGTGACAAATACAGGGTACATGAACTAGTTGTGCGACATGAACGTCCAACAGATTGTAGCTCGCGGCCTCCAGGCCAAAGTAGTGCGTTTTTGGTATCCTAATGTGTCTTCATCGTCAAAAACTGATGGATGGGTAGTACTGTCTTCAATCCAATCTCAATTCGTTGGTCGCCCGGAGGTCACAACTAACGGATTGCGCGTTGCACTCGATGTGTTGTCCATGCCACGGGCAGGATCAAACGCCGATGTCTTCTGGTCCTCTCCTAGTTGTACCACCTCGTGGCCCAATTAATACAACCCGTCGACGAAGAGATCCTCCCAAACGAGCTGACTTGTATCCCTGCACTTGTCATCCCCTAGTTGTACGACCTCGACGTCCAACTGCCGCGAACTCAAGCAGCTGATCATCGAATGAAGACGGCAAGGGTGAGCAGGGAGAGGTGGGTAAATCGCGCGCCGTCCCACGGTCCCACGGCCTTCTGTTAGTTGTGCGACTTGGAAGACCACTGAGAAGCGAGGGTTGAAACCGCCGCGCTGCCTAGTGGGTGTTCGCAGGACCATCTGTGATGAGGGATATTTCGAGTCCTCGAACTGTCTCAGAGCGTTGGTCTGTAGCGGTCCGGAATCCGTTCGATACCATCTACTGTGTCGTTCTTGTATGTCGATGGACTGTGAAGATGTTGGGTTTACTAACGTCGTGAACTCGTGGCATCGACTCCAGATTCCACATTGGATACTTGGACGGCCAGTACATCTAAATCCGGTGTCGTCTCCGTGTAGGTGACCTTCAGTCGATTGACATGTTCTCAGAGGTAGAGTCGAGACCAGCGTCTGTACTTCAGCACACATCGGCCCTTCTCCCGAGCCAACCCGGCCGGAAGTCCGCTCTAAAGACCCCATCATCCCAGACTTCCACCATCATCGCACTCTTGGCATACATTCAGCTCCTGTTCACACCACCCTCAGCACCCCTTCAGCCAGCCATGTTCGTGGCGTCAACCGCATGCAGTCAGCCGTTAGCCTCCTGTCTAGTCAGACCACCAAGTCCGCTCTTCTCGAAAACAAGCTCACACAGCTGCAACAATCGCAACATCAGACGCCAGCAGAAAAGTCTGGCTCGTGCTAAAGCAGTGTTTCCCCACGACGTTCTGTGGCTTCGGTATATGCGGCCAGCCGCTAGTTGCCGAGCCGAATGACGCCAGCGAGAAGTGAGGCGGCCGAGGGAGTCTGGTACGAAAACGGCACGTTTCTGGGTGGTGAAAGGGTGGTTTGGAGACTGATTGGAAGGTCCTCGGTTGGTGTTGCAGGACTGGAAGGGAAGCTCCCTGGAGCTGGCGTAGCTTGACTATGCGAGTCGGACTAGGGTGATGCAACTCCGGCGGTCTGCATAAACATGTGCATGTCTCTTTTGCTGGCCTATTTGCTGGCGGATGGCTCTGCTCGTCCGTCTTTTGGAGTTCCTCTCATGATTTCATCCACGGGGTATTGCTCAGCACACCTCAGTTCGTCACTTTCATTCCATTCGCGTGGCAGGACAGCGAAGACCAGGTAGCTCGTGTGAGTCTTGACCTCCGGCACAGTCCTGTGCACCAAGTTGCCCTCCTTGTACAACTTCCTCTCCTCAGCCTCCCTCTTGATCCTATCCAGTCTCTCCTGCTTACTAGGATGCTTTTGACCGGATGCATTCGTTGCCATCTCCTCCCTGTTCGCACTGTTAGTAACCGCTCTGTTGGCATGGAAGTCAGATAGTTTTGTTTCGACCTCCCTTAACCTGGCAATTGCTTCGTCGACGCTGGCGGCGCTCGCATTCACTCCTCGCAGACCTTCTTCTTTCAGACCGACTCGTTCCCGCCGCACGTCGACTCGTTTGTGTTGGACTTCGACCATGTTGATGTCAGTCCAGCCGGCCTTGCGCAAAGCGGAAACAGTGGCCATGACTTGTTCGATGCAGGGTGAAAAGGTGCAGAGGTGGATAGCTGATTCTGGATTCAGAGGAGAACTGGGTGTGGAGCGAGAGAGGTGCTTGAGGGCTTGCCACGGAGCAGGTAGATCGAGAAAGATGGCATCCACAGATGGAGGAGTGTTGTCCTGGAGGATGAATCCTTCATTGCAGACGTCGCGGTGAGTTAGCTCGACGATACCTTCCAAAGCATGGTCTTTGATTTCGTCGCGGAGAGTCTGTACGCGAGGCTCGTGGAACTCATAACTGTAGACCTTGCCCTGACTTTGTCCTCTGGAGAGCTTGGATGAATCGCCTGGGTAGCCACTGAAGACTGCGCGTGCGGCGGCATGAGTGAAGCTGCCACTGCCTGCTCCAGCTTCAATGATGGCGCTTCCCGGTCGTGCTCTCAGCCGTTGCAAAATATAGCTATAGTCTGGAGTGTAGACGACCTGAGTTCGGTGATCCAAAGAGGACGTCCAGGCTTCTGGCGTAGGGGGCAGAATGTGGATGAAACCCGAGCCAGCTTCTATGGGCGGCCTGGCAGTGTCATTCTTGGTACCATTCGGTATTTCACCGTGACTGGGCTTGAACTTCTTGGTGGGAGAAGCAGGGGTGTCGTCAGGCTGTCCATCCGATTTGCGCTTCTTGTTGGAAGACTCTGCCACTCCTTGTTCTTCAGCAGCCTCCTCTTGTTTCTTCGCATTCTTGCCCTTTCGACCCCTCGATCCCGTATCAACCTTACTTGCCCTTACTTGACTTCCCCATTCCAGTCCAATCAGGGTCCTGTGGGGGAACGAGCCAAAGCGCGTGTTCGTGACGGCCCCTTCTGCGTATCCATCGTCGGCGGTCGTCTGGAGCTTGATCGGTAGCAGGTTGTCACGGGTGAGGTGTAGTATGGCGAGAGAATCGGCCGTGGCTGTCGGGGCGGCGTGGAAGAAGGGCGAAGGGCGAGCCATTGGGGGTTGTTGAAGTGACGGGGTCAGTGAGGCTTGCGATTTCAAAGAAAACGGTGGAGCGGCGCTGGCTCCGCGGACTCGCTTGACGATAAGATAAGGCACGTGGAGAAGCATGGGGTGCCCGCAGATCCAAGCGCCAGCGTCTCTCTCCACGATCTCCAGATCGGGGCAGTCGCGGTTGAGACTCGGCGTCGACATTGACGGGCCGAGTGAAGTCGGCATGGAGCTGGACGTCACTTGCTCCGTCTGGTGTATCTCCAATGCAGGAACGACAGCATCTTGAAGAGGCGGCAGCGACGGAGGTGGGGGCGTTCCTGGCGGGCTCCGTCAACGTTTGCGGCGATCTGGCGATGGGGTGCAGCTGCAGCGCTAGCAGCCAGAGCCGCATCACCTCTCAACCGAAAGAGCAGAGCAGAGAAAGCAGCCTCTTCTTTCCTGCTCTTCCTCCTGCCATTGCGGTGCGAATAGAGCCCCAGCAGGCGCATTGCACCGCCAGATCCTCAGATCGCTTGTTTACCTGCTGCTCTCCTCTCCCGTCCTCTCTGCTACCAACATCCCCATCTTGCACCCCTCCACCACCATCCGCCTTCCGAAGCAGCTCATTGTTTCTTCCTTCACTGTGCATAGCAACGTACTGTACGATATTACGACCTCACGACCGGTTCGCCAGCTCGACGTACATAGCCCTTCGAGACGCAGCAGAGAAAGTCGCTCGCGCGCTTCGACCTATTGTCCTTCTACGCCCCGCCGACTTCTCCTAGCCAGACCGTCCCTCCACCGCTCTCAGTCGTGCAGGAGACTCGCTCGCCCATCATGTCTCCCCAGCAGATCAACAACCACACGGTCCATCTGCTCCCGCTCAAGGACGATGGCTCTCCCAACCTGCCGGGCGACCCGCCATACATCTACCTCCCACCGCCTTCTCATCCCGCCTACTTCGTCCGCTTCCAGATCGATGGCATGAGCTCGATATCCAGAGAAGGCAGTCTGTGGACAAATATACCCCACAAGGGCGAGCAGTTCGATCGCACCAAGTTCAATGAGTACAAGTACGCCCCAATGTCCAACCCAACGTTACACAAGATCTGGTACTGACCTTTTCAGGCTCAATCCCAGCTTCACTCATGCTCTCGAAATCGACGTGCCCATTTACACAGCAGGTGCCTTCGAGTTCTACTGCTCCTACACACCGCTTCCGCCTTTTAGCACTTCGCGTGTTGAGACGCCAAAACCAACTCGGACGCCCACCCATTACATCGATGTGGCTCCCAGTCTGCACGTGGAGAACGCACCCCTACCACTCGATGCAATCTCCTGCATTTCAGTCTTGTCCAAGTTCATGGGCAAGTACCCCAGCGACTTCTACCGCCATCTGCACGGAATCAGCGAGAGAGGCTACAACATGGTGCACTTCACTCCTCTCATGCAGCGTGGTGACAGCAATTCACCGTACTCCATCTACGACCAGCACAACTTCGACAAGGGCGTCTTCACCAAAGGCGAGGATGATGTCGTCGATATGGTGCACAAGATGGAGCACGAGTACGGCCTTCTTAGTCTGACGGACGTCGTCTGGAACCACACTGCCAACAACAGCAAATGGCTGGAGGAGCACCCTGAGTCTGGCTACAACATCAACACCGCACCGCACCTGCAGCCAGCATACGAACTCGACAGCGCTCTCCTGATGTACTCGTCTCGCCTCAAGTCGCTGGGCATGCCGACTCACTTGACCAGTGTCGATGATCTTCTCCGGATCATGGATGGTATCAAGACTCATGTGATTGGAGCGATCAAGTTTTGGGAGTTCTACGTTTGCGATCCCGACAAGGATTCGCAAAAGGCCGTGGCAGCTTGGATGGAAGGCAAGGCCGACTTCAACGGCGAGATTCCAGATGACATTACCAACTGGGCGCTGAAGGACAAGGCCGACTGGATTCGCAAGAACTGCTGTCCTGGCACCGACCGCATGGGAGAACGATTCCGTCGACATGTGGTCCCAGAGCGTGCAGCCGCGCTTTTGCAGCATCTGTTTGGCAAATACAACACCTCCATGAATAGCACAGCCGACGAGCGCACTGCATACGGCATCATACACCGCTTCCTGAACGAACTGAATCTCGACTGGTACAAGGAGTACGACAATGATGTCGCGGCGATCATTGAGCAGACCTTCAACCGTGCCAAGTACGTGCGTCTCGATCCCAACGGACCCAACTTCGGCGACATCACGCTCGAGAGTCCGCTCATCGAGACCTATTTCACGCGCCTGCCTGTCAACGACACAACTTCAAAGCACGACCCAGGATCTATGGCGTTGGCCAACAACGGTTGGGTATGGGCTGCCGACGTGATGAAGGACAATGCCGGTCCCAAGTCCAAGGTCTACCTTCGACGTGAGCTTATTGTCTGGGGCGACTGTGTCAAGCTGCGGTATGGGTCTGGACCCCAGGACAGCCCGTTCCTCTGGAAATGGATGAGCGATTACACACAGCTGATGGCGAAACACTTCCACGGCTTCCGCATCGACAATTGCCACTCGACGCCTCTTCATGTCGCCTCATACATGCTCGATGCCGCTCGTCATGTCAGATCAAACCTCGTTATTGCCGCGGAATTGTTCAGCGGTGACGAGAAGATGGACTTCCTTTACTGTCAGAAACTCGGCATCAGTTTCCTCATCCGAGAGGCGATGCAGTGCTGGTCGACTGCTGAGATGTCCCGTCTTGTGCACATCAACTGCGGACGTCCTATTGGGAGCTTCGAGGTTGATGACATCTCTAGTGCAGACAAGCCGGTGGCCAACGGCAATCTCACTAATGGCAGCACACCCCAAGGCCTGGAAATCGTCCACAAGATCATTCCATCCAAGATTCACGCCCTGCTCATGGACTGCACACACGACAATGAAACACCTGTGCAACGTCGTGATGGCCGCGACACGCTTCCTTCTTCCGCCCTCGTCGCCATGTGTGCCTCAGCTGCTGGATCGGTGTTTGGCATGGATGAGCTGTACCCGCAGCTCATTGAACTTGTCCACGAAACCCGGCCATACACATCGCCTTACAGCAACCTCCCTTCAGACCAGAACATGAAGATTGGGCCAAGCGAAGGCACTGGCGGCATCAAGCGCCTCATGAACCAGCTCCACACCATCATGGGCAAGGACAAGTACGATGAGACTTTCGTGCATCACGACGGCGAGTACATCACCGTCCACCGCATCCATCCCAAGTCGCGCAGAGGCTACTACCTCATAGCCCATACCGCTTACCCTGGTTACGGCAACGGCAACGGCGGCTTTGGCCCACAATGGTTGACTGGAACCAAGGCCAAGCTTCTTGGAGCATGGTCCCTCGAATGCGACCAGAGCCACGAGGCAAAGCAAGCCGCCATCAACGACAAGGTCCTGCGTGGTATTCCCAGCAAGACCAAGGACCTTCATGGCGTGACCGTTGAGAGCCGCGGCGATGATACCGTCATCAACGTCGGCTCAAACTTCCCGCCCGGCTCAATCGCCATCTGCGAGACTTGGATCCCCAAGTGCGAGCACAGCGAAGGTCTCGACAAGTTCCTCACATCCGGAGCACGCCAGGCCCTCCAGAACTGCAGCTTGACCGACATCAACGCCATCATGTACCGTGCTGACTCTGAGGAGCGGGCCATGTCGCATGGCGCGGACGGTGCGTACACAGTCCCAGGCATAGGACCTCTGGTGTACTGCGGACTGCAGGGCTGGTGGTCTGTGTTGCGGGATGTCGTCAGCCACAACGATCTCGGCCACCCAATCTGCAACCACCTCCGCGAAGGCCAGTGGGCACTGGACTACACAGTCAACCGCCTTGACAAGCTGGCACAACGTGAGGATGGCATCTACAGTGGTGTGAAACCCGTTGTTGAATGGCTCAAGTCACGCTGCGATGCCGTCCGTGAGATTCCTAGCTTCCTTCTCCCGCGATGCTTCGCTCTCATCATCAGAACGGCCAAGAAGGCGGCGAACGAGCGTGCCATTGAGCAGATGCACCCAAATGTCCAGCACAGCCAGCGCTTCGTCAAGTCGCTTGCCATGGTCTCTTGCCAGGTCCAAGGCTACATGGAGAACGCCAAACTCTGGCCAGACAAGCTCGACCCTTCGCTCGCCGCTGGTCTGCCTCACTTTGCACAAGACTGGGCTCGTGTCTGGGGTCGTGACACGATGATTGCCATGCGTGGATTGTTGACCTGCACCGGGCGCTACACTGAAGCCAAGGAGCATCTCAAGTGTTTCGGCAGTCTGATCAAGTACGGCATGATCCCCAACCTTCTCAACTCTGGCAAGCTTCCGCGCTACAACAGCAGAGATTCGGTTTGGTTCTTCCTGCAAAACATTCAAGACTACTGCGCACTCGCACCCGAAGGCACTGACTTCCTGCACGAGCAAGTTCGCCGCCGCTTTCTACCCTACGACGATACCTGGTTCGCATGGGACGACAAGCGCGCATATTCGCAGAGCAGCAGCGTCGAGGACATCATTCAAGAGTGTCTGCAACGCCACGCTAGCGGCTTGGAGTTCCGCGAGTACAACGCCGGCTCTGACCTTGACTCGCAGATGAAGTCAGAAGGCTTCAACATCAGCATCAAGGTGGACTGGAAGAACGGCATCCTCTACGGCGGCAACCAATGGAATTGCGGTACCTGGATGGACAAGATGGGTGACTCAACCAAGGCCAACAACAAGGGGCATCCTGGCACCAGCCGTGATGGCGCACCAGTGGAGATAACCGGTCTGCTGTACAGCGCTCTCAAGTGGGTCGACGGCTTGAAGTCTGCTGGCAAATTCAAGTACGATGGTATTACCACCTCTGACGGCAACCACATCTCGTACGGCGCTTGGGCGGCGAAGATCCGTGACAACTTCGAGCACCACTACTACGTCCCCGCTGATTCAAGCCAATGGCCATCATACGACGTCAACCCGTCGATTATCAACCGCAGGGGCATTTACAAGGACGTACATCGCTGCTCAAAGGAGTACCGGGACTACCAGCTGCGGCCCAACTTCCCCATCGCCATGACGGTTGCTCCAGATCTCTTCGATCCAGCTCACGCCCTTGGTGCTTTGGAGATCGCCGACAAGTACCTTCGTGGCCCGACTGGTATGGCGACGCTGGACCCTGGTGATATGGAGTACCACCCGAACTACATCAATAGCGATGACAGCGACAACTACCAGACGGCCCACGGACGCAACTACCACCAAGGACCCGAGTGGCTATGGCCGACGGGTTTCTTCTTGCGTGCCTTGCTCAAGTTCGATCTCATGCGCCGCAAGACCAAGGAGGAGAGGGTGGAGGCGTTCCAGCAGGTCACGCAGAGACTGAATGGATGCAAGCAGATGATCCACGATTCGCCGTGGAGAGGACTCACTGAGCTTACTAATTTCAATGGGTCTTACTGTGGAGATTCGGTGAGTGCAGACTCGATGATACTTGATGTTGGAGTTTGTTGCTGACGTTCGAATGTAGTGCCCGACTCAAGCTTGGTCCGCAGGGTGTATACTGGACCTCTACGACGACGCGAGCAAGTACGGCACCGATCTGCCGCAGTAAACCGGGCGACTTCGATCATTCCTGCATGAGTTGTACGATTCTCACTGGCGGCATAGATTGGTTGACGATACGAAAAGTTCTTGTGGGATGTACGGCACCTGGGAAAGGGGAGATGATCGGTGTTTTCGCAAGACCTGATAATGTCTTCTTGTTTCTTCAACCTAAAAGCTACATTGTAGATACCTTTTGTGATCTTTAGATACTAGATGTATCGGGACTAGAATTCCTCCTGTGGTGTTTTGTGCTTCTTCGTTCGTTTGCTCATTTGGAGTGATTGTCTTCTTCAAGATGTCTCGCTGCGATCGATTTTCTTATTTCTCCGCTTCTCGAATAGGGAACGCGAATTCGATGCTGAAGTTGCTGCTCTGTATGCCGGCGGACCAGCTTTCCAGAATGACTGTTCGTTAGGCCTCAGAAAACGCCCTCATCCTTCGACTCTCTGTTTCTCGACTCCCCAACATTCCAAGATCGATAACCCTCGCAATCACCCAATGATCCACAAACCCTCCCTCCTCCTCCCTCCCTCACGAACACCCCTCCCCACCCCTCCACAACCCCGGCGCCGCCACAAACCCCATAACCACCAACCACAACCCCGTCGCCGAAACCGCCAAACACAGAAACGCCTGCCGCCGACACAACGCGCTGCTGTAGAGGATCTTGGCGCTGCCGATGAGGAAGGGGAACCAGAGGAGGAGATGCAGCCAGGGCGTGGCGCTGAAGGCCAGCGAGAGGAGGAGGGCGACGGCGATGTTGAGGTGGATGTAAGTTGCTAGGAGGGCGGTGGTTTCGAGGAAGTGGATTCGTGGGGAGGGTGGGTGTTGAGGGGATTGTTGTTGTAGCGGTTGTTGTTGGTGGTGGTGGTGGTGGAGGAGGAGGAGGGAGGAGGTTGTTTCGGGGTCTTTGGTGTTTGCTGCTTCGATGTCGTTGTGGGAGATGGGGGACATGCTGATGATCGATGCAGGCTTCCTGGTTTGGATTTTTCGTGATTGGTCGATGGAGACAGGAATGTAGCGTGTTGCGTCGGTGATGATACTGCGTTGGGAAGGGCGGCCGTGTATAAGAGGTGAAAATGCTGGCGCGGCTGAAGGAGTTGCAGCTGCAGCTGTCGTTACACAGCAATGTATGACAAGGGCCCTTGCTGGATCCACCCTGCGCAACATAGTGACCGGGTTTCCTTTTTCATGCCTTGCAATGAGGTGGATGGCATCGTTTCATTGGCCTCAGCCGAAGCAGGACTGCGAAATTGGGTCATGTGCATATAGCTGCGTGAGCATCCACGCCACGCTAGTGTTGGATACGCCGTCGGCGAGCTCCAGCCAGTGTTGATTCGTTACACTCGAGTCGTTGACCCATGCGTTGGATGCGTTTGGTGAGGTTATCGAGTTGTACCCGATGGAGTTGGCGTAGGTAAACGGCGATTTGAGACCGAGGGAGGAGAAGCCGTCGAGGCCTAGGATTCCGTACAGAGTGGTCAGGGGGTCCCAGCTTTCTCTGAGTGTACTGCAGCGGCCGTTGTACCATTCGTATGCTGCGAGGATGGGGGAGTCAGATGGGGCGTGGTCCCGTAACTTCTCCCCTGAGATGACGTTCAGCCCGAGTTCGAAGCCTAGATAAGTGGTTGGAATGTCGCGAGGCCAGTCTCTGACGACCTTTGTGGTGGATGCTGGATCAAAGTATCCGAAGTTGTACTCCCATCCCGATGGGTACTGGCCTCCCATGATGACAAGCTCATGGACCTTGGACGAAATGAGGCCAGGCCCATCGGTAGTGCTGAGAAGGGCGGCGAGGTTGTTCAGAAAGCCAATTGAAACGATCGTCAGGCTGTCATTGTCCGCGGAATCCAAGACAGATTTGTAGAGTGACGCTGGCGTCATGGTCTGGTTGGCACTCTCCAACGCTCGAGGCCAATTATAAGCGATCTTGCTGGCATATTCGCTTCGGCTGGGCATCACTTTTAACCCTGATCCTCTGATGGATTGAATAGTACAGACTCACTAAAACATCGAGTCATCGAAGAATGTCTCGTTCGTCAATGGCCTGATAGCTGCGATGGGGATATCTCCGTTGCTGTAGTACGTGTTGACGACCTACTTCTAAGTCAATAGTGAACACTGTAAAGATCGAGCCCACTCACACTAGCTGCTAGGGCTCCGTAATGGGAATTAGTATCGATCATGACGGCCTGCAAATCACAAAGCCCGCAGTTGTGTAGAACGTTGGCAATCGCCAAAGCTCCCATGTCGTCGACATCGTCTTTGATATCGGTGTCGATGATGATCGGCTTGGCTCCAGATGTTGTATTTTGTGCAGCACCCACGTTAAGGAGCTGAAGGCTGATCAGGGGCAAACGAGATAGGAAGAACAACATATTGGGCAATGAGAGGACATGGAGACGAAACGTAGATATCGGACATTCACTTGCCTTTTACATCGGCCAGTTGTGACGTCACAATGGAGATCGTTCGTTGGCCGTCCCCATGGAGTTGGCCGAAGCGCTCTGCGACAGACAGTATGACCCCCAGCGAGCTGATATCGAAGGTGCGTATGATCAAACGGTATGGACATGATCCCGGCGAGGTTGGTGGTTGTTGCTGCGGTGAACATGTTCTCCAAACTTTGGGTGCTGACCGTTGACCCATGTGTCAACCACAAGCGAGCCAATCACATGGCAATGCCGACCGGTAGCTCCCCAGCCCGAGGGACCTCTTCGACCTCACCTCCGGCTGTGCATCATTGATGGACAACACCTGAACAGCGCTCTCTACGTCGCCCGACACCCCGGCGCATACGAAACACTCATGTCGCCTCACCGCATATAGCCATGTACCGCACCAATGACCCCCGTTTCCGCCGCCGTCTCCACGACATCTCCGCGACGCTCGAGTCGGCCAACGAATCCGCCCAGTCCTCGCTCTACATCTTCGGCCAGCGCTATGTGCGACCGTGCCTGGACTCCGTCGGCTCGAGCATCACTTCTTGTGTCGATGCGTCCTGTCCGTCGTTGAACATCAGCCAGAACCAACGCGAGCGCGATCGGAGACGCAGGCAGAGAGGTCGCGGGAGGGCCGAATTGAGCTTTGACTTCTACGATGATTGGGATGATGAGCTGGAGGGCGAAGGATGGGGTTGGGGCAATGATGAGTTCGATCGATTGGTCGGCGCTGGTGGGAGTGCTGGCTACGGCACTGTAAGCAGCACAACGCAACAGCCTGGCAGACAGAGAGGGATGAGCTATCCCAAAGGACGACGGAAAAGCGCTGTGCTGCCAAACGACGGTGCACCAGCAGGCGCGGTAATACCAGGCTCGGGCGGTTTCTGGAGTAGGCTCTTTGGTGGGAAGCCTGCGCGCTATAAGCCTTCGGCCGCCGATCTGCAGGAGCATCCTGGTGCCAAACGACACCGAAGAGATCGTACGGAAGGAGAAGCGCTGCTGGACGACATTGACGAAGATACCGGTCATCGCACGCATCGACGAAACCGTAGTGGGACCCAAGGTACCACTGCCTCGGAATCGAGCCTCAGCAGTCGCGGTGACTTGTTCCCGTCAGATGAGGAAGACGATGCGATTCCCTTGGACGATGAGTTCGCAATGGTGTTAGAACGAAGAACAACGCAGTCAGGTAATATGAGCGGCGGGGCTTCAGGTCAAGAGACGGAAAGCGCAAGCTCTGGCAAGACGAGAGACAAACGCGGGAAGAGACCCAGTGCGGGCAGTAGGACGAGCACAAGACGAACCGCGTCTTCAAGAAGTCTACAAAGCTCAGGGGTGCGGAAAGATTCTACTAGGAGTAGGACAGGAAGCACTGCCTTACCGATTGATGAAGATCAGGGCCAGGAGGACGCAGAGCCGAGCTTGTCTTTCGCGGAGCTTAAAAGCGAGGAGAGGCGAATAAAGCTGGAGGAGGAGGCGCAAGTCCATCGAAAACGAGCGGAAGCGAAGAGACTGGCCCAAGAGCGCGGCCTGGCGGAGGACTTGTCCAGCAAAGAGGCAACACCTCACCCAGGAACTTCACCGCAATCAACACCTGTCAGCAGAAACGACGAGCCCAGCCAGCTACCCACACCACTGGCGACAGACGACGAAGAAGGTGAGGCAGATGCATGCAAGAACCAGTCTACCGCACAAGGAGACAAAGATAAAGATACCCAGCCTTGAACAAACCGTCAAAGGCAGCAGGAGGAAAATTCGAAACTTTTTAGCGTTCAAAGCGTCGGCGTTTTATGGGAGAGAGAGCAAGAATCGACACCGCTTAATATGCGCATGGTTCGTCGCAGTTGCATTGATTTCGGCTTGCATTCATCGATGAGAGAGTATTCGTATTCGACAGCGCTAGCTATATGTAGCATCACCAGCAGCAGCATCAGCGTTGCTATTGTGACAATATCAAAAGCCAGCAGCAGGCCAGCATGCTTGCTACGACGAGCACGGGCGTCTTCATCTTTCTTTTCGCTGCATGTCATGCTGAAGCATTGATACCGCACACAGCTTCCCATCCTTCTTTGGCGCTTTCTGCGAGGCTTTCCGAGAAGAGTTTGAGGCTCTCCTCCCCGAACAGCTCGAATGTAGCCTTGAGTCCGTCGTGTTTGGTGAGGGTTTCTCTCACATTCCCGGCTTTGATGCTCCTGCTCTGCTCCCTCGCGTGCTTCTGCAGAGCATCGATATCTTTCCTCGCGGTTTCTTGTAGCGAGGCGACTTCCATGGTGGTGTGTTCGGCGTGTTTCTTGATGTAGGTGCATGCTGCGATCACGATGCGGAGGGTGTCGAGGTAGAGGTAGTGCTCGCTGAGGTGCTCGGCTAGAATGTCCGAAGTTGTCATGAGGAATTCGATGTGGAGGTCTGCGACGGCCTTTTGGAGTGAGGAGATGGTGTCTTTGGTGGGTGAAGTGCCGGCTTTGACGTCTATGAGGATGCTGATGGTTTGCTGGGAGATGACGTTTGCCAGAGTCTTTGCGGGAGATTTCGATGATTCCAGCGAGGATTGAGCATCCTTCAGGTTCTCGGGGTCAAGAACGAGAGCAGGCGGCTTTCCTGTTGCGAGACACCATGCCGTGTCCGCGGTCAGGTCGGACAGCAATGATGCCTGAGCTGATGGGTGATCATTTTCGGGAAAGATGGCCTTCTCGACATTGAATCCGTAGTCGAAAGTAGCATTGAAGTCTCTGTTGTCGATATTGGTGACCCAATTCGCCACGACCCTCGGGCCCACGTCGCTGACATTCTTGCTGATGCCCTTGCCTGTCAAACGTGCTATCCGGCGATGCTCAAGCAGGATCAGTCTCCTCACGAAGCTTGATCTCAGATTGACTCTGAGCTCATGCAAGTCGAAGACCATGCCTGTCTGCGAATGCTCGAGAATACCCGCTTCCGTATCGGCAAGCTTGTCTTCATGCCGTGGGTAGACGCCTAAAGCCTTATGTGTTCGCTCATGTGGCTCGAACCAATCTCTTCCTGGGAGCTGGGTCCAGAAGGGATGTGTGATAGAGAGGCCAGTAAAGATTGAGTGACCGACAGTGTCGTGCTGGATCTCCTTGACGTTCAAGCTGTCGAAGAGTCGCATGGCGAGACTTCCAAGATTGAGGCGCATATAGAGATATACCAGTATCAGTCGAGCCTCGTGTATATGCTCGTTGTGTTTAAGCAGTCGCTGTGAGAGGAATGCGGCCTGCACAAGATATGCCGTGTCATTCGTTTCTGCGTAGAGCTTTACCAGTCCAGAAACAGCGAGAAAGCACGCATCTGCCGCGCCGCGATCTCGTCCTCCAAGGTTCAGCGACGATATCGAAGTGTGGAAAAGGCGGATCGAGTTGGCTACAAAAGCCATCAGCACATCCTGTGATGCCTTTGCTTCGATCAATCTCGCAAATTCATCCTTCAAGACTTCGACTTCCGATTCCAGCCATATTCGAGGGTTGACGTGCGATGGTTCGGCTTTCTCAACTTTTGTGTTCCCGTTCAACTCGACTTTTTGACTCAGCTGGAGCGCCTCATAGACCTGCTGACTCTCTCGAAACGCTGACCTCTCACGGATCGTCTCCAGCTCTGTCGTAGCTCCCTGTCTCGCAAAAATTTGTCCAGCGACCCTGCAGTCCAGAGCTCGATCATCATCAAATTTGTCTGCCACGGCCTTCTTCGCCAAACCCAATGCCAACCGAGACTGGAGGTCATCTTTGCTGGTCGACAAGAGTTGAGTATATGCGGCATGGGCCATGTAGATTGCTCGATTCTTCGGCTGCACCGACTTCAACGCTATGAGAGATTGCTGAGCGTCTTGTATCCGGTCATCAACAACAGCCCTCGAGAATCGCACAGTCAGGAGATCCAGTCTGTAATTCGCTGAAGTGTTCGCTTTGAATGCATTGTCCCACAATTTGGCCACCTGAGGTCCAGCACAGTTTGGTCTCGGCCACACATCTTTGTTGCCATCAAAGACAGCAGCTTCTATCGGTACCAGCTCTCGGAGATCTTGGATGGGTGGCTGAATGGCCAGGAGTTGGTCAAGGGTCTCATCGGATTTGTTCCCGGAAGCAGAGAGAAGCTGTAATTTCACCAGGAGAAGCTGAAGATCTTTTGGGCTGCGTTGAAGAAGTTCATTGCAGCGGTTGATGCCCTCGGTGTAAGCTCCCCTCTTGGCGTACTCATCGAAGGTCGGATAGCGGGCCATGTTCACTCGATCCGGTTTGGTCAGGCAGAATGATCATGATGTGGAAGGCTTCATGCGTTGCTGAAGGCGCTGTCCCCGACAATGTCCAGATCGGAGCTCGTAGACAATAAGCCAAGACAGAGTGCTTGAGGCTTTGATGCAGACAGGTTGCCAAAGTTGATCAGTGAGTGTCTCTCGAAAAGCTCATATGTCTGGTGAAAAGACGCTAGGGCTGAATCTGAATCTAGCCGCCACGGGCCCCGGGCCGATTCACAGACCGATTTGGCAGGGGTCCGCTCGGCGAAGCACATGCCGTGTAAAGCTGGCCTCAAGGGACTCTCAATAATTGCCTCGTTCACCTTACACTGTCCAGGACGACTGAAGCACTACCTCACAACTTGCTAGCTCCTACAATCCTCACAGCAAAATGGTTCGTTCACTCCTCCTAAATGCTGTTCTTCCAAGACCAAGAGATATCAGAGCTATCTACTAACCCGCTCGCGTGCTCCCTCCAGGCCCAAACTCCCCAACAACGTCGCGCCAATGCCGCCTTCGCACGATCAGAAGAGAAGAAGATGGGCAAGCCGCAAACCAACGTGCCCGGCAAGAAGGAGAAGAAGGAGAAGCCTCCGATAAGTCCCTTTTGGGTTTGTACGTTTCCATCAGAAAGAAGACAAACGGATACTGGGTCGTGGAGATGTAGGGACTGACATGGGTGACCTGACAGATATGCTCATCTTCGTCGTCTGCGGTGGGGTCCTCTTCGAGCTCGTACGAATGATTGTCGGTGCCGGATCGTCGTTCTTCTAAGCCGGATACCTCTCGAAAGTTGCGAGTCTTTGGTCGTTCGTTTCATGGTTTGGGGCATCAGCGGGCGTTCACGGGATTGGGTCATCACGGCCAGAAAGGATTAAATCCCCAGAGACGGCTTTCTCTATCAAAAGCGATTTGGCGAGGGACGGCAGCAGTGTGACAAATGGGACACGAGCAAGATCTGAGAGACGTTTTGGCTGGATTTACACTATATCGTGACTGCACGCTCAACACGGAGCAGCAGCTACTACTATGACTTGGCTTTTGACTTGCGCTTCCTGCTCTCGCCGTTGGCGTTTGGTGGGATCGCAGAACGGAGGGATGCTTCAGCCTCATCCACTTGTTCCTGTTCCTCACCCTGGCTGGCTTCCCAGGCGACGTGTTCTGGCGTCTGCTTGTTGAACAACTTGCCGAGGGAGCTGTTGTATAGGTGGAGTGGGAAGCGGACCAGGAAGGTATCGTTGATGGTCGGTGCTGGGACCTCATCGGGCTGGACATTATCAGTAGCTGCCAAGTGTCAATGGATGGATCAGGTGCACTCACGTCGAGCAAGAATTCCTGCCTGTCACCCTCTTCAGTCTCCTCTTCCAAGAACACATTCCCAACACTGTCCACGATTAAGATCTTGCCATTCTCTGCGACGGTCCTCTTCTTCGCTCCCACAGGTCCAGAGGTGACCTCAGCTTCCTGAGGGGTAGAAATTCCAGACGTTCTCGCCTTTTCTGCTGCCCTGGCGCTCTTCACACCACCTTTGCCCTCTTTCTTCTTCTCCTTCTCCATCGCTCTCTTCTGCTTGCGGTTCCACTGCATGCTCTCTTGCTCGTCTCCCGTTTGTGGGGTTGATGTACCGCTTGTAGGTCCTCCCAAACCGGGAATGGCACCGATGCCACCTTCATCACCCCATGCCATTCGACGTGCATGCTTGATGTATCGCTCCACGAACTCACGCTGTCGCTTCCAACTCAGGTAAAGAGCAGCGTAATGCACACCTCCACCAACGAAGATGAACAGGCCGAGAAGCACCGAGCCCAGGCCCGGTCGGAAACGTTCATAGTAGTATCCAGTTCCTCTCCACGTAGGGAAGCCATTTCGCAGGAAGTGGTCGTACCTGTCTCGACCTTCACTTCTCAGCACTCCAACCACGAGACCCAATACTTCAAAGCGCTTCTCGGCTTCCTTGGTGAACTTGTTGATCTCGCTCTGACTGGGCTGCTTGTTCTTTTGCACATGCACCGTCGGCTTGGCGCCGGCTTTGGGAGTGACTTTCTTTGGCTTATTGTAGTTGGACAGCCAGGTGCTGCGAGCCTTGTCCGGATGCAGCGTCCGTGACAGCTTTCGGTAAGCCTTGTTGATGTCGTCTTGTGACGCCGAGGGATGGATGCCGAGGAAGGAGTAGAAGGTGACATTGGAGCCTTCGTGGGCTACGACTTCATCGCGCAGACGAAAGATTTCGTGGTCCTCCTTGGACCAGGCGGCGACGAATGCGGTGAGGGCGAGGACGAGCAGCAGCAGTGACGCTGGCCGCGAGAGGACCCGCATTGTGTGGGATTGGGTGGACGAGGTGGTGTTTCCGGCAAGGTGCAGCGGTGGAGGAGGAGGTTTTCTGGCAGGGCAGCAAATCCCACAAATTAACGCAGGCTTGGGCTGCAGCTAGGGGAAGCTACGTGGACGCTCAACCGCCGATGATGTGCGTTGGCGGGCTGCATGAAAGCCTACAAGAGGGCGGGCGGAGAAGAGTCGTGTGAGTCGTCTCCCTCCTCTTTCACGAGTTCATTCACCTACCCTTCTGGAGCAGCATTCCTATGTTTCTATTGATGGCTGTTTGCACGTGAAAAGGAGCCCGATTCGGCCGCTAAGCCCGATCCCGCCATGGCGTAAAGCCAAACGGCATCCCTGGCGGCGATCGCGTTCAGCAGCAGGCGGAACCTTTCAGACGCACCCAAAGTCTCCCATCCTCTCTGCCTCCTGCCCCTTCTCGCACCCAGCATCACGCCTTAAAGGTCCTTCGACAGTCGCACGTTCAGCTTCGGTAAGCCTCCATCGCCCCTGCCTCTCCTCTGCGGGCTTCGTCCTGCTTCCGCCCGTCGACGGCGACTACTGCACGCTGCTGCACGTGTCGAGTCGCATACAGCAGACTGATGATTATTTCTTCACTCCAGCTTCGACACCCTCCCTCCCATTACCACGGACGACAGCCCCGCGCCCACAGCAGCCATGTCGCGCATCAACATTCCCCTTGACGCCATCACGAGCCGTCTCAAGTGAGTATCCCTCACAAGTGAAGAGCCACTGCGCGCACACACTGATATAAACCCCCTTCAGCCTCTCAGGCCGCTTCGATGCCGTGCGCAGCCAGTCCATCGGCACGCGATTCGCCAACCTGCGACCCATTAGCGAGTTCCTCGATATCAAGCGCATCTCCAAGCCGGCCGACTTTTCGATGGTGCAAAACCGCGTCAACTACAACCTCTCATACTTCTCTTCCAACTATGCGGCAGTCTTCGCCATGCTCAGCATATACAGCTTGCTCACGAACTTGACCCTTTTCTTCGCCCTGATGCTCATCATCGGTGGTATGTACGGGATTGGCAAGCTCGAGGGCCGGGATCTGGACGTGGGTTTCGCACGTGCCACTGTTTCCCAGCTGTACACGGGACTCTTCATTATCTCGGTGGTACGTATTGGACAGGGTGACTCGAGCGCGTGGATATTTCTGACTTGTTCTTAGCCGCTCTTCTTCTGGGCGCGACCCGTTGCCTCGATCCTCTGGCTCATTGGCGCGTCAGGCGTCACCATCCTGGGCCATGCCGCACTCATGGAGAAGGACGTTGCGGCTAGTTTCTCCGAAGAGGCGGTCTAGGTGGTCGGCCGCGCACTCTTCGCCCTATGAAATGGGAAGACCACCCGGGGCTCACAGCGGGAATAGGCGAAGGGCGTATCCGCAGGACTGGGAGCTTCGTGACGCGCATGCTCGATATCCTGAGCGTTTTGAAGAATTGGATAGCGAGGAAGATGACGGGCAAGGCGTTATTTTGGATCCGCATGGTTATGGCGTGAGGGACACTCGCCCGCGCGGTTTCGCGGGCGATGCCTTGTATTTTGATGGGTACGATCTGGGACGGGATAGAACATCCAGGAGGGGCATGTACGATGATGCAGGATATGATGATTACATTTCGGAAGAAGAAGACTATCTGGACCAGAGAAGCGCGGCATATCAGACAGCAGTCAGGGACAAGGAGGAATCATTACTGCAGTCGGCACTGGATCGCATTGCACGGGCGAGGGTGAAGGGCAAGACGAATGTCAACTTGTCGCAGGATGAGATGGAGGCTCTTGAGCGCAGGCGAAACCAGCAGCCGGAGCCTGCGTCGACCCTTGCGTCGCCGCCCGCCACACCTGCCAAATCGAAGGTGAAAGCCAGCAGTCGCACGAGCAGTGCCAGCAGTTTGACCAGTCAGAAGACACGGAAGAAGAGCAGCGGCGGGATCTTTGGTTCGCCGGCCAAATCCAACTCGAAAGCCAAGGTGCAGAGGAAGAGCTCAGTGGAGCACGCCCCGGCGTATGCAGGTGGTGCACCGCCACCTGGGATCATGGTGCCTGGGCCGAACGGCGTTCCTGTCTACGCGCCGATCTACTACGGGCCTCCAAGCCCAGAGTTTGCACGATCTGGACGTTCGCAGTCAGGTGGTGGATCAAGGTCTTCCTCCAAGCACAGTCGACGAGAGTCAACACCACCGGAGCAGTTTCCACCAATGCCTCCTCGCTACTATCCAAACGGCGTCTCGGTACGACCAGAGTCTCAGGGCTCGAATCGTTCACTGCCGGACGACGTCGACTGGTATCCTCCTCCACCTCCATCGCGAACACGATCAGCCTCGAACGCGCAGTACGCAGGCTATCGAGGACCGCCACCAGAGGACTACGACATGGCACCGCCGATGCCTGCAGCGCAAGGGCGGCGCCACGCCAGTGGTCCGCCTGATGTGCGGTATTCGAACCTGCGTCGCGCACCTCCGAGTTCCTCTCCTTTGGCGCAAAGGAACGCCACCCCTGGTCAAGGAAGTGGTTTGAGGAGGGTGGAGACGAGCAGTTCGAGTAGCAGCGATGATCAAGGCGTTCAAGTCGATATTGTACCCGACGAGAATGGTGGGTATACGGTCAGGAGCGCACCAGCTGCTGCTGCACCGGCACCCGTGCCTGTGAAAGAAAAGCCGTCTGGGAATGAGACGAGGAAGCGAAAAGGAGGTCGCAGATAGTTGTGTTCTGAACACGTGCATTATTGAGACTTGTTCAGCAGTGTTCCAGAGTTTGTTCCACCTCGTTGTTCCTATCTCCCAAACACGACGTGAAAGAGAGCGAAGACACCATAGTGAGAGCTTCACTTGAGACAGTTCACCTGGAAAGATATTTTCAGAGCTGGTGAGCTTTCCTTCGCTTCTGCAGAAGTGACATAACTTCACCTCCAACGACCGATTCACGAGCATGTGATAGAAAGCACACAAGTGACCTCAGGCAAGCGCGAAGATGGAAGCCTAAAATCCGCTCCTTCCTAATCCGCTCTACACTCGCTTCAAAGAACGCCGCCACTAACAACACCACCTCACACGCAGCAACACTTACACTTGACATGCCCATCGCCGGCAAAGTCATCCAACACCGCCAACATGGTCCTTCCCGCGCACGCTGAGCTCCCGCATCACCTCGTCGCATACATGGAGATCAGCGACACCGAAGACGTCTGCGTCGTCTGTCAAGACCCGCCCTCGGATCCAGTCCAGACCACCTGCGAACACGTCTACTGTCGCGAGTGTCTCGAGACGTGGTGCGACGGCCACAACACGTGTCCGAGCTGTCGCGCGACGCTCTACACCTACGCCACCATCCCCGCGAGACGCTTGATCACGATTCCAGACGGCTTCTTCGACCTCCTCGACTTCGCCGTCTACGACGAAGAGGAAGTTGAGCATCAGCTCGAGCTCTGGGATGGCCTCTTCAAGCTCGGGGACGATTTCGAACCAGTCGACGACGACGACGACGAGATCGAAATGAAGTACAACGAGGACATGCAGGCCACTCTCGTCGGAGTGGGCATTTGGTTCATCAACAAGGTCAACGACGACTACGAGCCGCATCTGAGGGAGGTGTTCAAGAAGGATTGGATCAAGGTAATTCACGCGCTGAACGACGAGTTGCGGCAGCATGACGAGTGGACGGGCAGAGCGAGCATTGTGCGGCAGCGGTTGGAGGAGGCGGTGATGCCGTCGACGGAGGAGCCGAGGCGTGCGCCGGCGCATGTGGACTCGTGGAATTCGTTGGAAGAGGGGGAGGCGTGGTATCGCGAGCACGGCCATCGTTGGGTAGGTGACGGGTGGCGTGAGCATGCTGACCGAATCAGGAAGTTGTTGGTGTATGTTCTTATTTCGCAGTGGTTGTCTTCGGGACACAATTTGTCGGACTCGGATGATGAGCATGCTTCCGACGGTGAGGGCGAGGGCGATGACAATGGCGGCGGCGACGACAAGGGCGGTGGTGACGACAAGGGTCATGGCGACGACAAGGGTCATGGCGACGACAAGTGCGATGGCGAGTGACCAAGGACAGGGGGTTGGACGCTGTTGGATACTGCACAGGTAAAGTATCATGCTTCATCTTCATCCTCTTCTACCTCTTCTATGATCTCTGGCGGGAAGTCCCAATCGTTCAACAAGTAGATGCCTTTCGCACTCCTACCCATCCCACCCCCTCTCTTCTCCGTCGTGGCATCCTCGAACAGTTCCAAGCTGCCATGGGAATCTCTCGCAAAGGTGAAAACCCGGTAGTCCGCATTCTCGAATCTCCGCCGAGTGATACCTGTGCGAAGGAATCCTGCATGGCTGACGATGGCAATGACCTTTTCCGGTCGATCGTATAGCGCTTTCAAACATGCGTCCCCTCGAGCTTGATTCGCTGTCCGCGTGAAGGCATACGGTGTTTTGTCGGATTTGTCGGGGTATGTTGGGTCCACTTTTTCGAAATCTACATCCGGAAATTCTTTCGCAAGAACTTTGAGGTCGCTGCCAGTGTCGCAGGCTGCGTTGGAGTTTTCTGAGAATCGAGTCAGCAAACGACAATTTCCATGGAATGTAGACTGCTCATTTGAAAGAACAAACCTTGCCACATCGCATCGACGTCGACGGGAACGCCGCTCTTGATCAGCCATTGCAGACTTATCTGGGTAGTCTGCAGCGTTCTTCGCATCGGACTGGTGACTATTCGCTCGACTCTCGAAGCAAGAGGACAACTGCTTTTGAGATGCCGTTGCAGATCCTCGCATTGCTGAACGCCGCCATCCGTAAGTCTTGGATCGGGAAGGTCGTAGTTCTGTAAAATATCCGTCAGCATCACTTCATATCAAAAGAATCACCCAAGACTTATCAGTCCTATTATGCCACGCCTCAGCATGGCGAATGAGAAGTAAAGTGGGCGGCATCCTAGTCTTCGACGAACGTAGAACCGGCGGCATGGACGACGAGGGACAGGATCAAGTTAAAGCATGTTGTTTGCTGAGTCGATGCTTTGAATAGCGGCCATCCATGCGTGCATGCGTGATGCGTGAGAGGAAGACGATGATCACCCGCTCACCGACCCCAACCGCCAAACGTGGTGGCCTCAATGGTGCGCGCGGGCGCAGCTCGATTACGTCAGAATCGTCGCCCTATGCTGGCTGGTTGCGCTCGGCGAGTGCGAGCTGGCATTGGGCTTTGTACGAGGACATAGGCAGCCATATTCTTTTCGTGGAAGAGCAGAAGACGTCGGACGAAGGTTTCAGGGTGGAGATTGGCATGGCGATGCACTCCATGGGTCCCCAGCCCTGGGTTGCGTTGGTATGGACCGGGGTTGTGATTGGTTGTGCTGACCTCATGCTAAGACCTGAGCCTCAATGCTCGTCCTTCCTCCAACTTGGCGTATGGTGAAGGCAGCCTGAAGTACAAATGCTTGTAGAGAGACTGAAGAGTCTCTCAAACCAATGGCGCCATGCTTTGCTCTGTTTCATCGAATGGCCGTGCGAAGCTTGGGAAGCAATACTGGCCCAGAAGGTCGTCCAACGAGATATCAACGAGATCGAACGGCGCCTGCTCCGTCGAAGGGGTTTGTCTGAACACAGTGCTCCTCGAGTGAGAGGACAACAGCTTGCTGAGTTTGCAAACTGAGTCCATATGAGGCCAGATCTGTGCCAGTGCTTCGATGGGTCTGAGCAGCCGCTCGAGTTGAGTGTGGGACGTATACGCCCTCATACCAGATGTCGTCGCCTCGCTCGTCACGATGGTGTGTGTCAGGTGTATGGCAGCGGCCAGGAGAGGAGTGCAGGCGTAGTAGTGTAAGTGGCCAATGGTGTTCTCTGCCAACATGGTCTCGAAGGATACCAGAATCGTTGATACAGCTTCCTGAGCAGCGGAGACCGAGTCTGCATCAGGCTGCTCTCGGGCACGGTGGAGCATGAGCGTCAGCAGGCTGTGAGTTATGCGCAGTTGGCAAGACCAGAAATCTATTGTCGAAGGTAATTCGGCCGCAAGTAGTACCAACTGCTGATCAATCGCCGTCTCTTCTTCAATGACAGACAAGGTGCCTGGCGCAGCTAATCGAATGATCTCCAGAGCCAAGACACATAGCCGAGCATCAAGAATGCAGAACTGGGGGCAAGCGAATTCGTCAGTGCTGCCGTCACCACAGAGGAAATCAGAGGGTTCGAGCGCCGTCTGGTCGAAGTCTTCCGCTCTGATTGCTGGAGGACGTCCATATTCCAAGGCAGTGAAAACTTCGAACCGTAGCGTCGTCCACCAAAGACGACGATAAAGTCTTCGGTCGGCGAGAGGCATTCTCGATGCAGAAGTGTCAGAGAGATCGCGATGCATTCCTAGCCCGAGAGCTATACGTGTGGACAACCCAGTCCAGTAATATGGACCATTGCTCACGGAATCGGCGTCTTCGACATGCCATGTCATTAGCAAGGCAGACTGCACCAATATGACACGATCATTCTCATGGCGCATTTCAAATAGAGCTTTAGCGCGTCTGTAGAGAGTCGATGTCATTTCAGCTCTCGAAGCAACCACTTCAGGATGTGTCGACACGCGAGCAGCGGCCAGCAGCATGCATTGTAGCAGTAGCAATGGCGGAGACGGATTCGCAGACGCATACTGTGCCTGAAATTCCGCAGCATCGACGATCGGCAGCCCAGGATGGATACATGTGAAGTATGTGTCGACCAGAGAATCCCGTATGTGACGTGGCGGCAGGCTACTAAGATCTCGAGCACCGGCCGCCGTCAAATACGCACGACTCGCTGGGTTGGGCTCCCAGTCCAGACGTGGCCTGATGGATGGGAAAGGCAGATGAAGAGCATGACTGGACGGTTGGACAAGCCGGTTGAGGTTGGCGATAGCACTGCCCGTGTAGACGATCCGTAAAGGATCTTTGTCCGGTGCCCGTACGAACACCTCCCAGTCAGAGCCAATGCCGCGCTCATAGAAGTCTTTGAGCGAGTCTGCTGATGCCAAAGAGGGACGGGAAACCGAGACTGGACTCTTCCCAGTGAGTAGGGCTTTCGCAGGCGAGGTTGCAGGCGTGGCTATGCTGCCTGTGGGTGCCGATTCGTTGTTACTTGTGGCACTTTCGGTTCTTGGGCGATGGCGTCTATCCACACGGTAGCCCTTTGACGTGGCCGAAATGTCTTGATCAGGAGTGGCGGCACAATTCCATCCGTGTCGACGACAAGCGCTGCAAGGCTGCTCTGCCCCGTCAGATCCTAGTCGGTCACAGCGGATCTTCCGCTTCTTGCATGGCGCACAAGCCGTGTTGGATTTTCGCCGAAAGTCGCCTTGAATCTGCATTTCCATTGAGGATTCTTCGGGCCCTTCCTGTGTTCAGACGTTGAAGGTAGACTGGTCGTCGGGCCCGAGAAACATGAATGCAGTCGAGCTTGCCCGTGGTCGGCAAACGGCAGATAAGAGACCAGGATGGGCCAGTTCATGCTTTGCATCCTTCGAACCTCCCCTCTTTCCCCCTCTTTATCACCACCCATACTCTGTTATCAGCGTAGCATTCCGTGTAGCGCGTTACAAAGCAAGCTCGGGGGCTGCATTGCTGATCGAAGCTGCTGTGGGGACACAAAGATGCGCATCGTACGAGAACAGCTGTTCCAAAGACAGGCTGAGGTGCAATTCCATCCACCACTGCAACCACTATGCTGTTTGCTCATAGACTTGCGGATGCAAATGAATGACTGCACACGTCCATGGCTCATATGCTGAGCTCCTCCACTCTAGTAGACATATTCAAACAGAGGATTCTCCTTATCTGTCAGGTCTTCGAAGCCCGTCTCCACTCGGCCGTTCAGCACCTCTTTGGCAGCTTCTCGAGTTGGGGCACGTTTCTTGTTCAGCCAAACAACGTAGATCTGAAAGAGAACGGCGACGACAATCATCCCTGCGAATGTGAAGATACAAGAGCCGATGCCGAGTCCTGTAAGCAGAGGGTTAGTCAAGCCAGTGAAGAAAAGTGCACGCTGTACTCACGATATCGAGGAGGTTTGTTGAAGAACTGGGGGCCGATGATGCTGTGCATATTGATCAGCACAGTGCTTTCAGATAGTACAGTCAGATGGCATACTTCGACGAGCAAAATCCAGCCATGATGAAAATGTTTGTGACAACCTTCTTGGTAAAGCCGGCAGTGTTCGATCCAGCGAGAGCTAACGATATCGCATAACCAGTCGGCCACGCGGTAAACTATATTGAAGGGTTAGTTGAAGATATAGCAGAGTCATACGTATGTCCAACAGACCATGTAGTAGCCGATCAACAATCCTGCCTTATTCGTCAGTGGCAACACGAATACAACGATCGATCCCACCAGAGCGATGATATTCGAGGCGACAATGAGCAGGGATCTGATGTTCTTGTAGTGGATGCAGATCCAGGTGAAAGAAATCATTACCAAGACCTCAAATCCGCCGTTGGGCATTCCGAGCTAGACATAGTCAGTCAGCATCCGCAAGAGCGACGGAGTAGAAGAGCACGAGGACTCACCAAGGTCGTTTGCAACGGCGTAAAGCCGAAATGCGAGATGATCTGACTGCCAAAGGTCGCAATGCTGTTGGCAAGATTGCCGAAGAAGGCGAACCAGAAAAAGAAGTAGCTCTTTGGATCGAGGAGTGCTTCCCGAACTTGGGACCACTTCACGGTATTGTTGTGAATTCCCGTGTTGTTGTCGCGCACCATTTCAACGGCCGCCACCTTTTCATCGTCGCTGAGGAACTTGGCGCTGCCCTGAGATGCCGGGAGGAAGATGTAAACGACAATCGACCATAGGATGCTGATAGCCCCGATTATGAGATAGATCCACTTCCACGGCGCCAGCGCACCTGCATGGATATGGCCTAAGCCATATGCCATGATACCACCAACGATATTGGCAAGTCCATTCGCACTGAACCAAATGCCGACTCGGAAAGTCTGGTTCTCACGAGGGTAGAAGGAGCTGCTGATGAGGATGAATGCCGGATTGACGCTGTAAAAGGTATGAGTCTGTATCTATCACAGTGCATCTTATCTGCGAGACGTACCATGCTTCTGCTGCACCGAGGAAAAATCGCACGGCCATGAACTTCGAGAAGCTATCGCACAGAATGCTTAGGAAGATGATGACGCCCCAAAGGAATCTGATCAAAGTCAGTATATAGTTAGACGTCGTTCTTCTGATCCCATGCACTTACACTGCTCCAGCGATCGTCTGGGCAGGCTGCACATATTGCAACAGACGTGCCACGAAAGGTTGCATGGCGAGGTATCCTTTCTAAAGTCAGCAATGTTTCTCTGTTGGATCGGCTCTGACCGCACCAAAGTAGTAGATGCTTCCCAACCAGGCAAACTTGTTCTCGGTGAGATGCTGCGTGGTTGTAAGCCAAGGGTGTCCCTCAGAAAGATCATGTCTGACAAACCGCATCTTCAAGGAGTCCGAATATGGCCGCGTAGTTCAGCGTTACCAGCTCCAAGAAAGCGATCATCGTGGTGATCCTGTACTCAAAAGTCAGCAACGCCATTAGCTGATACCGTCTTCGGTCGCATCGCCTACGTCAAAATGGGCATCAAGTGCAGGTCAATCTTGCGAAGGACTCGCCGACGCATTGCCGGGTCAAGGACATAGCCGCCTTCATCGCCGCGGTCTTGAAGGATACGAAGACCAAGATCTGCGTCTGCGTGCTCAACTTTCCCAGGGACATCGCCAGGCAGGGTGGTCTCAGAATACGTCCTCTTCTCGTCCGAGATCCTGGTCGGCGTGGCCGGCTGAACTTCTTTCTCTTCACGTGAATTCATAGCCATAGGCACTCACTTTGATGGCAAATTTTGTCGTTCTCTGAAGGATGGTTTGGTGTCAGAAGACAGGGGAGCGTGAAGTCTTGAGTGATATCAGCTGGGTTATAAAAGTCCCAGGACCACGTCTGTCGAGATGAGATAGGGAGGAGCCGTGTGATATCTTCTATCCTCTTGGATGCAACGCAAAGCATCCTGCCCACGCGGCCGAATGCATCTGATCTGCATTGCTCTGTGAGGATACGGTCTGCGGGGATCAGCGTTTGTTTGCATCCTCTGGAGCGGGCCCGACATAATGAAAGGACCCGACCTTTATGTCTATCAACAGCCTGGTAAGAGCCATTTGCAGATAGGCGACGATGATCCTGCGGCAAGGCTCAGGGTGTGGCAGGAAGACATGGCAGTGTCGTCGAGAGATAACGCGTCCAATGCCTCGAGTGGAAGACGCGTTGTCGTCGTGCAGAGTGCACCGCGTAAATCAACCATTAGCCTTCTGCATCCCTGTACGCCGGCCGTATGCGGAGTATTTCACGCCCATATTGAGGTGGAAGGACAAGATAGCAAGACATGATGAAATGTGGTTGGTTTGAAAGTGGAAGAACGGGGCGTGCGGTTGTTGTTCCCTCAACTCAGTCGTGCTGAAGTCTGCCGCAGTGTTCCCAGTTGTACTCCCACTGGACGTGGCTACCACTCTTTGAGATGCAGCCTCATTCTGGACCAGGCCAGTACTCGCCGGGGACCTCATCATACTCAAAGACTTCATCCAACGCCTCGGTCAAAATCCTCATCCCTTCTCGCATCTCATCGTCCGTCAGTACGACAGGCGGACTCATGCGAACACGGTTCTTCATAACAATCATGAGAAGCCCCTTCTGCACACACAATGCTCCAATCTTCCGCGCTGTGACAGGGTAGTCGAGATGGTTCTCGTTGACCCAGAAGCACATATCTGTCCCGCAGCCGACTGCAGAAGTGATGAAGGGGTACTTCCAAGCATCGGCGATTTCTTGAAACCACTTTCCAAGTCTTGCGCCTCGGGCAATGTACTCTGGGTTGTCGATGATGTCGAGAGTGGCATTTGTTGCTGCAATACCCATTGGCGTGAAGCCAAATGTGCAGGCATTTTCGGATGTTCCTACTAGCGACATGCAGTCTTCCGTTCCCAAGACGTACGAGCAGGGATAGATGCCGCCCTGTACACAGTGTAAGGATATGCAGTCTTCAGAAGTAAGGGGTAGCATGAAGTGCTGCACATACCGAGATGCTCTTTCCCATGCAAATCATATCAGGTTTGACGTCTTCGCCAAGATGCTGAAAGGAAAAGAATTGACCAGTCTTGCCAGCACCCTGACGAACTTCATCTGCGATGAACAGAATGTTGTACTTTCGACAAAGATCATACACGGCTGTGTTGGGTTAGCACTGACACATTGAATGACGAATCTTAAGCATCAGCTTACCCCTGGAGTATGCTATCTCGATTGATGTACTGGGAGCAGTCATTAAGTGCGACGAAGGAAGTCGCTACATCAGAGCTTACCACAAGCCGCCATGAAGAGATTCGATGATCACAGCAGCGGTTCTTCCGTGATGGGCGTCCAGGCAGCGAGTAATAGCCTGGATATCACCATACGTCAAGCTCTCCCCCGTACTCGGGTCGACATTGCTCTGCAATCGGTTATCCAGACCGTATCCTATCCCAGGTTGAGCAATCAATTGCAAAAATCCTCAAGATAGTCTTACCACTTCGTTTCGAAGACGGATTCTGCAAATTCCAAACTCCAGAAGTCAGACCGTGGAAGGAGTCGCCGACGCCAAAGACCAGCATTTCATCCACTGCAACGTGTTTGCGCACATTCCCCCATTTGCGGGCGATCTTCGCGGCCTGGTCAGTCGCCTCGGAGCCTGATGTGCCAGCAATCACTTTGTCGTAGCCAAATCGTGTGCATAAGCGCTCGGCGAGTGGACCCCAGCTGGCTGTATGTGTCGCTAGATTGGAGAGCGTTACTGCAACATCGAAGTCAGTCTCAGCTAGAACCACAAAGAGCAAGGGGCCTACTCTGCTGCATCGACTCAGTGACGGCCTGCATGATCTTGGGATTGCATTGCCCTGTATTAACCGCGCTAAACATGGCGATGAAGTCGAGGTATTCCTTGCCGTCAACATCCTGTCTCACGTAGATCAACAAGATGCATATTAAAGTGAGGAGCTGAGTTGTACTTACCCAGAGTCTGCATCCTTTGCCACGAACAAAGAACGCAGGCAATGGCTGGAAGCCACCTGCGCAGTACTTGAGTTCAAGATCAATAAGCTCCTGCGTTTTGGCAGATATGGCGAACTTCTTGAGCTGTCTCTGTGTCTGCGTCCGCGTGGCGGTGATCGTCGTGGTCGACATTGTCAAAGGCACGAGCTGCAGGTAAGTTGTCGTTAACGATAGAGAAATAGCAATGCCTATGTTTGTCAGTACGTTGTGAGATTGCCATGTGGTAGATCACTTGTAAGGTCAGCGCTGGTGGATCGGGCCCGAGCCTCGTCTGCTGTGCACGGCCATATGCAGCAGTGCCGGCACCGAGTTTGATGATTGTGCGACATAGGAGAGGGGAAATTTGAGAGAGTGCAAAGTCGTTCTCCGGGGATTCCACCTTCGAGTAGGCGGTGAACTGTCTGGATTCTCGACTTCACCATGGCACTGCGCCATGTTTGAAGACCTCAGCAATGCTTAATCTTACTACACCGGATTCAAGACGCGGTCAATCACTGCCGTGACTTCAATAGTCTCTTCATCTTCAAATGATCTTCCGACGATCTGCAGGGACATTGGTTGAGCGGCAAGGGTAACAGAATCATCTGCTCAGAAGGTAAGACAGGCGTTGAATAGGAAGAGCCTCTCAGTCACTCACATGCTTCATGAACAAGTGCATCGTACGGATTGCTTTGCAGAGGGTTGTAAGAAGGGTCCTTCGGGTCCTTGCTTTCGGATATATTGAACTCTTCCCACGGTATGGTAGCTGCTGGATAGTCCAAGATGTTAAATAATGAGGTGTAGCCAACATAGCCCGGCGTGTCATGTCGTGAGCCGACTACGGCACTTGAAGGGCAGAGTATCGCATCGATTGGCCTGCTCGTTGAAGTATGGGAGATCGTTGAATTCCACCATTCTGTCATCTGCACCTTATACTTGCCCATTAGGTTGTTGCATGCAAAGAGCTCCGTAACGGAGAGCATCTTGGTATTGAAAGCCTGCAATGCGAATTTCACACCTGCCATCATTTCTTCGCCGGCGGAATCGAGGACAGCCTTGCCTTCTTCGAAGCCTGTCTGGAAGAATAGCTTTCGAGTGGTGACGAGCACTTCCCAACAGTCAAATGGCATGTTGACCGGTATGACTAGATCTCTGATGAGCTCCGTTCTCAACGTTAGATAGATAATAGGGCATACCTTCGTGCCCAGCATCAATCAACTTTTGCGCAGCCTCTTTGAGGGCCCGTTGTATCGGAGGCTGCGGCTTGACAACCCCATCGAACTCCCAGAGGCCAATGCTGAGCTTACTAGGAGATGAGACCTCCCTCCACGGAACAGTCGCGATGCCGGGCTCGTAGCCATACTTTGACGCCGGAGATGCATTGATGAGCTGCGTAAACATCTTCATATCAGCAACGCTGTGACATTGCGGGCCACACGAAACCTTGATAGACAGATTCCCAGGAGCTGGACTTTTCAAACCTCGTCTGGGTACTCGTTCAGCAGTTGGTTTGATCGAATAGTTCCCGTTGTATGCAGCTGGAACTCGAATGGAACCTCCGATATCCGTGCTGGGCGAGATTGGACTTCCCCTCATCGCTACAAGGACGCCATCGCCGCCGCTGGAGCCACCCGACAGCAGACTGCGATTGTAAGGATTGTGAGTCGTTCCCCAAAGGTTGCTCTTGGTTTCCAACATCATGCCGGTCTGCGGCATCGTGGTCTTGGCATGGAAGACGGCTCCAGACGCCCGGAGATGTTTGACGAGGACTGCATCTTTCTCGGCAATCTGGTCATACCATGTCACGAACCCAAAGGTACTTCGATGACCTTGACAGTCCCACATGTCTTTTAAGCAAACTGGTAAGCCATGCAGAGGCCCGAGAGGCTTCCCGGTCTTCGCGAGGTGATCATCCAGGGCTGACGCTGTGCGCAATGCTTTTTCTGGAAAGAAGTCCATGAGGCAGTTTGTCTGTCGTTTCCAGTCAACACCAAATGACCGGATTGGATGATGAATGAATGAGGAGATACCAACTGATGAGCAATAGCTGCTCGAGCGCAGAACGCCTCAGTTACCTCAACACTAGATAACTTCCCACTAGCAAGCTTCGACAAAAGTTCAGTCGCAGTCTGCTCGGTGATAGCAATCTGTTCTGGAGACAGAATGCCGCAAGTCCGAGGAACGTCTACGACATTGGCGTTCTCTGCGAGCTCGAGGTGAGTAGTTGGCAGGCGCCATTTCTTGGGAATGGCGTCAAGCACTCCAGCCTGGGCCCTGAGTGCCACTTCGTGGTAAGCCTTCGACATGGCAGCGAGCGGTGTTCATGCGCGCACCGAGCAAATACCTTGGACATGCGACATCCAGCACTCCAGCTGTTATGCCGGTTCGTATTTACGGCGCCGAATCCACGTGACCCCTCTTTGAAGCCGTTCGTCGAGAGCTCGGCTCCGCCGTGAAAGCATCGTCCTGAATATTCACAAGCGATGCTGATAACAGCGGAAGCAACCAGGCCGACGGCCAAGCAAGGCGTCAGCCTTTTTGAACTGATTCCTCGTCAGTTCAAATCACAATCAACTTTCAAGAAAAGATGTCAGAAGAATTGCAGGCTAAAGCAAAGCGTGCTCAAAAGCGTGTCCTCGATTCCATTCCTTCACGCTGGATCTTGCCTGCCAATGTCAAAGCCAAATTCTCCAAAGGCGATGCGAGATCTATAATACCGGCCAGCGGCCTTCTTACAACTGCACAGATCGATATCATCAATCACGATGCCTCTGATATTGTCCAAAAGTTGGCGGAAGGGAAGTTCAAGGCCGCCGAAGTGATGGAAGCGTTCTGTGCTAGCGCGGCTGTGGCACATCAGGTGGTGAACTGTTTGGTCGAATTCTTCCCCGATGAAGCCATATCCCAAGCGAGGCAGCTTGACGAGCAATTCTCGGAAACCAAAACGCTTGCGGGTCCCCTACACGGCCTTCCCATGGCCATCAAGGACACCCACGATGTGAAAGGGAGGACTACGACCTGGGCTTTCGCCACTTGGCTGGACAGGCCGGCAGCTGATGCAGACTCCTCCACCGTCAAAGTCATGCGAGATGCTGGTGCAATCTTCTTTGCCCGAACGACGATGCCTCAGACGGGGATGGCCCTGGAGACCGTCAGTCCTCTTTGGGGCCGAACGCTGAACCCATTCAATCCGGCGGTTTTTGGTGCCGGCGGCTCTTCAGGAGGGGACGGTGCCCTGGTCGCAATGCGCGGTTCTCCTGCTAGTGGTCTGTCCACAGATATAGGTGGAAGCATTCGTGCGCCGGCAGCGTTCAACGGACTGTACGGAATGCGTCCCACCGCGGAGCGAGTGCCTCGAACTGGTCTGGCTTCTCCTGCGGGAGGCAATGTTTCCATCAAGGTTTCTACTGGGCCAGTCTGCCACTCCATGCAAGATCTGAGAATGTTCGTGAAGTTGCTCCTGACCCATCCAACCCTCCCATACGAGCCAACTGCCTGTTTGCCTTTCTGGGACGAGATCGCAGCCTCAAAGTCTCGTCCGAAGCTTCGCATTGGGTTGATGTTGACCGACGACGTTGTCGATCCACACCCTCCAGTACTACGTGCATTGGAAGAAGTGCGGGCGAAGCTGAGAGCCGCTGGCCATACCATTGTTGATTTTCGACCGCCATTTGATTGTTGGGAGGCTGCTTTGACGACCTGGGCACTCTACTTCCAAACAGGTGCTGCAGAAACCCTGGCGTTGCTGGAGGCTGGTGGAGAGAAGCCTATCCCTGTATTCGCGCATTATTTGAAGACGTTCGACATCAAGCCACTCGCCGTAACGGAACTGTTTCGCCACAACGCAGCTCAGGCAGGGTATAAAGCAGCATTTCAGCAATCATGGGACGGAGACGGGTCTTATGATTGTATCATCTGCCCGTCTGCTCCTCTTGCCGGGTCTCCGCATGACTTCCCGTTGTGGTGGGGATATACAACGCTCTGGAACCTGCTTGACTATCCGTCGATCATGATGCCGCTGAAGGGATTCAAAATCAATTCTCAGCGAGACCCTAAGACAGCAGCCTACTCGCCACGTTCAAATCCTTTCGACCGGGCCAACTGGGAGATTTGTGAGTTTCCCGCATGTTTCGTACAGAATGAAGTTTGCTGATGTGAATCTCAGATGATCCCGAGGTCTGGAAGACTCAGCCCATGACATTCCAGATAGTCGGTCGGCCTTACCATGACGAGGCTCTGATCAATGTGTCGGAGGTGATTGATGGTGTCGTGAACGCAACCAACGCACCGCATCTTTGATCCGCATAGCGTCCTCAGCGCATTATCACCTGATAGAATGCCTTCAAATGCATAGAGATTCTTTTTCGACCGACGCTTGCATCGGCGTAGTATTGGCAGTGCCGGCTATGCAGAGATGGCTGTGCGTATTCTGTGTAGTTTTGGCGTGCTCGTAAAAGTACCCGCAATATGTCGAGTTCGAAGACCAACGCCTCGTATTGAATAAAATGATTGTTGTTGTCGTCACGACGCGACGTGACGATGGAGACGGAAAGGGGGGAGTGCGGGATGCCGGCATCGGGTGCCCGCCGCCAGAAATCTTGGCTTGAAACGAGGAAAGTGGGGCGAGAGGAAACGGGGCTTGGGTCGAAATGACTCTACATTTTCCAACAGCAGCTTCACATCGCCAGCGACCATCGTGACAACACCGCCTGCGTCACCTCACTGCGCCAAATCGACTTGAACCCGACCGGACGTACTTGTATCCGGAATTTCGCCCACCGAAACTGCAGCAAACCCACACACACGCAGCGCAACCGCAATCATGGCGACCAACGGCGACTACCCGTCTGACGAGGAAACGCCTCCTCAGTCACCCACCGTCGAGGCGGCCCAGCCCGACGACGATGTCCCAGAGTCGAAGCCAAAAGGCCCAGCGCCAGCACCAAAATCTGCCCTCAAGAAGAGCAATGCCGCGGCGGCAGCGGCAGCAGCAAAACCACACCTGCCAGAACAGCCAGAACCAGCAGACCTCGATGTCGCCTCACTCACACCACTCTCCCCCGAGATCATTGCGCGACAAGCAACCATCAACATCGGCACCATCGGTCACGTGGCCCACGGAAAGAGTACGGTAGTCAAGGCGATATCAGGCGTGCAGACTGTGCGATTCAAGAACGAGTTGGAGCGAAACATCACCATTAAGCTTGGCTATGCCAACGCGAAGATCTACAAGTGCGACAACCCAGAGTGCCCGCGGCCAACCTGCTATAGGAGTTACAAGAGCGAGAAGGAGGTCGATCCTCCATGTGAGCGAGCAGGCTGCGAGGGTACATACCGGTTACTTCGACATGTCTCGTTGGTATACCCAATCTTGATCTTGCTTCTCAAAGCTGACAACCTACAGATTCGTCGACTGCCCTGGTCACGATATCCTGATGAGCACTATGCTTTCAGGAGCTGCGGTCATGGACGCCGCACTTCTTCTCATCGCCGGCAACGAAACCTGCCCTCAGCCCCAGACATCCGAACATCTTGCAGCTATCGAGATCATGAAGCTGCAACACATCATCATTCTTCAAAACAAGGTCGATCTCATGCGGGAAGAGGCCGCATCGCAGCACTACGAGTCCATCAAGAAGTTCATTCGAGGCACAGTCGCCGACAACTCCCCCATCATTCCCATCTCCGCGCAACTGAAGTTCAACATCGACGCCATCAACGAGATGCTCGTCAACAGAATTCCAGTGCCCGTACGAAACTTCCAAGACGACCCTCACCTCATCGTCATTCGATCATTCGACGTCAACAAGCCCGGTTCCGAGATTGATGAATTACAGGGTGGCGTCGCCGGTGGCTCCATCTTGACTGGCATCCTTAAGCTTGGCGACGAAATTGAGATCAGACCGGGTATTGTCTCCAGGGACGAGCAGGGCAAGATCCAGTGCAAGTCAATCTACTCGCGGGTCATCTCGCTTTTCGCCGAGAATAACAGCCTGAAGTTCGCCGTGCCAGGTGGTCTCATCGGTGTCGGAACTCGAATCGACCCCACTCTCTGCCGTGCTGATCGTCTGGTCGGATTCGTGCTGGGACTCAAGGGCAAACTCCCGAGCGTCTACGTGGAGATTGAGGCCAACTACTACCTCCTGCGACGACTGTTGGGAGTGAAGACTGCGGACGGCAAGCAAGCCAAGGTTGCGAAGCTGACCAAGAACGAGGTTCTGATGGTCAACATTGGATCGACGGCGACGGGTGCCAAGGTGGTGGCCGTCCGCGCGGACGCTGCGAAGTTGCAGCTGACGAGTCCGGCGTGCACAGCAGTCAACGAGAAGATCGCGCTGAGCCGGAGAATCGAGAAGCACTGGCGATTGATCGGATGGGCGACGATTACGAATGGTGAAACCATCGATCCAGTCACTGCTTAATGTCATCACGTATGCGTCGTTGGCTTGGTCGTATCACATCACGAGGCGTAGAGGAGGCGTGGACAAGGGAAAATTGAAGGGCTGTTCATGATGAGATGGGCCTGCAGCATGGTGGCGTTCGCACCGCTCGCATTGGGTGTTCTGCAGCGAATGAGCGTTGGAGTGTGGCCCAGGCTGATAGAAGACGTTACGAAGACGAGTTTCAGAAATGCATCCTGCTGTCTGGTGTGTTCGTTGAAGGACATGTGTCCAGTTTGCATGTGATGGCGAGTGAAATGAGGGGGTGGGGTAGGTAGGCTAAAAACGAAACTGTCCCTTAGCTCGGAGCTTAATTCGGTGCCTGCAGCTGCAGAAGCGCCTCGGCGGGAAATGTTCACCGCAACGTCGACGACACACTTTGTTTGAGACGTTCCTCTGCTTGCGCGTACGATTTGGCTGTGTACTTCTCTCTAACGACGACCACCTGTCCATAACGACGAGTCTTGCCATTCGGCCTCTTCCAACCCGTGAAGGAGACGACGTATTTCAGCCCGCGCTTCCCCCGCAGTGAACCACGCAACAACTGGCCTCGCAAAACTCCTCCAGAGCAACCAACTTTATAGCACGAACACAGTCCATTCGAACCCACCTCACGACAATGGCAGCGGCAGCAGGAAGCGTGGTGCCCGGTCTGGCAGACCGACCCGTCAAGAACACCATCTGCCTCTTCGACGTCGATGGAACGCTCACCCCCGCGAGACGAGTCAGTGTGCATGAACAATGGCAAGAGATATGCTCAGGCTGAATGATCTATGATATAGTCCGTCTCCCCCGAAATGCTCCAGCTCCTCTCCCAACTCCGCCACAAGGTCGCCATTGGCTTCGTGGGCGGCTCCGACCTCGCCAAGCAGCAAGAGCAACTCGGCACCGCCTCGATACCCGTGACCACCCTCTTCGACTTCTGCTTCGCCGAGAACGGTTTGACCGCCTACCGCATGGGCCAGCCTTTGGCGAGCCACTCGTTCATCAAGTGGATTGGAGAGGACAACTACAAGAAGCTGGTCAAGTTTATCCTGCACTACATCGCAGATCTGGAGATTCCAGTCAAGAGGGGAACATTCGTCGAATTCCGCAATGGCATGATCAACGTCAGCCCTGTGGGCAGAAACGCCAGCGTGCAAGAGCGTCAGGATTACGAGAAGTTTGATCTGGAGCATAAGATCCGAGCCCAATTCATTGAGGCTATCAAGAAGGCTTTCCCAGACCTGGGACTGACGTGAGACTTGCGATATATTCCTACACAGCGGCATTGCTAATGAGACTTTAGATATTCGATTGGTGGCCAGATCTCTTTTGACGTCTTCCCCGCCGGCTGGGACAAGACCTACTGCCTCCAACACGTGGAGAACGAGAAGAACCTGCCCGGTGGTGTCGAGTACAAGACGATCCACTTCTTTGGTGACAAGACGTACAAGGGCGGCAACGATTACGAGATCTACGAGGATCCACGCACTGTCGGCCACAGTGTGAAGAACCCAGAGGAGACTATGGCAGAGCTCAAGAAGCTGTTTGACTTGTAGAAGATCAAAAGCCTGAATTGGGGTGGAAGAGTTTGATTTGCAGAGGACAACGCTCCATAGTCAACAGATCGACTTTTACGAGTAGCGGACCTTTGGAAAGTATAGACACAAGCCGATAGAGGACAGCATGGATTCGTCGGATAGCGCCCTTCGTGAAAGAGCAGACATCCTCGCACTGCTTGACCCGTATAATGAACGTGCCAGAAACTTTTGGGCATGTACCTCTTCGAAAACATTTCGCATGCTCGAAACAATGCCATTGATCCTTCCTTCAATTGAGCTAACAAGATGCTTTCCAGAGTCGAGTTCCTTCCCAATCAAAACACAAGTACCTTCCAACTTGGATGCAGATGCGAATCCTGCCCTGCCGTTGCCGGTCTTACTGTTCCGTCCATCTATACCTGAAAACACTCAAATTATCCGCCATTCAATACGCCGAACCGAGACCAAAATACCACCCAGACACCCTGTCTATTCTGTCCAGCGTATCCACGAACCCCGCCACTCTACAGCATGCTCTGAGTGGATTGGCATGTGTCGTGTCTCAGCCGTGCAACCGACCGTGTCTCCACGCCTTCCGCAGCACCTATACACAAGAACCTCGTCATGAGGAAGGTCGTCGTACTCTGAGCTGTCGGTTGAGCTGGTAGGATACGACGGGACGACGTCATCGTCGCTGGCTTCGCTCGCGGAAGAGTCTGCTTCAAGGCACTCTTTGACCCCTGCGAAATATCCATCAGCAACACGGGCGTGACCTTTCACCTTTCCTGAACTTACCCGGGTGGAAGAAGCACGGCTCTTGTTCAATCTCGTGTGGTGCGAGTGAGCGGAAGCAAAGAGCACACTGGATGTCACATTTGCCGCAACGGCCTTTGCTCTCAGCCTGCATGGTTGGAGAATTGGAGACTTGCGCGAGGACCAAAGCATCCGATCCCCAAGGGTGAACCATCAGCAAGAAGTCCAAGTTCTTGTCTGGCCTATAAGGACCCCAACCTCCATCTCCCAACTGCAACCCTCCAACAGGTGAGGCTGGTCCCGAAGGTGCCGCGCCCGTCTTCGCACGCCAACTCTTCCCTTCGTGCAGCTCCGTGACCACCCAAACAAGACCAGGTCCGGGCCGGAATCCTTGCAGCGTTGAGATAAGATCAAGGAACGAGGCCACTGCCGGATCTTGTGGTCGTCCGGCTACGCGTGCCAATCCCAAGCAAACCGATCGCTCCTGACGCCATAGGTGGTTTTGCAATTCGATGATTCGGTATCCATAGACCTGCTCTTTGAGGGCTTGTGGAGAGAGGATCGAAAGTATTTTGGCTTGCGTCATTCTTTCTTCCCAAACTATGAATGCTGCAGAAAGAAGGGTCAGCTTGACCAAGGACTGGTTCATGGAAGTGTTCAGGCTTACCCTCAGAGTCTCCTCAATCCAACGATACCAACTTACGTTTAGCCTGGGAATCAAAGACCATCGAAGGAAACGAAACGGACGCAAAATGGGGCCACCAAACACCGAGTACCTCCAATATTATATGCCATCCGCCGGCCCCTACACCTACATCTGGCCTGCGTTGGACATTCGGCCCTGACAACGGGTGAGCTCACGGTGCGACTGCCACCTCCAATCGTGACAGAACCCCTTCGCCGCTCCGTCGCCGTGTGGTTGCACAGCGGTCTGTCATTCGTGTCTCGCTAATCGTGATACAGAGATCTGGATGTGCCCTGCAACGTGCATCGAGGTCTCGTTGACCAGAGCGAATCGAACGCCAAAGATGCAGAAGGGATACAAGGCCAGGTCGACGGGGCAGGCGGAAGACACTACGATACATGTGAGCTGTCAGTAGAGTGGTGGTTCAAGAACACACTGCTGCAGAACGGGCCATTCCCAAGGCAGGACATTGGCAGTGCCGCAATGGTGTAGCTGGACCGGCTGTTCAGTCCCGGCTTCCTGGTCACCTACCTGGTTGACTTGAGCGGTGAGCGTGCGCAACCTCGTTGAGATGATGTTCTTTAGCCCTTACCTCCCTCCAGACAGGAATGTTACAAAGGTTTGAGGAACTTGATATCGATGTCATGACGATCAACCACGAGGAGTGGGATGCCTGCTCAACTTAGCGCCGGGAGGTGAGAACTGCTGCGCCTACCCGGCTCTTGAGAACCATGGCGAAGTAGCCTCCCATGTCTCGTGCATATGCGTTGTGTATCAGGACGCGCTTGCCAGCTAGGCTGATACTCCATGCGTACCTGCCAGCGCATAGCAGGCCCACTCATATCTCCAATGGCGCTAAGGCGGATGGGAAGCGCTCCCGCATGCATCAATGGCCTCGGGTGCCTTGACGACTGCTGGCGAAGGCCCGACTGACCATTTGAAGCGAAAGCGAGGCCACAGGCTGGCTATACACACAGGCTGACCCGATGACCCTCCTGTGTAACCGCAGCCGCCTCCTCTGGCCGCAACCATTTTCTTCGATGATGCCCTTTGCCCGGCCGAGCAGATGTTGAGAACACAGACTCAACAGTCCTGGCTTCGGCGCCGATTGCGGCCATCAAACGACCTGTCGTGCGACTCAGGTTTGATGCTCACCTGCGGCGTCTGCATTCCTGGCGGAAGTTAACGTGTTACCCGCTCTCCAGCCGCCGCTGTGCGAGGACAGATACCAGCTGCCGGCGTTGACAGCCATACACCACATATTGAGGGCATCCACTCCGGAGTCGGTCACGACTCCAACAACTTCCACTCCGCCGATGGCCACCCCATTGTCGTACAGGCGGTGCCGAAGCTCCCGTTGACGACTTGTCCATCCGTGCTTGAGACTCAAATGGTGCTACATACTTGTCTTGGATGACTGCTACCGGGACTGTGTATTGTCAGCTTTCCTGTTGCTCGTCCTGATTTGCGGGACGTATGTACTCATCGATCATCAACCACGCCCTGTGACGACGACACCTTGAGATCCAGGGCAAAAGACCTGATGTTCAACGGCCTACTTCTGTCTCAGCTCACCGACATCCCTTTCTGGCTTAATCGGGCTATCAACACGGTCCATACTGTCGCACTTCTCCCTCATCTTCCTCATGCTCGGCGACTCTGCGGAGCTCTCTGTCAAGGCCTTAACTGACGTACTCGGTATCTGATCCATCACAACAGCTCTTCGAAAGCCTCTCACCCCACGCCTGCGCTCATTGCCAAGGCATATAGCGCGCCTGTACCACACCAACCACCCCAACTCGCCATACCTGCCTACCAGTACCATGCGGTTGGAAACCCGTCCTCTGCGAGTTCCCCGATTCGCCGACTATGGTGCTGTCATGCGCAGAACTGTACTGTACCGAGATGTGGGTTGATGGTTGTTGTCCCGTAGTTTTGGCGAACGCGAATGCACGGCTGCCCCTTTTGGGCCCTGCGGCTGGATGAGCCTGTCCAGGTAAGGCTTCAAACGAGGAGTGGACATCAGGTGTGCGAAATGACATGGTGACGGATAAGTTTAAGATATTGGCAGTGCGCGTTGATGTTGGATGTATTTGTCAAGGCACTGGTGTTGTAATCAGAGGGAATGGGCATTCTACGGATTGTCAGTCGAAAGGAGAACGAAAACATACAGCTGGCTCAGACTTCAAAGTCGTCGGAGGTATGAAGTGTTGGAACGTCGAGGTGTATTCATTCACACCGGACACTTTCCCGAATCTTCAGAATGCAGCAGACCGGTATTGTGGGACGGCATTTCTGATGAGCCCTCTGAAAGTTGAGTTGGTGATGGAGTTGGTAATGTTCGCCGCGCGTGTAGCACGGCCGAACCTCGCTTCATTGCCCTCGTGCGTATTCCTACATATTTCTATAACCGCTAGCGGCTCAGAGGCAACAAAGCAAATGAGCATTTGCTGTGCGTCGAATTTGGCCAGCTGATCAACGTGTCGGCGTTTGTGACTTCGCTGCTTTCATATGATGTGACGCGTTGTTGTCGTCCATCCCGCTTTTGGCTCGCCTGCGACACGACAATCACGGCTCATGGCTTCGCAAGAGCTCTTACACCACAATGCCGAGAAGTTGGGCTTTTCCCCATCCAAAGACTAGAGCCTCAAAGAAGGTCTCGAACAGCCTCAACCCGATTACTTGGGCCACTTCTTCCAACCTCTCCCATGTCCCCTCTCCTTCCACTGCCGTATCATCTCCGGCATGCCCTCCATAGCCTGTCTCCTGCCTTCTAGCTTCCCTCTCAACGCTCGTTCCCAGTGTTTGCCCTTGACCTTCTTTCCAATCCCCGTCCCCTGCACCCTCAATCCATTCTCAATGCGCTTCTGCTCTTTCACCTCAGGATGCTTTGGGCCCAAGGGCATCAACGACAGCACGTTGTGTTCCACCGCCAGCTTGAACAGATCTGCCTGCCGCCGGAGGGAAATTTGCGGGCCATGCCAGTTGCCGGTTTGGGGGTTTTTGAAGGGTAGGAAAGGATTGCGGTAGGGCTTGGAGAAGAGATCTGAATGCGCTTCGGGTTCTGAAGAAGAGACTGTTGCAGTGGTCGTCGACGCGCCGGCGTTGGGGTCTATAGATGATGTGTTTTCTGCGATGGTGATGGTCTTCTCGTTGCTCGGTATCGTCCGCGCTGTTGTTGCTGTGCCGGCTATCAGTGGTGGAGGGAACTTTGTGAAGAAGTTCAGTAGACGGGGATGTAGCCGTTGCGCAAGGCGAATGTGCTGTTCCATGGTGTGCGATTGTTTGGAATTGGTGAAAGGAGTGATCTCTTGAGTCGGTCGGAGGTGAAGTGCGGCGTTCGGGATGGCCCGCGTGAGCTCTCACGTCAACCGCGCCTGCCTTGAGCTCTGGGCTGCTCGCTCCAAACACCAGACACCAGACATCTTCAACACCAACTTCATCGAAACAACCATTCCAAACACATAAACCGTCGCCGAACACTCCAACCGCAACTCGTGACACAACAAGCCCTGTTCGCATAGCAGTCACACGACACCTCCCACCACCCCGACGGCAACATGTCCTCGCCGTTCTCCATCAGTACGATCGATACCTCAACAACAGCATGTGACGATACTAACATACAGACTAGATGGCGGCGCCTGCGTGGCCATGGTCGGAAAGGACTGCGTTGCCATTGCCTGCGATCTCCGACTCGGTCTCCAAGCCCTCACCGTCAGCAACAACTTCCCCAAGATCTCGTCCTACGGCAGCAGCTGCTATCTCGGCCTCACTGGCCTCGCGACCGACGTCAGCACCGTTTCTGAGCTCTTCCGCTACAAGGTCGACATGTACCGGCTAAGAGAAGAGCGCGACATCAGCCCCCAGACTTTCGCCAACCTGGTATCGTCAAGTCTGTACGAGAAGCGGTTTGGACCGTGGTTCGTGAGCCCTGTGGTGGCGGGCATCAACAACACAACGGGCAAGCCGTTCATCTGCGGGTGAGTAAGAACTGAGATCAGGGCGGATGTATAGCAAGATTTCGGACGTGTACTGATAAATGCGTTTCAGCTTCGACTCGATCGGCTGTATCGACTTCGCTAAAGACTTCATCGTCTCTGGAACCGCGTCCGACCAGCTCTTCGGTACCTGCGAAGGTCTTTGGGAGCCCGATCTCGGCCCAGAGGACCTCTTCGAGACGGTATCACAGGCACTCCTCAACGCCGTCGATCGAGACGCCCTGTCAGGTTGGGGCGCGCACGTCTATATCATCGAGAAGGACAAGGTCACCAAGCGGTTACTCAAGGGCCGACAAGATTAGAGGAATGAGATGCAGCGCGGATGGACGCTGGTGTACAATAGAAGAGGCATCGACGCATGTATTGCGCAAGGCAAGGCGTTCGAAGGCGCACGACGACACAGGAAGCTGCTTGATGACTTCGCTGAAGAAGTCTGCTGCAGCGAGGTCGAGATTATGACGAATCGAGCTTGACTTCTGTATGAAACCCATTGACAAGATGTAAAAGACATGTCCCTGCTCCCAGCCCTGTCACTCGAGTAAGTAGCAAGGGATCTGGGCCCCGGTTATGCCTGACAAGGCCAATCATGGACCTGGTCGTGAAGTTGTGAGAGAGATGGAGCTAGGGCAGGGCAGGCTCTTAACTCCACAGCTGACATCGTCTAATCAAGCTGGGAGTCTCACCTCTAAATCTGTGTCGAGGAGAATGGCCAGTCTCATCTCTCCTTCACCAACCCCATCACACACAATGGAACCGCTGCCGACCTCGAGCAACCCCACGCCCGGCGAGGTCGCCATCGCCAAACATCTCCAATCGCTCGTCTACTCCATGGAAGACACAGTCAACGAGCGGAAATTCTACCTCTCGACCGACGCCGATGCCCCCAAGAAATGCGCGCCTACCATCTGGGACCTCTGCTCGCCGTTCTTTCAAGCTGAATTCGAATACTCCGCGAGATGTGTTTTAGATCTCGACGGGACCCTCCAACGGTACCGCGAGGTCGGCGAGGGCTATCCTGATTTTCGCATCAAGATCCTGGACGTTACGACTAAGGTGGACGAGTCGTGCGGGTGGGCGACGTCTTTTGCTAATATTGAGGCTTTTGGTGAGTTTCTGGCTCGATTACTCTTCATGACCGGACAAAGCTGATCTTTTGTTGGCTGCTTCCTCTGCGTACGGGATGGCGACGTCGTGCGTCAAACCGTTGGCATTTTCGAGTGGAGGCTGGTGAAGAAACACTGGCGCTGGACCAGCTACAAGGCCATGAATGGAATCCGTGGAGTGCAGAGTCAGGATCTCCAGTCGGGGATCAAACCTAGCACAGCATCGCTTCAGGCTGATGGTGCTCGCGAAGATACGGAGGATTCTCCAGGAGCGAAACCAAACGAGTCTCATGTGCTTCGACTGCTCGCGGGCCAAGACAGCGCTCGCTCCTGAAACTCCAGTGGATGTTAGAGATGATGATGTCCTTGCAGCCTTGGACATATCTTGCGACGCCGATGTCCATCTTCCCGAGGCAGTGGACGATATCATGCAAACGATTAATGCGTCTGTCCAGCATTTGACCCAGGTGGTCGAAGGCTTGCGAGTTGGACATGCCTTGTAACCTGCAGCATGCGATAAAGTTGTGGACAATATCCTCGCTCTGGTTCCACGGTCAGTATTCAGCAAAAGCTTCGAGGATGGGGATCAACTCATTTCCTCCTTGGCATACGACACAATGTCATTGTGGATGATGATGACCAGATCGGTGGACAATATCTCCACCTCCCCTACAAGCGGATGTCCAACGATGGATTCGGGCAGAACGGGACGCAGTCCAATTTGCAGAAGGACAAAGCAGGGCAAACCCAAGTGAATCGCTTCGCAGCTGGACCATCTCATCCATCGTTCGGACCCGGTTATTGGTGAGATCTCGCAGCTGACAAAGGATACCTGCCGTGTATCTCTTCATACAATGGCGGTAACACTCCACGAAGTCTTCTGTGGGATCTCATGGCCGAATAGAAGGACAAGAAGGCAGTGAAGAGGCAGCTTTCAAACAGTGTCAAATTGTGCATCTATGAAACAACGCTCTAGACTCTACCATGCAAATCGCTACCCATCCACCACCAAGACGGTTCGAGAAACAAAACACCCATCAAACGCCCTGATATCATCAAATACTACTGTCGATCTTTAAACCCCACGAACCCACACGGTGCCGGACTTGATGTCTCCATACCACGCCATGAAGATATCCCGAATGTAGTTGGAACGCGGCACCCACTGGCCCTGGTCACCGGCCATGGGGAGGGTCTTCTTGCCCTTGGTGACGTACGTGCTGTTGAGCCTCAGGAGGCTGGACTCCTTCATCGTCTTCTTCTCCTGGGCGCTCAACTGCGGGATCACCTCGACGACATCCTCCTTCTTCATCTGGTTGAACATGCGCGTGATGAGCTGGGCGGTGGCGTCGGCGCCGAGCGTCCACGACGCATCGACGTAGCCGACGACGAAGGCCGCGTTGGGCAGGTCCTGCAACATCTGGCCCTTCCACACGAAGTGCTCCGAGACGTTGTACGGCTTGCCGTCCACCTTGAGGTCCATGCCGCCGGCGAAGCGCAGCTTGAGGCCGGTCGCGGTGACGATGATGTCCGTGTTGATCTCTTGGCCGTCGTTCAGCTTGATGGTCTTGCCCGAGATGTTCTGGATGGTGCCCGTGGCGATGTTCGCCTTTCCTGAACGCAAGCTCTTGAAGAAGTCGCCGTCGGGGCACATGCACATTCGCTGCTCCCACGGGTAGTATCTGGGCGTGAAGTGGGGGTCGCGGGGAATCGAGGAGGGAAGTTGCTGCTGGGTGAGCTTGTGCATCGTCGCCTTGACTCGTTCGGGGAACTTGGCGGAGAGGGTGGTCAAGAGGAGGGGGGCGAGGATCCACTTGATTCGGATCGCGGCGTGCTGGAAGGCTGGGAACCAGTTGAACCACCGCCGGATGAACTTCTCGAGGGCGTCTTCTTGGGGAATGGCCATCACGTAGCTGGGCGATCGTTGCAGCATCGTCACTCGCTTGGCGGTCTCGGACATGACGGGAAGGACAGTGATGGCGGTCGCGCCGGAGCCAATGATGACGACTTCCTTGTTGGTGTAGTCGAGCTTCTCCGGCCAGAACTGTGGGTGAATGACCTCGCCCTTGAAGTCGTTGATGCCAGGGATCTCGGTCTGCAGGGGGGTCTCATAGTCGTAGTAGCCCGTGCAAATGAGCATGAATCGGCACTTGATGGTCCTCTTCTCGGTGCCCTTGGTGGTCGCCGCGAGCGTCCAGGTCTTGTTTGCGGAATCGTACTGCGCGCCGCTGACCAGGGTCTGGTATTGGATCCGCTTGTCGATGCCGTACGCGGCGGCGGAGTCCTTGACATACTGCTTGATCAGATCACCCTGCGCGATGGCCGTGTTCTCCTTCCAGGGTCGCCACGGGAAGCCGAATGTGAAGAGATCCGAATCCGAGCGGATGCCGGGGTACTTGAACAAGCTCCACGTTCCGCCCATCTCGTGGCGACCCTCGAGGATGGTGTAGGACAGGTTGGGGCATCGTTCCTGGATGCGGTAGGCAAAGTTGATGCCTGAGATACCGGCTCCTACGATGACCACGTCGTAGTTGTTCTCGCCCTTCTCCAGTGGTTGCCACGCCATGTTTGCTGTGATCTGGGTGTCACGACTGTCTTGTTGTGCGTACAGGCGGCAATAGGAGTAGTAGATTGTCAACAGGCACAGAGATTGCCTGGATCATATAATATACTGGACTCGATGTCACGCGAATGTGGGTAGCTTTGTACACTGCTTGTGCGACTGGAACATTTAACTTCGCAGAGGTGCGATCACCAGGCCTCGGTCGTCGCTGGCCAACCACCGCTGTCGTCTGCGGCGCTGAAGTCGCCCCAAGCGGTTTACTGCGTTTCGATAGCGGTTAGATCTGTCCCACATCCCCAAACCGATCTCCCCCAGGAGGCAAATCGCGGGCTTGTGAAATTCGACCTCACCATACCTCGGCGGCGAGGAATCCGCGCAGTCCCTGGTCCTGCGTGTGACATACCCCTCCGCAGCGCTGGAAGTGTGGCTGCTACTTTGCCGGGAACACCCGATTCCGAGAACGACGTGAGAACGATGTCGACTTACCTTTGGCTGGAGTGATGAAGGCGGAGAGGCATCAGTAAACACATGTGCATGGGGCCGTGTCCAGCGCGGATTCCGCGGCATAGGACACGATGCGGCATGAAAAGTGATGTGCGTGTTTCTTGAATTGTTTCTTGGCCTGGTAGGCATCAAGTTATGAAGGTTGTCTATGTCGCGAGCGATGCCACAATAGTATCCATCGCCGAGCTCTGCGTAGATGCATTGGCCGGCGCAATGAAAGGACCGGCCCACTTCACGCTCAGTTGATATCCATTCTCCCTGTCGTTGTTCCAGATGCTGTTGGCATTGTTGTCGAGGAAGGTCACCCAGCTGGATTGCGGCGCGGCCTTCTGCAACACCTGCAAGTTGCGGGTGAAGACACCTTTGAACTGAGTGCCGTCCGCACCGCAATTTGGCTCACATGGATCTGTCAAGATTCCGCTGGGAGCCAAGGCTGAGATTGCTGCATTTGCAATGCTTGTGGCGGTCGTGGTATATGAATTGTCGTTGGTAGCCTTGCTGAGTTCAGACAGGCCACCGAGAACCACGCCCTGGTTATACGACCACACAGTACCGCCGTTGTTCTTGCAGGTCGTCTGGTCCAGCCCGTCGTTGATGGTGTTTCCTGAGTTGAGCATGCCAGATCCCTTGAACCAAGCCCACTGCTGTTTCGCTATGGACAGATAGTCGACACTGCCTCCTTGGACGCGATTGGCAAGGTGGGCTGCCACGCTCAAGAAGAGTTCGTTGGCAATGGCATTGACATAAGTATGAGCCTTGTCCCACCAAATACCACCCGTGCCTCCGCTGTTAGTCGAGCAGTTCGTCTTGCCGAACACTGCGTTCATGTCGTTAAAAATCGTCTGGGCCTGCGAGAGATACTGGGTGTTTCCGGTCAAGTCGTAGGCCGCGATCCAGCCCAATGCCCACCAGCCCTCATCGTCGTAATAACTTAAAAGGTCAGCATATTTCGATTCTGTTTCCGTTTTCAGACACACCCATTCAAGAATCCGCCACTCGCCTGAGCGGAAGCTGGCTTTACATTCAGCCATGACGGAAATTCCGGATACTGATGTGCATAATACGTCCGCGGCAGGAAAGGCTGATCATTTGCAATACCAGAGACCTTTGCCACTTGCGCGCCGTTATATTGCTGGGCTTTGGTATAGGTCTGTGATAAAACGTTTGTGACAGCGCTTTTCAGATTGCCATCGACCGCGGCAAGGTTGGAGATGACCGTCAAGCAGTTGGCACTGTTCCACCAGCCTGTCGAGGGAATCCAAAGCCCATTCGAGGTGTTATACCTTGACAGGAAGCGTCAGCAGAATATCTGGATGTTCGTGCTGAGTATGGTACCAAGTTTGAAGCTGATTATATGCGTTCTCAGCATTGGCGGCAGTCACATCCCTTGCCTCGATAGGTGAAGTGTGAACTAAGCCCAGAAGGCCTGTAAAAGCCAAGGATCCCTGCCAAAGCTTGCTATACATGATGAGCAGTAAGTATATTCGGGGAAACTGTTACAAAGATACACAGGTAGGAGACAGTGGCCGGCATGGGCTCTTATACACGACCTGCCTCATGAACGATCGACAGCCTCTCAGCTCGCGAGTTGCACCGCTGTGGCCGCAACAGGAAGGATGCAATGGATGGGCAAGACGCGTGATCCACGTCGGCTATTGCATGGGTTGGTGACAAACTATGGTCCTTGCCAAACCTGCCTTGGATCTGCTGTTGGTATTGCTCCATCTTACGTAGCGTTCCTGTGCGAATGTTGGAGACCCGAACGCTTATTCTCCAGCTATAGCTACGGATGGCGCAGGTGGTGGGAGGATCATCTACAGTGGCGGGCTGTGGTGGGGTGAAGGTTGGAGCCGGAGGCAGCGTGTCATGTGGATGCGGCTGCATATTGCCGTAGAAGGAAGGACGCCGCCCGTGTGAGTGAGTGTTGTGTGCAGACGTGGCTCTGAAGGGCATGTTTCGCGGCGCCAGGGAAGTGGAGGACATCAGCTGGGTGAGAGGATGGCGTCGAAGAAGACGTGGTGTGGAAGGAGAAGTTCACGCTCGGGCAGGGATGACGGATGTCTCGGGGATTTTCGGCCCGTCCCGATCTCCAAACCTCCTCTCCAGCCCAGCTTCCTTCGAGTCGCATCAACGGCCTTGCGTCACTGATCAGATGTGAGTGAAAGGAATGCTGGACACCCGAGTACTCCATCTTTACACCGGTCCTGTCCTGCGTGCCATGCGTGATGCTCATCATCGCAGGCGGCTGTCCTAGGTCACCAAAGCTGAGTATAGGACGCAACAGGGCTGGCACACATCGATCCTTGATGATGACGAGTGACACGAGAGGGAACCTTTGCATAGTCTGTTGGAATGAAGTGACACATCAGCAGTCAAGGGCGAGTAAAAATTGCGAAGAGTGGAAGTTAAAGGATACGGTCAAAGCCCGTGGCTTGAAAAAAGCTCTATCCGAATCGGCGCTGCGACTTCTTCCAATCTTGGACGAGTGCTCGTCATGTGAGTACTCAACTGCTCGCTCGGCGGCAAAGCTTCGGCATCAAGCCTTACCCAAGGCCATTGAGGTGAGTGAATGCCGCGGAATCACGGGCCGGTTGCCGTTCTCCTTGCATCAATGTGCACAGCACCTTCCACACATCACAGGTTCCGCGATAACACTGACTTTCCACACACCTTGTTCCTCCTATCCGAGTGTTCCAATGGCTACCACTACCACCACCACCACAGAAACGGTCGAGTTACACACCTACGACGCCACGACCTACGGACATTCTCGGCACGAGGAAGAATGCCCACCACCCGATGACAATGTCACAACAGCCATCCAACCACTCGAAGTAACAGGAGTCGTCAAATTGAAAGTCTTCAGCGCTGCATTTTGCTTTCTCAACGCTGGAATCAACGACGGCAGTCTCGGTGCCCTGATCCCCTACATCCTCCGCCACTATGACATCTCCACCGCGTGGATGGCCATACCCTACGGCACCGCGTTCGCCGGATGGCTCGTCGCCGCTCTGGTCGGTGGCTATGCTCGAGTCACGCTGGGCACAGGCGGTGTGATTGTCGCAGGGGCCGTTCTACAGTTCCTCACGCAGGTGTTCAGGTTCTGGTTTCCGCCTTTCGGGATCTTCTCTTTTTCCTTCTTTCTGGTCGCACTCGGACAGGGCCTACAGGAACCGCAGGCCAACACCTTTGTCACGACACTCAAATCGGCACACCGCTGGCTTGGCTTGATTCACGGCTGTTACGCACTGGGAGGATTTGCGGGACCGTTGATTGCGTCTGCTATAGCGGCGAACTCCAATGGCAATTGGGCTGCATTCTACTACGTACCACTTGGCATTGGCGCGCTCAATTTGATCCTATGCAGCTACGCTTTCAAAGACGAGACGACCTTCCGCCAACGCCATCGCCAGACCTCGGGACAACGAGCGAGTGCAACCGCCTTCTCCGAACTCAAGGCAACTTTGAAGCTGAAGGCCGTCTGGCTTGTAAGCGTCTTCTTCTTCCTCTATCTCGGCGCAGCCATCACCGCAGGGGGTTGGGTCGTGGAATTCTTGGTCGTTGTGAGAGATGGACGTCTCTCGAGGGTAGGCTACATCTCGAGTGCCTACAATGGCGGTACCGCACTGGGTCGGTTCCTGTTGGCTGAGCCCACATTTCGACTCGGCGAGAGGCGGATGCTCTTGCTCTACTCTGTCCTCGCCGTGGCTTTGCAGGTGGTGTTCTGGCAGGTGCCGAATATCGTGGTCAACGCTGTCAGCGTCAGCTTCCTGGGCTTCGTATTGGGCCCATTCTTCGCGACTGCAGTTTCTGTTGGCTCCAAGTTGATACCGAAAGAACTGCAGCAATCTGGATTGGGTAAGAATGCCTTCGATCAATCGCATTCGCCGATGCTAATCTTATCCAGCATTCATCTTTGTCATGGCTCAGGCAGGCGGCGCCATATTCCCCGCGGTAACGGGTGTCATATCATCACAGTCAGGAGTTGAAACCCTCCAACCGATCTTGGTGGGCCTGCTCGCGGCGATGACGGTGGCCTGGGCCATCGTACCCATTCCAAAGAAGATGAGCGTGCAATGAGACCAGAGAGGGTGGGAAAGACACTCTGGCCTCATCGTGGATGGTCCAAAAAAGGGAGTGAATGGCACGGGAAGTGCATGTCGTGGAAGTCCTAGAAATCGTGCTCCGGGAGTGCCACCCTCGAGATACAGATTGTCGTCTTATGCAGCGCCCGCCACGGGCCTACTGACAGCCGGGAATCGTTTCGCACTCAGAAGTACACCTTTCACGCCTCTTATCTCCTTCTTGAGCTCTTCAATAGCATCCTCCCCAGACTTGTCGTTCTTCATGGAAATGGCATCTTCACTCGTCTGCCACGTGCTGATGCCCGAGCTCGAGTACGTCGGGCCGTCGAGATAGTGTCTCAGCTTGTTCACTGTATCCTGACGATCCTTGTTCGCCTCGGCCGCCTTTTCAGACCCATCTGCAAGCTCATTGATGTGCTCTCTCATAATCTCAAGCGCGCCCGTCTGGTAGGTGACGGCGTCCTTCTTCTTCTCATCTGATGCATCAGGCACAGAAGGGCTGATCGTAGGCGATGTCTGTGTGCCCATATCCCTGTGGTAGAGCTCCGTGGGATCACTGGTCTCACTGTCCGCATCGTCCCCATCCACTTCGTGTGCATGCCCTCTCTTTGCGTCTGGCACTTTGCTCACAATCTTGGACAGCCTTTCATTGAACTCATCCACCTTGCCAGTACTATGCGTCAGAAAGTCGTGCCTCGATTCTGAGAGAGTATCCACCATTGGGCTGATGATCCATTTGCTCGCGGCGTAGAGTAGTGTTGCGGCACCGCCAGCTGCATATACGGTGTTCAACACACTGGTAGGTGTGATGAGAGGCGGTGGCTTGTGAGCTTCTACCAGAAACTCGGGATATGTAATGATCGGTGGTGCGGCGGGACGCGTCTGCTGGACTGGTTGTGGTGGGACATCTGGACGGGATTGTTGTTGCTGCTGCTCATGCTGCTTGAACGTTTCGAAATCGCTGATGCCGAAGGTGGATTGGTTGTCTTCCACAACGTCGTTCGAGGACTTCGCTTCTATGGGCTCAGCTTCGTTGCTCGGTTCCTGCGCCTGGTCGTCTGAAGTATTCGTCGATGGCTCGTCACTGGTCTCTGGCTGGCTGCTGACTGGGTCCTCAGTCGCAGGAGGAGTTGGCGGAGTCGCGCGCTGCCACGCCGGGATGGCTACCTTGGGTTTGCCGTCTGACATTGTGGATGGGCTGTAAGAGAGTGAAAGGTGTATGGAGTGGTATCACGTCGAGTGTGAGGTGATCTCACACTGGGCCGAGGCCCGGCTGAAGCTCGGCGAGTCGGGATATCGTGGTGAATCCAGTCCGGCCAGTTCAGGGAGAGCGTTTCACACACAGCACAGCCCAGTACAGCACCGCACACACAATGGACGGCAACAAACGCCTGAAAACTTCCACAGGCGCTCCAATCAGCAGCAGCAGCGAGCGCCTGCCAGCGTATCAGCCGCCGCCAGCGATTGGCGGCGAACGCAGGTGAGTCCTTCACGACAAGCTTTATTAGGCGGGCCTGGATGGATCGTAAACGGATGCATGCACACACGAGGCTGGCCGGTCGGCGATCAAGGAAGCCACGAGCGAGCAACGCCGGTGTTGAGAAGGCACGACAAAACACGACACGACACGACCTCTGCAGATCCAAGCAGCCACGAGCTCTCTCCCAAAGGCGCGATACGAATCCTTGTGCTGCAGCGTGCAACGACGGGACAGTAGTCAGCATTCCTCTGCAGCAACTCCATCGTTCGCACCACCATACCGCTCTGTACAACCTCCGTCCTGGCACCGCGACAGCACCACCGTCATGCCTCCTGCACGCCGCTCCGCCCGCACCGTCTCCTCCACCGCCGCCAGGGAATCCGCCCAGCCGTACACACGAGCTAACAATCGAACCAGCCCCGGCGCACAGCGATCGTCGGCATCCATAGCACGGCCTGCCAACGGCAAGACCTCTCTCCGGCTCACAGTCAAGGCTCCTCCCAGCAAGCTTCGCCAAGCGACGTCGGGCTCCTCAATCCCACCCAATCCCTATGCCGACAACCCCAGCGAGAGCGATGCAACGCCAGCCCCGCGAGTGGCCAGATCAACTCGCAATCCGCGAACCGTCGTAGATCCCGACTCAGACGACGTCGAGGAGGATGCCGAGGGCGAGGAGGAAGACGAAGAAGAGCCAGATGGTGATGTGGATCAGGAGTTGCTGAACAACGAGGACAGCGAGGACGATGCCGAAGGCGAGGACGAGGACATGGACGAGCTGCAACAAGATCACCCACCGCCCCCAGTCATCAAACAAGATCGGTCCAATGGCAAGGCAAAGCCCAACGTCACAGTCACGGCACCACCTGAAGGACCTCTCAAATCTGTCGAAGCCAAGGAGATGGAGGATGACGAAGATGAAGAGCTTTCCGAGCTGGACTCCAACGAGGACGAAGGGGAAGGCGACGAGGACGAGGAAGAAGATGAGGAGAGTGAAGACGATGATGACGAGAACTCACGAAGCGCGACCCCAGATCTCACCAAGCTCACCAAGCGGCAACGAGGTGCTTTCGACGAAGCGGCCGAAACCAGTTTGATGGCACTGTCCAACGAGGCTCAGAAGAAGAAGCATCTCACGGCAGAAGAACATGCCATGCGGCGCGCTGAGATGGCGAGGCGGCGGAAGAACCTCAGCGAAAAGCGCAACGAAGAGGAGAAGGTAGGGTCATCTATTTTACGAGTACTTCTCGCAGTGCTAACAATGTTTTAGATGGACACGATCAACAAACTTCTCAGCAAGCCAGCCCCCAAGCGTCGGACGAGAGCAGAGATGGAAGCCGCGAGAGCCGCAGAACTCTCACCTGGTGCTGAAGACGAGGAAGAAAAGCCTAGTCCTCTCTACCTGCGATGGGTGAACAATGCGGCTGGTAGTAGGATTGGAGTGACCGATGAATGGCTCGATGCCCCGATCGGAGACTCATTCAGACGCAACAACAGCGGCGGCATGGTGCAAGAAGTAGCATGAGCAATGACACATTGCTGACGGCATTTGTGTATTACTATAGGAAATGCATTCAATCAGCAGGCGCCATTATCCAACAACTCTTTGCAGTGATAGTCCATATCATTTCCATCGCGATGAGTCAGCAGAAACTACCGCGTCACCGCGATCCTTCAAGTACCGCTCAGCTCTGCAACGACGGCCTTGTTTCAATTTCAATCAGACACTTTTCTGTGGCAGTCATGTCGTTACCGCTGCTGGTCGATCAGGGCGACAAATCTGTTCCCTGGACAGCCCGACCATGTACAAGCGCCAGCTGCAAAGCCGCCCAGCACATTGTCGAGCTCTCACGATCACTAATGGATGCATGCAATCCCCACTGCTACGACCTCTTGAAATCTCTCGGCGAGCAACACGTGGCGCCCACATTCAGAGCCAAGTTCGAAAGCACATCCCTCAATTCCTGGGAAGAATTCCTGGCCTCTCAACGCTACTGGGGAGAACTGCATCCGAAATGGGAGAATCGAATCGTCCATGCCACCGCCGAAGTCAATGATAACCATGCCAATGGGACTGTCTATCTGCTCACGGAGATTTTGCGCTGGAGTCGGGATGTTAAAAGGACGGCGGTGACGGTTCATAAGTGGAAGAAGAGTGCAGGCAAGTGGGTTTGTTATGAGGCCATGACGATGAGGGGGCTCGATCCGATGCTGGGAGGTGGTGATCAGGAGGCGAACCCAGAGCCTCCGTCGAATCAAGAGAACTGAGGTGATGCATTTGGGGTCTGGTCCTCTGGACATCATCACTTCCCTGCCCGCCCAGTGGCGTTGGAGACCTTCTCGAATACATAAAGCGTGCTCCGCGTTCAAAAGCCTGGACATTCCGCCATCGCTTATCAACCATGAAGGAATGACAGTTTCGTGCGTTTTACTTCAGACAGAACGGCGCTCACGAAATTCCTGATGACGGACTGGCACATATGTGGCGAGAAAGTCACTCTCGACCTCGGAAGATCGCAAAGCCCTTTCATCCAAGGATAGCAAGAAGAAGAAACACCAGCTTTCTGAGGTTGAATCTTTGCCTCTAATCGGATGTCCTCGAAGCCTACAGGATGATGGCCCACGAACGATGAAAACTAGGAAAGGTGTTGCTTAATTGTATACGAGGGAGATGTATGCGGTTCTACGCAGTTCTATAGACCTAGAGAGAGGCTAGAGGATGCTGGTTGTTTTCCTAGCGATCGCTCTTGCATGTCTTGTCGATGCTTGGGTGTTTCCCTAGTCACCTGCTTTGCATGTCTGACTGCATGCTTGATTTGCACGTCTGACTGCATGTCGTTGCATGTCAAACTGTTTTGCATGTCGTGTCGATGCTGGTCGTTTTCCTAGCCACCCCCTTCGCATTCGCGATAGCCTCTCGCCACTCTCGTTCCTACACTCCCCCAGATACTCGACGTCGGTCCCCGAGTAAACACGCCCTCTAGGGAAAAAGAGTGATACTGCCTGTCATGGCACAATAAACGACGACGTATCTTTTGTCTTGTCGTAGGCATAGTTTTTGCGTATCCTCGTTAAAACCCTAAAGGGCCAAACCTCGGAGACCTTGGTCGCTTGTTTTGTATGTGATCAACGGCGAATCGAAGGTCGTTGTAATCTTTGTGCTGTTAGGCCTTTTCGCCCTCCTGTGGAGGTTAAAGAGAGACCTTCGATTCGCCGATCTAGGAGTGTGTAGTGTGCCCTCAAGAACCTATATACTGTGAGCCCAAACCCCAACCACAAGCGGCAGTCAGAGCAGGCTCGGCCCAAGACCGGCAACTCAACTACTCCGTAGAGCAGCTGATAATAGTCTTGGTGTCTGAGTCGTGTTGTGTGTACGTATAAGAAGACAATAGATAAGGCAGGCTTCAAAGAATGTATAAGGCTAAATGCAAGGCTGAGAAATGAATGAAGTACTACTTCTGTGTAACAAAGCAATACAATGGGCTATTCTAAATACAAGTACAAGTGATATTGTGCGGTCCTTCGCAAGTTCGATAGGTGTTCGAAGGAGATTCCTCTCAAAACAATGAGTAGAGCCCCTTCTTGCAACAAACTCTCTTGCTTAGGCTAGGATATCAAGCACGGCTGTTACCGGCCTACAATACGAAGGCTCTATTAGCGTTTCGAGTATTTTTCTTAGTACATACGTGTCGTCGTAACGTTGTAGAGGTAGGCATAGGCATCAATAGGCCGTGGCATCGTAAAGGTAGGTCGAATACCTAGAGTAGATGTAGTGATCCAGTCGAGAGTAAGTGTAGCAGTTGAGGCTCATAACCTGGTAAATGTAAGGAAGATGGTTGTTGGGCTGTCTTCGAGGCAGATGTGTTCGTTTTTATAGACCTTAAAGGAGAGGCTGGGCGAGGCTGGGAAATTAAGTGGTAATTTCTCAGCCACCCCTGTTCCCCTTTTGCAATGTCGGCAGCCACGATCTTTTCTACCACGAAGTCCAGCTGAGGTATCTTATGGCAGGTTCGAGTTGCATGTTCGAGGCCAGAACGGCAACGACAGACAGGAAGATTGTAACCAGACCAGGCCGTTCAATTGCCACACAAGCTGGCATGTTGAATCCTCGCCATCAGGCGGCCCTGATGCCTCACTCGGAAGCAAATACAATAGACTGAGACGCCATGTTCGTGGCTCGTACAACGCTACCAACAACGACATGTACAGCACGATCCCATTTCCATATTCATCGAGCTGAAAGATCTTCACTTCCGTTCCTTTCTTGGGCTGAGCACGGCTAGACTCTTTCTGGTTCATGCTCAAGCACTAGCCCTACGATCGCATTGACCTCGCCTTCCACTTCTTCCATCAACGGAACAAGTCTGACTGACAGTGCCACTGCTTCCCGAAACGGCAGCAGATGCCGCCCAAATCGGCTGCAGATAACCCTGCACAACATGCCCACGTCTGTGCCATTTGGCGCGTTCGAGATACTCTATAGTTAGCACCGTGGTATTCCAGCCTCGTCAGAAAAGGCAAGGACGTAGTCGAGGACTTCACCCATACGTAAATAAGAGTGGTAATGTCCTTCCCGGCGTCGCGAGACACTGTAGAACAATGAGAAGAAGAATTGATGATTCATACTACTATCTGATCGAATGTGATTCCTTTATACAGAAGGGTCACCGGCAGAAAGGTGTGGGGCCCTAAAACCAACAGACGCACGCCGAAGCAAGACACTTGTTGTTCTGAACGCGGAAATTCCTACATCAGGCCTGAGCACGACTACATGCTGCTATACGGTCACAGACAAGCTACTTAACAAGCCGGGACACATATCTCCAAAGTTTCGTCCAAGGGATGGAATGTAGAGCTCGGGCATTTGTTTGGGTAGAATCTGATTCTCTGGTGCCGTCCTGGCCACGCGTTTGCTATAGTAGACTATACTGTAGATATTCCAAAGCTACGCCGAAATCATCAAGTTTCAAGGCTCACTGGAATAAAGCAGTACCGACTTCGCTTTTGGCGATGTATCGAGTATTCGCTGCTGTAGGAGTACCATCGGCATTGTCTTCATTCACTGGAATATAGTTGTACAGAGCAAGCGGCACATCCTGCCATCCGACAGCATCTCGGATCGCTGTAAGCAATTCCGGTACTTTTGCTCGGTAATTTGACCTCTGCGGGTTTGCGTATGACTGGGTCCTGCGCGGGTGCATTACGAACCTAGGCGACACAGTCAGCTTCATATTCCTCGCAATGTGATCGCGTTTCGTCAATCAAACATACACACGAGTGTCGTCACGCCTGTCGTCGCCCTCAGGTTGCATGTTGTATAGCCTGGGGTTGAATCGATCGCCCTCTCCTTCAATTTGTTCGCCACTGAAGTAGCTCAGCGCCCTCCGTCTGAATGCGGCCGCGGAACACGACCAAGTCTCCGTCTCCCATATGTGGCCCTGGAGTCAGATTAGACTCTAGATCCCATTTCGATGTACTTTGTGCTTACTATATAGACTGCGCGTTTCAAAACGACGATCACTGCACTGCAGCCGGTCAATGGACCAGTGCCAACCTGAAAAGCCGCGTTTCCCAATTGATATTGCTGGAAGACTGTCGCACCAGGCTCGGTTGGGAAAAGGTTGGTTCGAATAGGCCCAAATGTAGAGTCTTCGGCCCCAGGATTGTACATCTGATCATAGACGTACTGCCGAAGTTCGCCTTGAGTGACGGGAGTGATTTGTCTTTTTGCCAAGTGCCGCTTCGTCAAGTGATTTTCGGGTAGCCCTGATGTACTCCCGTTGGTCCATCCTTCATATGTAAGGGCTTGCCGTTTCTGTCCGGCATTTGTTCCACAACTTTGTTGTGAGCACAGCGTCCTGCATAGAGGCGTATCAGGATCAACATCATAGTCGCTTGGGCAAATGGGGCCCCAACTACTACAATCCCGTGAGTATACTTCAAGAAATCTAGCAACGATGCCACCAAACGGCCGACGTACTCTGCTCTCTGGCGTAGCTGTGAGACCTTTCGAGGGGTTTGGAAATTTGCTTCGTGTATCCCGTCTGGCAAACTTCTGGCGAAGTTCACATGTTCTGGTGTCGTCCAGGCTGCAATAAACGAGGAGCTCAGGAGCGGAGTCAGAAGTGCTCGTTGCAGAAACAATTTCATCCCGGCAGCCCTGGAATAGACTCAAAATTGAGAGTTGTAACAAGCGTTGTGACGAGCACGGAGTTTCTATCGTTGAGATCTTTCAGTCTGATACACGTCGAGATTCAGATCCCGACTGTCGTGTAGAAAAGAATGACAAACTCGTTCTTCTAGTCTGCATTAGTTCGCTCTTGTCATCGATTCCTGCATGATGCATCTTCCTCAACGAATGCCACTGGATTGCCCATATTGGGACACATAATTCATCGATGCAAACAACGCCAGCATCCAGCCGTCAATCTTGGCATTATCGTGATCCGCGGGCTGAGTTTCCACTCGATGGGCTGAGAGATTCCGTTTCCAGCCTGCGGAGCGCACAGCAGCACCCGTTAGCGCCGCGCCTTACTTCTATCGGACCTTGCCCCCTTCAACAAGACCATCTTCTGCAGCCAACACCAATACCAACATCATCCTCACCTTCCAACACCTGCCCGCGTCGACCTCTTTCTGCTCTGATGTTACTTCCCTCGTTCAGGCTCCGAATTACGACAGTCACTCAGTGGTGCTTCCGCGGAACTACCAAACTTTGTGCGCGTTGGTTCTCAACGCACAATGTCTGGCCCGACGACAGCGGCACAGCCTTCTCTCACTGGGCTCCCCGTAGAAGTCATCGAAGCCTTTGCTACGCTTTTGGACCTTCCCGATCTGTGCATTCTCCGTCTGACTTCATGTGAGCTCGCGGCGAAAGCGTCACAGGGCTGCTATAGGACCTTTTTCCGGAAAAAGGAGATCGACTTGGCCGACTCCGAGCAACTGGAAACCTTTAAGCGGTTAACACGTCGCGGTGGCCTGGGTTGTCTCGTGGAAAATATGACATTCCTCCGATATGTTGCACTAGAGGATGGAGGGAACCATGATGTGGCGGCAAGTCCGGACCTCCACGTGCTTGTCGACTGCCTCAGAAATTTGAAGATGTACTCCGCGTCTAAAAGTTTGCACGATCTTTCGCTCGATGTTCGGACTAAAGATGACTCACCTGGACGAGTTTCTCCCTATAGAAGCATGTGGAATGAGCGGACATGGGACACTCCGGGCACTCCTCTTGGTCTCAACGTGAGAGGATCGACAAGATCTCCGCATCGGCGCAATTGGAAGGCGACTTGGACTCTAGGTGCGTCACTGTATCGGGAGACCATGGCCATGCTCCATCAAAGTGAGCTTTCTGTGAAGAGACTATCCGTCTTTGGAGAAACTGAGAACTGCAGTCTCGGCTTCGATCAGCTAGCTACATATCCGGAGCAGGCTTTGCCATCTACATCACTTGCTACCTTGGACTGTCTGTCACTTAGCTTGTCCCACTCCGTGGAGGTCCATAGAACAAACGACGAAGCCACAGAGGCCGCCGTTCCGAGTCACATCCACAGAATCGAAGCATTCCTGCAGCTCTGCCTAAGGCTAGAAACCTTGGATTTGCACTTTTTCAAAATTTGGGTTGGAGGAGAGGATGAGAGGCCCGACACGTTCGTCCAAGAGACTCGATTCTTCGATCGCATTGCAGCTTTAGTGAAGTTCCCGCATCTAACGTCATGCACCTTCCGAGGACTTAGTTGCAAGTCTATCTCTCTGCAGCAATTCTTTGAAGGCGCTCCACAGCTTCAACATGTCGATATAATCCACACTAATCTGACCGACGGGCAATGGCGACCAATTTTCGACACCCTATGTACCCAAAAGCTCGACTCCCTGCATCTCGACGACCTCTTTGAAAAGGGACGTATTTACTTCCTCGGCGTTCCTAGCAAACCAAAACTTGTCGTGGAAGGTCAACGGCAGGGCACGAACGAGTTGACTCGAAGTGGAGCAGACACAACATTGACTATTAAATACCAAGTAGCTCGTGGCCGTCTACTTGGTTCGCCCGTCAAGAACCGATATATGGCCATACGTGAGTGGCTTTATGGGCCTGTCTCGTTCGGGTCAGGGGATTAACCGCTACGTTTGGAAGAAAGGTACATAGAGTGATGACACTCATTCGTTGATCACAACTGACTTGGCCAGAATGCTTGCGCAATTGTTCGCTTGTAATTATCAAACGAAGCTTACGAGTGGTCGTTGCATGGATCCTGTGCTTCTCTTGACAAATTGAATCGTCTTTTCGATCGTCGCAATGACCTGTGAACGAGAGTAAATGGTACAAGGCCCATACACTGTGCCGCCGACTTGCGCAAGAGGTCCAAACCTTCGAAATGTATCGGTACATTCCAACAACTTGACTACTGGCGCAAAGTGATATTATGCTCAGCTCAATCGAAAAAACTGCATTGCAGAAATCCTTCGCTACTTGTTGGTTGCTCTCAACAAGCATCAGAAAGGGCATGATCGTCTCCTGTATGCCACAAGAAGCTTTGAGGCTCTACCTATGCGATCTCTCGGCTGTAGAGCGCTGCATACGCCTTCAGGCTGTCTCTCTTGCGGTCTTTACTTTACTAGCTGCCCACGACTTGGACAGCCACTTTGCTTGCTATCAATCCGATGCCAATCTCGTTACCATGAATTTCGAAAGGCATCATCTACTGTTCAGCTTTGTTGCCTCAACGGCTAATCTCGTTCAACTGGCTGCCGCTCGATCACAATCGCCTTACACTCGCTGTCCAGTGTCATGCGGCGATTTCAAGGACGACTCGTCCTCTTGGTCATTTTATCATGACCTGAGCGCCATCACAAATTGCAACGCTACGGTGTTATTTCAGCTGAACATTTACAACAACATTAGCAACCCTGATAGCCACCTTTCGTATCGTGCTTGCGCGGCGCCTAGGGAGCGTGGATCGAATTACGGCAACGACCACTTAGGTGAGATAGCTCGGCGGCAAACGGCTGCGTTCAACATTTCGGAAGGCATTCAGAAGTCTCCCGTCGACTTGCAATCCTGGGGCTCTCCAACTTCGTCTGGCAATGCTGGTGCTGCAGCCTCGGCAGTGAGCTACTTAGGAGACTTTCTAAGAACAAAAGGCAAAAACTCACCTGTCAATGCTTGGCCTTTATGCCGGGCAGCAAATCAATCAAAATGACGCTCTCTCTGCTCTTGGAATGTTCCAAGGCCAAATTAGCGATCAGGCTGCCCGCCAAGCGGTCCAGCGGTGCGCCAACATGAGTTAGACAACGATTGGACCACAACTTTTTGGAGAAGTCGTTGTAAGCCTGCAGCATACAACATCTCTGTGCTTGGATGCTAAAAGTCTTTGATAAATAGGATCTTGATGGCGATGTTGCCGCGATATAGGAGACTTTGCAACGCTGGAATGATGCCTAGTGTGTCACCGGCGACAGTGGCCGCCCGCTGCAAGGTGCTGCGGTTAGATTAATCCCAGGAAACGACATTTCCGTCAAACCAACTTCTAGCTCATCTCGCTCACTCTCGCAAAGAGAAGATACTTGCAAATATATCCAAGCTCAGTTAGGCGACGGATGTTACTTGCTTGCCCAACGCTGTGGGATCTTACGGAGCGACCTCGAGTCGTACTACGGAGGCTCTAGCTTCTGCAACACCGTACAGGTACGTCATTACTTATAAATGACACTCTGAACAGATATGCTAACAAGCATAGGTCAATCAATACGTCTGCTGCTCGTCCGGCTCCCCTCCTGACTTCTCGCCAAAACCTACAGATGGTAACTGCTACGTCTACACCGTTGAGACGGACGACACTTGCTCTAGTATCGCCACAGCACATCAAGAGGAAGTTTCCGCCATCGAGAGCAACAACGGCCAAACATGGGATTGGGCCGGCTGTGAGGATATCCAACTCGGCCAGAAGATCTGTCTTAGCGAGGTGCACCGCCGTTCCCTGCCAATGTGCCCAACGCTGTCTGCGGCCCACAAGTAAACGATACCACCCTAACGTCGGATCCATCGTCTTGGTCGGGTCTCAATCCGTGTCCTCTCAATGCCTGCTGCGACACCTTCGGGCAGTGCGGGATTACCTCTGACTTTTGCACCGCGGCTCCTGCGGACACTGGCGCTCCGGGAACTGCTCAGCCTGGGAGCAATGGGTGCATAAGCAATTGTGGCACAGACGTTATCACTTCCGCCGCTCCGACCAGCTTCTGGAGGGTCGGCTACTATGAGACATTCAACTATGAAAGGCCTTGTCTTCACATGGCACCTAGTGATATCCCAGACTACTATACACATGTGCACTGGGCTTTTAGCGACATCACGAGCAGCTACGAAGTGGATGTTAGCGCGTATCAGGATATCGTCAACCAGTTCTTGCTCACGGCTGGATTTAGAAGAATTCTTTCCTTTGGAGGGTGGGCGTTCTCAACCGATCCGTCAACGACCCCTATTTTCAGACAGGGAGTGACTCCCGAGAACCAGCAGACCTTTGCCAACAACGTCGCAAAATTCGTATAAGAGCACAATTTGGATGGCGTGGACTTTGATTGGGAATATCCCGGAGCACCTAACATCCCCGGCATTCCACCAGGCTCTCCGGAAGACGGTGCCAACTATTTGGCGTTCCTCAAATTGATGCGAGCTGCGCTTCCCAGCGATTATACGATCTCGATCGCGGCTCTTGCTTCCTACTATTACCTTAAGGCATTCCCAATTGCGGAGATTAGTGACATTGTCGACTACATTATTTACATGACCTATGACCTGCATAGGCAGTGGGACTACGGAAACACGTTTACACAGTCCGGATGCCCAGCTGGCAACTGCCTACGATCTCAAATGAACATGACAGAGACCGAGCAAGCATTTTCGATGATCACCAAGGCAGGTGTGCCAACCAACAAGCTTATGGTGAGAAGATGAAAGATCGCGACCCCATGTGTCAGCTAACAAGATGTTCTTTTTTTCTAGATGGGACAGCCTCTGTACGGCCGCAGCTTCCAAATGTTAGAGGCCGGCTGCTACACCGCAATGTGCACATACACCGGTCCCTCAAGCGGAGCCACCTCTGGGCGATGCACCCAGACTGGAGGATATATTTCCAACTTTGAGATACAGGAGATCCTTGCCAACGACAGCAACGTCCAACAGTACTCATCTAGTGTTGCGGGCGATATTCTGGTCTACGATGACGATCAGTGGATCTCATGGATGAAGCAGTCAACGTACGACTCTCGCAGCGACTACGCAAAGGGATTGAACTTTGGCGGCACGTCTGACTGGGCTATGGATCTGAGCGCCAATTATTCAGGGAGTGGAGGTGGCAACAGTAGCGATGGCGGTGAAGGTTCTGGAGTGGTTTACATTGACCCTTCGATATATTCCCAGTCTGCGCCGACCATCGCTTGAATGCCGCCCTGCACGTTTGTACTTCCCCCTTGGTCTCTGTCGACCGAGACTACGATCTCACAACCACCAGTCACTACCACTATCCTGGACATGTGGAGCTCCGTCAGCACGATGAGCGGTGGCGTCACATCGACTGTGTAAGTCTTGAAATACCATACTCTCATTCCATGCTTACGAATCTGCTTAGCTACATCTCCAAGACCACTGTTACGACAATCTCAGTCCCACCAGTGCCCACCCTTCGAAATGGTCTCGCGTCTTATTTGCCCTTAGCTACGAATATTTTCAATGAACTGGACATTGTCGTGATTCATGGAGCGCAGCAAGCAAAACTTACGAGATAGATCACACAGATATCGTTGCTACGTAGAGAACGACGTCGTCGTCGCTGGAGTATAAGAGCTACGCAATCGGTGATGAAAAATATGCGGAAGCTGGGTGGGCACGCTATCCGTGCCAGCGTAATATCAAACGACCGATGCACGAGCCACTAGAACTAGTGCTGCGACGCGTCCGTTTCCTGATGCGGAACACCCGCCAGGCCATTTACACCAGTTGCTTTCCGTTTTTTCGCTTTAGACCGTTTTATGGAGAGGCCGCTTCGAACAGTTTGTGGCATCGCTGACAAGTAACAATGGACTTCCAATTCGTCAACTCGACGACGGAGACCTTGGGCCAGAGTGATGACATCAGAAGGAAGATTCGGTCCCATGCTATGAAAGACTACAGAGCCCGACAGAGGAGTGCTCGGCAGGGACAGAGTACAGGAAAACACGACGCCTATAGTGGAGAACCTAGCAAACCGAGTCGGTTGACGTTCAGATTCGTTGTGGACCCCAGAGGTACTCCAAACGATGCGGACGAAGACGCCGCCATCCAAAGATCGAAATCGTCGACACCGATGTCACTCTCGCCATCAGTCTGGGGAAAAGAGTCGCCTGACATCTTCCAGTCTCCTGCGCAGTTGCAACAGATGTTTGGCCTTTGCAGGGAGTGTACGAAGCTCTATCTCTCATCCAAGACGGCGCTAACGAGTCGTAGGGTTTCAGTGGCTACGACCAGATATCAAGGCCGACTTTGCGGGAAAACCGATTGACCAGGCGTGGGACATTTCACCTTGTTCCATGCTCTTGGCTGCGAACTGCCTGGCCGCTATTGGTGGGCTTGATGCTGCGGATAGGAATCGACCCAGCGGTCTTGAGGTCGTCTTCAAAGGGAGGGTCCTTCACGAGATTCAGATACGTATGCAGTCGAGTCTGGCCGCTACTACAGACGAGACAATGTCGACTCTGCTGTTTCTTGTTTCTTATGAGGTAAGCTCTGAATTCTCCAGATTGTAGTCACGAGCGTCGGTAAATTGCTGATCGAACAGCAGTTCTATAGACTCAATCCAGAAGCGATCACCCACTTGAAAGGCCTTCGCAGTATCCTTCGACTGAAAGGTCAGAATCGGGCTGGAATGAAATGGGGAGGCGGGATGGTTCTCGAAACGTACGTACTCTGCTCTTCTGCTTCCAAGACAATGCCTGATAAACGTAGGCTCGACCTCCTCACAGCTTTGTGGCAATCAACAGATCCTCTCATGACGCCCGTTGAAGATCATGTAGAATCCTCTAACGCTCCGCCGCGCACATCTCTGGATAGCAAGTCTCATCGAGCATTCCTTGCCCGTGAAGCCTTCCAAGACATCGCGAACGTCTTGACGACTGAACGGGCCCAATCAAGCCATCAATTCAAGCAAGATCTGGTAAGCACCGTGTCCAGTTTTGACGAGTTGTTGGAGGCATGCATGATATCTCTTCACAGTTTTTGGGAAGGCAAGGACCCAACTACAGCGGACAATTTCTTCGAGATTCTAAACAGCTTTTCGACCGACCACTGCGATTGCGAGCCAAGCGCTGAGAAGCAATCGCACCATGTTGCTCGCGCTGTTCATCAGACCATGGCGATCCTCTACAACGTGATCACGAATCGACACGTTTTCCAGCACCACACGAACCAGCCGTATGTAAACGGTCTCGTCAAAGCCGTAACAAGTGTCGAAGAACGCACCTGGAAACCCGTTCCTTACTTGCGCTACTTCGCACTCCTGAGTGGTGCCTCAGCCGCGAAAGAGGCTTGTGACAAGAGCTTCTTCCACTCGCATCTAGGGAAATGTCAGATGATTCTTGGAATTGCAAAATGGCCGGATGCAAAACGATTCATAGTCAACTTTCTTCGTATCCGTCGAGGTATTGAGCCGAGGGTGACCAAGACCGACAGAAGACAGACCAAACAAGTGGAAAGACTTCTGGCGGCCAGTGGTCAAGAGGTGCCTTCAGAACAGGAGCCGATTCGTGTCGTACCGGTGGATGACTTGCTGAATTATCGACCCCTGAGCTGGCAAGGAGGTCGCCCTGAAAGTGGCCTTGAGATGCTGCTCACGAACGATCGCACGTTCCACGAAGCGATGCTCAGCGGTGCCTTTTGGAAGACTGAGTGACGGCTTACAACCCATATCGACCCCGGTACTCGTCCAGCAGACCAGCATAATCAGGCATCAAGCAAGGGTCTGTCAAATTGGCAAACCAGCCTTTGTGAGCTCTGTGGCTGCTGAGCTTTAAATCATCCAGCAGGCCATCGAAGTAGCTCATCATCTCGAATTCGAAGACATTGCCCAGGAGACCCGTCACGGGGTATCGTCGCTTGCACCAGGCATTGACGAAAGCAACCCGCTTCTCCAGGTCCTGCCTTGGGGGAAGGTTGAGCTTGCGGTCAAAGATTGCAATTGTCCACAGCGACTCGACCAAGGCGGCCAGAAAGTGGTTTGGCAGCTGGACGATACCGAGGAAAGCTATTGAATGATGGTCGATGGGTATGCAGCCGTTGTAGAGCCTGTATGACGTTGTGCGTATATCTGGTGGCTTGAAGTCTTTGGGTTTCTGGAGATATGGCCATCGTCGGAGGACTTCAAGGTCAGCCTCTTCTTCCATGAGCTGCCACTTCTGCTTTTCAGCGTTCACAGGACGGCCATCTTCCAAGTCCACAGGCAAGCCAAGCCTCGTGGCCTCGTCATCGTCGAAGAATGGTCTGTCGGGATTCCACCCAGTGCCACAGAGGAGAACTTTTGTAGCAACTTCGGTCCCGTCCTCCAGCACGACGGCATCTTGTTTCAATCCCTTGATATCCTGGCGGTAAACGTCAACCCTCCGAGCAACAACATCCCAATAGTCATCTCTCTGCAGCAACCCCAGCGGTCCACTCATCCATCGGAGCTTGGTCTGACTTCTCAGCTCTGCAAAGCCTGGCTTTACCCCCTTTCTGTTCTCAAAACCCGCCGCAGCTGCAGCCTCATGCTCGGGCCACCTCCAGAACTTTTCCAGCAGCCACTCCCCAACGCTGGTCTTGTGCAGAAACCATGACCACCACGTCTCTCCCACGAATGGATTTGCCGAGCTCATCAAGGCAATGGCTCTCGTGGATCCAACCTCCGGCGCACTTCGATATCTCCAGAATCCCTCAGGATGCTCGAGCAGCAGTGGTCCCGAGCCTGACTTTCGTATGATCCAGGAGACTTTGCGCGGGGGATGGGTATCTGTGGCGGCGGCGTAGACCATGTCTGCGGCTGATTTTGCGCCTCCGAGGACGGTGATGTTGGTGTGCTTGTCGATGTTCTCTTCGTCTGCGGTAAAGAGCTTTGACGAGCCGAAATGCTTTTGGTGGATGACTATCCCTTCGAACTGACCTCTGTTCGGCAGGAATGGAATATTGGGCGTCTCAGTCAGACCAACCGCAATGATCAACTTCTTGCATTTGTAAATCACATTTTCTCCCTTCAACCCAGCCTCAACCACCCACTGCCCGCTTCCAGACTTCGTGATGTGCCTCACCCTACACTCAAACACACACCTCTCCCTCAGGCTGCGTCCATCATACCTCTGGCTGGAGACATACTCCTCAAGATACCTTGTCACATACTTCGCCTCGAACAGATCATGGTACGTCTCCGCGTGGTCAGGTAACTTGAAGGGAACATCGTGATACCCTACGAGTCGCACGGGCGATTGAGACCAGAATTTGGGGTAGAGACGGGTTCTGCTCCAGACTCCTCCGACGTCTTTGTCGCGGTCTAGGATGAGGATGTTGGCTGTGGGGTGGAGGGTGAGATATGTGTTCGCGGCGCAGATTCCGTAGACTCCTGGTTTTGATTAGTGTCGTTGATGCTTGAACGAGGGTGAGAATACGTGCCTGCGCCGACGATTAGGAGGTCCAATGTTTCAGCGTCTGAATTCGTTGCCATCACATGTAGGGATGAAAGTCTTGAAGGCCTTCGCGGTGGAGGTATTCTACCTACAAGTCGCTTTCGCGTTGCCACCCAATCACAGACACAGTGATCTCATCAGAAGCTTGCAGGGCGAAGATGTTGGAGTCATACGATTTTGCATTGATAGGATATGCTACGTAGCACGCACGCCGATGCCCACGCTGCCTGTATCAAAAAGCTCAACCAAGCCGCTGCCAACACATTCCGCGAGCACCCACTCGAAAGTAAGTCCGTGAAAGTCTCGCCATCGTTTCGTCTTGCCAGACAGAACACCGCTCCATTCGCCGCGCGCTCGCTTCTGTTGGCTGATACTGTCGGTTGGTACGTTTCCATTCCATTTCTCCTGCAAAACCGCCTTGGTTGCCTCCTTGTACCGAGGCGAGAGCTGCTTCAATAGACCCAGGAGATGGAGCCTGGCTTCCGTCAGGAGTTTCAAGTATGGACCCATGTTCGGCAGGCTGAATGTCATCTCGGGCTGTCGTTTGAGGTTCGAGGGGCGTGTGTCTTTCGTCGCTAGCATACTGCCCCCGCCACCGCTGTGCTGAATAGCCCCGTACCCGCCCACTGCTGCCAGAGTTCCGGTCGCTGCTGAGTAGCCAGCTTTGGATATGTCGCCACTCCCAACACCAGTCGGGCGAGCAAAGAGGTCGCCAACACTGGATGATAGGGCTGTTGGATTGGTGAAGAAGCCGGCAGCTACTAGCGTTCGGACTTCTGAATCCGAAAGTGAGGAGATTGATACTGTGGCTGTACCTGGATACTGATTCATCAGAGCGGTATACTTGTTGGCCACTTCTTCCTCCACGCCGCCCTCGCGCGCACGACGCTTCCAATCATCGGTCAAAACCACTACCTCTCCGACAGATGATCCACCTTTTCCTCTCCCCGGCACGCTGACCTTTCGTACCTTTCCCATGGCTGTGAGACGAGAAAGCTCGCGCTCTGTATCGGTGCTTGAAGCACTGAGGGCGTGCAGATGTGCGACGCTGACCACGGGGGGCAATCTTGCTCTGAAGCGGAGGGTCCCTGAAATCTGCTCGCTGTTCATCCCAGCCGCTCTTTCTGGTATATCTTCAAACGCATTGTCCTGAATATACCGTATGAGTCCACCTACATTTCGAGGCGTTTCGGAGTTGGCGAGCGAAGGGATGGAAGCGATATCGTCCAATCGTTCCGCCTCTTCCTTCTCGGCCAGGCTATTCTGCCGTGAGCCAGGCTTCTTCCGAGGAGCATTTGAGAATGGAGACGCCGCCGATTTGCGCTTGGCTAGAGGGTTGACGAGCTTTGGCATGTTGCGTGTTGCAAGTGGTGAGATGCTTCCAGATCTTTCAGCCTTGTCCGCGGGACACCATGCTCAAGTTCCAAGCTCTCGAAGTAGCCTTGGCCGCGTGAGTCATCGCTTTGGAGGTGCTCGCTCGCGGAGTGGTCGAAGGCTGCCTCTCTCTGAGTTGTGCTCGTGTGGGATGGGTGGATGTATTAAGTCTGTTGTCGGAAGATGTCCTCCGAAAGCCGAGAGAAAGAGCTCTCTCACACGCTGTATAACGTAAGCATATATAGCGTCAACTTAGTACCTTACTCACATCTAGAGGGAGGTCAAACCCGCACCTCTTTCTTGGATCCCGCAGGAGTATGCGAAAGAGTAAGTTCAAGAGTAATGCAGCCGTGAGGGCTCGCTCCCGTTTCGTCTTTGCCATCTTCTTTCTCTTACTACTTCGTCTCGCAACCCCATTCCATCAACACCCTCCACTCCATCGGCATACACAGAAGAACAACGCCCAAGATGTCGGACCTCCTACCCATCGAGTCTCAGAATTTCCATCGCATGGCCAACTCCGGCATGCGAAAGCTCAACTTCATGCCCGGCCTGCCTCCAGTTGCCAACGCCGAGTTCATTGAGGACCGCGAGAAGCGGCCCATCCGCGTTCTGTGTCTGGGGATGCCGCGGACGGGAACGATGTCCTTGGGTCTAGCGCTGGGCACGCTGGGCTACAGATGCTACAACCACATCGAGGCCTGCGCCGTCCCTGAACGAGACATGAAGTCTTGGAACGAGGCGTTGGATGCTAAATTCTTTGGGGGTGAAGGCAAGAGATATGGGAGGAATGAGTTTGCCAGGATCTTGAAGGGGTTTGATGTGAGTGTGAGAATCTGCGAACGCTCTTGACTGTTCGCCCTGCCGTAGTACCCGGATGAAGCCAATATATGCTGTCACAAACTATCGAAGGAGCTTCTGCAGGCTGATTCTTCTCTCCAGGCAGTCGCCGACGGACCAGCGGTTCCTTACTTCGCAGAAGACCTCATCGAGGCTTTCCCGGAAGCCAAAGTCGTCTTGACAGAGCGTCCGGTAGACGGTATGTCTACAATATCTTAAGCCCTGGCGGAAGGTCTTAGAGGTCCTCGAGCATTACAAGACCCGTAGCTCGCCATGGCCGACAATCTCAGGCTGACAGTGCAACTCCATAGATTGGATCCGGTCCATCTCCAACTCAGTCGCCGCCGCCTGGGGCTGGTGGAGCTGGCCGCTGGTAGTCTGGGCTGAGCCCGCTGCAGCAGAATGGTACCGCGAATCGCGACGGATGGAAAAGATCTCACACTTCGCCGACTCCCACACCGCCGGCAAGCGCCTGATCCGCGCTCACTACACGGACTACTACGCCCACATCCGGAAAGTCTGCCCCAAGGAGCGCCTCCTCGACTTCAAGCTCGGTGTCCACGGGTACAAGGAGCTATGCGAGTTCCTGGGCGAGAAGGAGCCCGAGGGCCAGAGCTATCCGCAGATCAACGAGTCGAAGACGTTTGTGCCGCTCTATTCGGTCTGGTGGTGGTACTGCTTCCGTCTCGCGGCTCAAAAGGTGCTGCCGCGGGCGCTTGTGGGCGGTATTGCGATGTGGACGTTGTGGAGGCGGCGACGTGACTTGCCTGGCTACTTGACAAGCCTCAAGGCGTTTCTGCTGTATTAACGGCTTGCGGAAGCTTCCCTGCTGGGGTGTAATTGAATGTCTATTGAACCCACATTTAGCTTAGTTTGCCAGCGGCACATTCTGGAAGTACACAATTGGGTGTGTCCCATCATGGCGTTGATAGTGTCGAAACGCACTCGCTGCATTGCCATGGCTGCATCTGCTGAAGACATCCATAAGAAAGCCATGCGTGACGCGCACGCACGTGCAAAAGCTCGGGCCCTCGGCTACGTCACTGGACTCGGAGCTCCCTCCAGCAAACCAACTTCTGCCGCGAAGGTGGTGAATGTGTAGCCATCCATCCATCTCGCCATGCGCCTCCTCCCTATCGCCCTCATGTCGCCCTCGTAGCCCGTCATCCACCGCCCATCCCGCCTTCCCATCCATACATACCACACCTGTCCACCCGACCGCCGGAACCCGCCATGGCGCTCAACCCCGAGCCTGCGGATCCAGTGGAGAGGGCGCACGAGGAGCTCCCTCCCAAAAGCTACGCCGAAGCTGTTGAGGAAGCCATTGAGGCAGACCCCGCGCCCATCGATGAAGATGCAATCAAAGAGTCGCCGCCGCGAGCAGGACACGCGCGCAATTCGAGCGAGCCACGCCCACTCGGCGAGGTCATCGATGAGGTAGAGCACGCAGCATCTCCTGGCAGTCCCGCGCTTAGACATCCTAAGGGAAGGCTCGAAAATAAGGATAGCCACGAAAGCTATGCGAGCATGGTCAAAGAACACTCGCCCTCCGCGAATGGTCTGGCGAATGGCGACGGCAACGGCATGCCTGTCCCGCAACTTCCAAACCTGCGCACCGGAGGCAAACGTACCAACGGCGCCGTCACTCCCGATACCTTCGATGGCGTGGGGGAAGATGAGACACCTCGTTCACCGATACGAAAGGCGCACGAGCGCGTGTCCTCCAGATCGCTGAACGGCACAGCAGCCAAGCAAGCCGACGGAGGAGGGAAAGGCGTGGATGGTACCGACGAGAAAAAGCTGCAGCCGGGAGCGGTCATGTACGAGAATATTCGCAACAAAAGCGGTGATAATCTGGCTTCCATCAAACCTGATGCAGGATACGAGCTGGCGCTCCAGCAACGGGAAGACAAGCCACCCACGGCCGAACAGCCCGCAGACGAGCGACGAGTGGACACACGAAAGGACAGCGAGCTGGTCTCGGGACGTCGTGCGGGCGCAGGATGGTCCACGAGTGCCATTCGATGGGCGCCCCTCAACGTACCACTGCAGAGGCGATTGCAAACCCTGATCGTGCTGCTTCACACTCTATCCATAGTTGGAGGCGTGGCCATCTTCTTCATGCTCTGCGCCATTCCCATACTCTGGCCCATCCTGCTCCCCTATCTACTTTACGTCCTCCTCTCACGCGCTTCCATCGACGGCGAGCTGGCTCAGCGTTCACAATGGCTGCGCTCCAGCAAGATCTGGTCTCTGTTCGGTTCCTATTTCCCCGCCCGGCTTCATCGAAGCCAGGAGTTAGAACCAACCCGGAAGTATGTCTTCGGCTACCATCCCCATGGTATTATCAGTCACGGTGCTTTCGCGGCCTTTGCGACAGAGGCATTGGGGTTTAGCCAGCTGTTCCCTGGCATCACCAACACTTTGCTCACCCTCGACTCCAACTTCCGTCTTCCCCTCTACCGTGACTATGCGCTTCGAATGGGCTTAGCGTCGGTCAGTAGAGAGAGCTGCGAGAATCTGCTTTCCAAAGGCGGCCCCAACGGCGAAGGCATGGGCCGAGCAATCACCATTGTCATTGGGGGCGCTCGCGAATCGCTCGACGCAAGGCCCTACACTCTTCGCCTTGTGCTCAAACGACGAAAAGGATTCGTCAAACTCGCCATTCGGACTGGAGCCGATCTCGTGCCAGTGCTGGCCTTTGGCGAGAACGATTTGTACGATCAGTTGGATTCCAGCAGCCATCCATACGTGCACAAGTTGCAGCTCCTCGTCAAGAAGTTTATGGGTTTCACAGTGAGTCCGCTGACAACACTCCGATTTATTCACATACTGACAAGACGTCTTCAGGTCCCACTCTTCCACGCTCGCGGCGTCTTCAACTACGACGTTGGTATGATGCCTTATCGCCGACCCGTTAACATCGTGGTCGGACGTCCCGTTCGCATCATGCAGTCCAAGAACCCAGATCCAGCTTACGTCGATGAGATCCACAAGCAGTACGTGGAGGAGCTGTTCAGGATCTGGGAAGATTGGAAAGATACCTTCGCTCGACATCGGCAGGGCGAGCTTGAAATCGTCGAGTAGGATGATGACTTGTACCTATCTTGTAGTTGAATGAACCCCAGGGCTTGCGTTGTGAGGCTTGGATGATGATTGTAGCATATGACGGCCTGAGCGAGGGATTCCGCTAATAATCATGATCTGTTCAGCCACATGCTTCGAACACAGAAAACATATTTCTCAAGTGACGATTCGTACATACTGCGTGGCGGTACGGCATTATGTGAACGTTATCCGCTTCGACGTCAAGTCCTCAACCATATCTTCAAATTCCTCGCGCTTTCGTTTCCGCTCCGCTGCATCTGGGTCTTCGACGGGATCGGCAGATTCTTCCTGCTCCGTTATGATGTCTTCTCTCGTCCTCGGCTTCCAGCATCTAATTGTGCCATCCCCGTGCGCCGAGTACATTTCAACATGGTGGGCTCGCCATGCCAGAGAAGTCGTCCTGTTCTTTGGATTTCGAGCATTGGAATCTGATTGAAATCCTGGTAGACCACGCACACGAAGGCGGTTTTGCAGCGTCCCAGAATGCATGTCGAAGGCCAAGATCTCTTTGGGGTTCGGGTAGAAGACTGTCTCTTGTCCTGCTGGTGACAGGTGGCTGGGTGCGATCAAAGGGAGCATTATCGTTGTCGTGGCATTCTTCAGCCCGGGTCCGAAGCTGGCAAGAGTATTCGCCCCGGTTGTGATGTCCCATACACGCATGCGCTCATCATGGCCGTTGGACACAAGATATCGGCCGTCTTCTGCCCACGCAACGCCGTTGACTGCGCCGTTATGTGATTTGCCACGTTCACGTCGTCGAGCTCCAGTGCCTTTGCCATCGTATCCAGCGACACCGATGCTGTCTTCCATGTCGAGCACTCCCAAGCTACTGGCACTTCGTCGCACATCCCAGAGTCTCACAACCCCATCCGTGGCGCCGCTTGCCAGCACATTTTCGTCCTTAGGATGCCAGACTACGGTGAGCACCGACCCTGAATGACCAGCAAGAGAATGGGTGCTGGCGCCTGATCGCAAGTCCACGAGTCGAACAGCCGGATGTTGCGATGCACACGCCACCAACAGATGCGTGGCGACTGTGGATGTCGCGTGCGAATACAATGTTGACGCAATGTCAAACGTTGCGGAGGCTTGCAAAGTCTCGGAAGAGAACAGCTTCAGAGTGTGATCGTAACCGCTAGTAAGTAGCGCCAAGGAGTCGAAGGGGTAGAACGAGATGTGCGTTATGCCTAAGCTCTGGCTTGTGGATGTTCTCGCAGAGACATCAAGTGGCAGATGGAGTATGGAGCCATCGTCAGCCTCAGTCGCACTTTCGAGGTCCCATACGGCCAAAGACGACTCTGCTCCACCAGATATAAGGCTTGAACAGGTCAGCGTTGCGGTCCGGATGGCCAGCAAAGGGACATACTATCTGCCTTCGAATCGATCGATGGCTATGCTGCTGACGCCTGAAGCATGCGCCAAGTCTCTGGTATGAGCGTCATTTCGAGAGCCGTCGGGTTCTTGGAGCGCGAAGTTGACGTTGGAGGCAGATTGTAGCGCTTTGAGAAGGCGGTTGTTCTGGGCGTTGGCCAATTCCCGTGGGCTTATGCTACCCAGCTGGCGATTCAACAGAAACGAGTTCATGGGTGTTGCTCATGTTTGATGGGGTAAACGTATTGTCGTTGTTGATGGACAAGTGGACGGGCAAGAGCCAGGTGAAGTCGAGACGCCTGGGAGCTGATTGGCTGGCTGCGAGCACCAAAAGTGGGTCTCGCGTTCAGCGACTTCAAGTTCCATCTTGGCTTCTCTTCTCTTACGCTCCTATCAATCGGCATCAAAAATCATGAAGTCGTTAAATATTCAAGTCTAACTGTTTGCACTGGAACTGTGCTTTCATCGCCCTCTGATCGTTCGCAGCAGCCCCTCGATCTTGATCGCCTTTGCCAAAAGCAAGCCCCTTTTTCCAGCAAGTTCCAAGAGGCCTTCCAAAGAAGCAAGGTCCAGAGCAGTGTCCAAGAGACAAATCATCTAGCGAACTCAATCTGGGGGAGGATAAGCTCGGTGGGAGACTTGTAGCACGCTGGTATCTGCTCATGCGCAAGGCAAGCTGAAGGCATGCGCATCAACCATGGGATCTGCATCGATCGCTTCCATCGATGTGCATGAGAACATGTCAAGCTCAGCAACGGCGGGCCGATAACCCGAGCAAGCGACAGAGATCTGGTCAGGCTAAGTGAAGCTGGTGTATACAACGCAGACCGAACCGCACATGGGGGATCGAATTGAACCAAGCGATATGTCTCTGGTCTGCTCCCGGTGCCGAGTAGTCGAGCATCATTCGTCACGGCGCAAGGTAAGTTTGAAGGACTCGCTCGTGAGCATGGCAGCCACATGGCCACATGTGTGTGTTTAAGGCCAAGCCTCGATCTGAGTGAATCTTTGGCTAAATGCAATCGATTTAGCCGGCAGCTCTCTCCGCAAACCCTTTCCAATCCCAAGCGAAACCTGGAGATGCGGGATAGTCTGCATAGAGGCTCTAATCTGGGGTTTCGAATGCAGTAGCGTCCCTTCTACTCTTCTCTGGGATTGTCGTTGACCAATGACCGTCTTACCGCTCACCTTCCTCATAGGTTCTGCTACAGCGCCCAGACTGGCCGACTCGCGAGGTGGCTGCAAGCGATATTGTGGCGTTGCTACTTGGTCACACTACATTCAGATGCCATTCAATCGTTGCAGCCGCGGTATGAGACACCGGATAAACTGGATGAATGCCCATGGGAAGCTGAGGCAACATATAAGGAACGTTTTCACAGCGGAGGGGCCAAACCAAGTCAGCAACTTCTTCCATTGTCCATACCATCCGGTCGGGGTCCTCGCTTCCCATTCAGACACCCTACGTACTCGTCCGAGCCATGGACCGTCCAACAAAGGGCACTTTCCGCCTGGCAGAACGCGAATTCCCTGAAGTCACATGGTATCGAGATCCAGGATTGAGGAGGACCTACATCTGTTTGATATTCGTCGTTCTCACATCAGCAACAAACGGCTTCGATGGCAGTCTGGTCAATGGCCTGCAGTCGCTGGAGCCATGGCAGGAGTGTGAGTGCGGCGATTGAAACTTGTTTGAGAGTCACGATGTACTGATTGACCAGACTTCGACCACCCCAAAGGCTCGCTCCTGGGTCTGTTCGCTTGCATCATGTCCGTGGGCTCCTTGGTAGCCCTGCCTGTCGTTCCATACAGCGCCGACTATCTCGGTCGTCGCTGGGGCATCATCATCGGCTGCTTGATCATGATGCTTGGAGTCGTGCTGCAGAGCATTTCGATCAATTTTCGAATGTTCATTGCCGCACGTTTCTTCCTCGGATTTGGCGTCGCCATCGCTCACGGAGCCTCGCCTCTTCTGATCACGGAGCTTGTGCATCCTCAACACAGAGCAATCTTCACCACCATCTACAACACGACGTGGTACTTTGGGTCGATCATCGCCGCTTGGGTCACGTTCGGAACGAACCACATGCCGAAGTGAGTGTTCATCGCATTAAAGAGCTTATGATGACACTGACTTTCGTACAGCAACTGGTCATGGCGTATTCCATCGATCCTACAAGCAGCACCATCTATACTGCAACTCATCTTCGTCTGGTTTGTTCCAGAGAGCCCCCGTTTCTTGCTTGCCAAGGGTAAGGCAGAAGAAGCCCACAACGTTCTGGCCAAGGTCCACGCCAACGGGAACAAGGAAGACGAAGTTGTCCTGCTTGAGCTGCAGGAGATCAAGGATACCATCACCTTGGAGAAGGAGTTCGAAGGCAACGGCTGGTTGCAACTCTTCAAGACCAAGGGCAACCGCCGCAGGTTGATCATCCTGCTTTCTCTTGGTCTTTTCTCGCAGTGGTCTGGAAACGGGCTTGCCTCATACTACCTGAACCTCGTGCTGAACGACATCGGTGTGACAAACAGCAACACACAACTCGTCATCAACGGCTGCCTCCAGATCATGAACTTCATCGTTGCAATTGGCCAGTGCTTCGTGGTCGACTACGTGGGCCGAAGGACCCTCTTCTTGGTCTCAACCTCCGGCATGCTCGGGGCTTTCATCATCTGGACTGCCTGTGCGGGCGAGTTTGCAAAATCTGGCGTCCAGGCACTCGGCAATACTGTGATAGCCATGATTTTCTTGTATTACGTTTTCTATAACCTTGCCTGGAGTGGCATGCTGGTGAGCTACTCTGCAGAGATCTTGCCGTACAATATCCGAGCCAAGGGCATGACGCTGATGTTCCTGATGGTGGACCGTAAGTTGAAGCCGGCCAACCCTTAAAGCTGAGATCGAGCTGACGCAGTCGTTCACAGTCGCGCTCTTCTTCAATCAATACGTCAATCCAATTGCACTGGAAAACATCGCATGGTGAGTCCTTGTCAATTTTGAGGTCATGGTGACCGGCGACTGACTCAGACTCAGGAAATACTACATTGTCTATTGCGCATGGCTGGCAGTCGAGCTCTTAGTCGTGTACTTCTTCTACATCGAAACTCGATACACCCCCTTGGAAGAGATCGCCAAGCACTTCGATGGCGAAGATGCTATCGTTGGAGGCGCCGTGGCCACGGAGAAGAGCAAGGTTCTAGCCGCAGAAGTTGGTGGATTGGACACTGTCGACCTTGACAAGAAGAACTATCACGTGGAGCACAAGGAATTGTGAATGTTCGGAGTCATATGCTCATTCAACGACTTTGTTGGTGGATATTGGCAGCTTGTTGTTATATTGGCTTCGGTGGTGAAGGCTGGCATGTGATGCGCCAAGACCTCCAGATCGCGCCTTCCTCACCTGTACTGAAAGTGAAACGCGCTGTAGTGGGAACTTTATTTCAACATCACCTGCTTCAACTCTCAGCAGCTCGATACACCGCTCTTGTTGTTCATCAACCTCGACACCCTCGCCAACACAATACAACATCAGCCGACAAGATGGTGAGTCTGGCAGCACCCCATCACGAGCTCACATAGACTGACCAACCTCGCAACAGGCCAAAGGAATAGAGTGTAAAGCCCCAAAGCTGGCGGCCATCGTTACACACCTGCAGAAGTCCCGCGTCTGCTGGAATCTCAAGGATCTCGAGAAGCAAATTCCATCGATCGCTTCCATCAATGGCATGCACGTCAAAGGTGACAGACAGCTGAATCATCCAACTTCCACGGTCCACAATAACTGACCATCATCACAGACTATATCCAGTGCCTCCAAGACGAAAACCGCATCTGCGTCGAGAAGATCGGCTCCGGCAACTGGTACTGGTCCTTCGCATCCACCGACAAGCGCAAGAAGCAGAAAGCCCTCGAAGACGCCCAGGCCGCCAACACCAAAATCTCCTCCACCGTCGTAGAACTCCGCGCCAAGCTGAAGGAGACCTCCGCCCGTGAGGAAGAAGACGACGAGGAAGGCGGAGAAGCCCGAGAGGAGTGCATGGCGAAGAAGGCCGTTTTGGAAGCCGACATCAAGACGCTGGACGGCAAGCTCGTGGCGTACAGCGACAACGATCCGATGGAGCTGGAGCGGAAGGAGAAGGAAACGAAGGTGTTGCGGGATGAGGCGAGCAAGTACACGGATGACCTCTACTCGATGGAGGGCTGGTTCCGGAAGCGGGATATGCAGCAGGCGCTTACGGTCTATCGCATGAGTCTCTACGGGGATGAGTGGGACACGGAGGAGTATGACTTCAAGGATTTCTGAGCGAAGGCATGATGCAGGGTGGTCAGGTTGAAGAGAATCTGCTTTTGATGCAGTTCGCATTATCTCGCTTGCGATGTCGAACCAGCTTAATTAAGATGAGTTCATGAGAAGATCATTTGAAATTCGACTACACGAAGATTGATGTTCATTCTGTCTTCCTGATACGTTATAGAACCTTCGTCGCTATATACATCCACCAATGCATCCAGGGGTATAAAATCAAAACGCCGGCCTATGCAAAACAACATCAAGCGACTCAGTGCGTTCAAGTACAACCAACAAGTCGAAGTCAGATGAGCTCTGTGCATCATCGCTCAGACTCCCCCAAAATCCCCGTGACTTCAACAACTACATTGAAAACAGTGCTGATGGTCCAAAGCGCAATCATCGCCCACGCAATCTTGCGATTCAGCACCCACCGGTTGAGCGGCACCAAGATCAACAAGCCCACCAAGGTGATGAGCAACGTGATGCCGCTAACAATCAGCGTTTTGCTGACCTCGATGTGATAGCTCTTGAACTTGATGCCCTTTTCCGGGTGCTTTTCGTGCCTTCGTTCCGAGTCGCGGATGAGGATGTAGGATCCTGACAAACCAACCCCCAGAAGGATGTTGAGCATTGGGCCTCCAAAGCAGGCTGAGAGTGCCATGACAGGGTACCCAAGCTTTGCAACCGTGACATCGGCGACGAGATCTCCAAGAGAATTTCCCACGGCGAAGATGGTGAGGCCCATGATGGCGTGAGACATGTTTAGAATAACAGCCAATGCTTTCAGTGCGCCAACGACCTGGGAAGCTACCGCAGAGATCCAGGCAATGGAGACAACAAAGCCAGCCAGACTGAGGATGATGCGGTAGATGTTGGGACGATGGGTTGGCGTAGTGGTGAGCAGAAAAGGTATGAGGAGTACGACGGAAACCAGCAGGGATATCAAGATGGCTCTAACCAGCCAGATAGGGGACAGGTCCATCGGTGCTTGGATATAGATGGACAGTACGATAAATATCGGTGCCAAGAGGAGCTGTATGATAGCCAGCCACCGGTTCCAGAGCTCTGGTTGTGCATCGTTGCCTTCGTCAATGACTTGGGAGTGCAACGGCTGTGGTTCCGCCGACACTGTGGCATGGTGGTTGTGTTGGTGACGATGCTGCTCGGCGTGAGCAGCGACCGTGGCAGTATTGCCCATTCCCGTAACGCCATCCGTTGCCAAGTTGTGTTCGTGGTGTTGGTAGTCAGAGCCATCCAACATGTATTCGGGGACAATACCGCCCTTGGGACCAGGAGAGACTGTGGCTGTGGCGGCGCTCTTAGATCGTGCGCTGTCTAGGCTCAGGTTCTTGGCGGGGGTCGTCGGCACATTATCTGCCTCGTCCTTCTCAGTCTCCACCACAGGCAACGTGATCGTCAACATGAAAACACTTGGGGCAGCCACGATCCCCAAGATCTTCTCCCACCAGCTTTTCTCATGCCAGTGGTATATCGTGGGAAACAATGTCGACATCAAGACACCAGGAGGCGGCAAAATGCTGTACGGCCAGAATTTGGTCAATCTTGTCGGTCGACGGGAAACTTCTTGTTCGACAGCCTGGTCGGCTGGTAAAGATTCGGGGGAAACTGGACCTGGCAGATACAGACTGGGTGGCCTCGTGCCTGCGGGCGACCTTGTGCTTGCCGTGATCGAAGGTGATGGATAGTCACGATATGCCGGAAAGGGAGAAGTGCCGCGGCTGGACGGCGGGGATCTGTCGTTTTGTGGAATTACAATCTTGGGAAGCATCCTCGCACGAGGGACCAAGCGAGGCGAATCTTCAGGGGAATCGGTACCGCGGCGTGATGGTGCTCGTGGCACAAAGTAGTCACTTGAAGGCCGATTGAGTGGGGCCGGTTCTGGTGGGGCCAAAAGATCTCCTGAAGCTGTGGATGCACGGCTGCGAGTCTCAGAGAAAGGGCTTTCTCGTGCTGGTGTGGCAGGCTCGACCATCAACGCCGGCGAAGTTGGCGATGTAGGATGCGATCCAGGATGAGCAGGGTGGGGAACTTCCAAGAGACTCCTAGGGCGCTGTCCCTGCTCGGTTGGGCCATCAGCGAGATTGTCCTCCGACTGGATAGGAGTCAAGTGAGGGAAGTGAGCACCAAGCCGTAGAGTTGCTGCGTCATTTGCAGACACTGCTCTCGTTCTCCCGGCAGGTGCAGAGTATGGCGTTGGCACGTCGAAGCTCGGTCGTTCAAGCAATGGGGAACTCTCGTCAGTTACGTGCACTTCGTAGGCCGGTCGAGCAGCCGGGTCAGACACGGATGACATCTGATCCTGCTGCTGGAGGGTGGTGTATGTTGGGTCGTCCGAGTAGCGCCGGGAATCCAGAGGGATTGTTTGAATGTTTCGGGACTTTTGCAACGACTTGAGCACTGCTTGAAACTCAAGCGCGCCGACTAAAGATGGGCGGACCGGGGTGACCGTGTTGCGTCTCGAACGAGCATTTGGCCTGGTGAGGCGCATGTTGCTCGATAAGTCACTCATCCACCTATCCCTGGCTTCTTCCTCTTCGTCTTCGTTGTAGGCATCTTCGTAGGGCTCGGCGGAGCCTCCCTCCAAAGCACTCCAGTCTTCTCTCGATACCCCTCTGAAGATGCTTGGCCTCCGTCGTTCGGCGGCTTCCGCTGGGTCGTCGTGGTATGGCTCGTGGTCCAGCTCGTCCTCTCCAGGATTCACGAAATGCCCCCTCGCTGCCGCTTCCTTCTCCCTCCTCACCCGTCTTCGCCCCACCCACCAATGCCATGCCACCACGAAGACCACGTAGAAGATATAGTATATAACCATTGTAATGCACTCCCAGAAGTGCAGCCTCCCGTCCCACAGAAACACCATGCTGAAGGCGGCTGCCACCGCAAAGAACCCCACATCTCGGATGAAGGTGTTCTTAGAGACGTGGAACGGGCGGATCAAAGCCATGGCACCTGCGACCACCGCCGTGATGAATCCCGCCGCCCCAAACAGCTCTCCCACCGCCAAACTGCCGCTATTCGTGCTCATCGCAGCAAATGTGGAAAAGACATCCGGGCTGCCGTTCCCAAACGCCAAGAATGTCACGCCCGCCATGCTCTCGCTCATCCCCAGGATCCCAGCAATCGTGCTCAGATCAATGCAGAAGAAATCGCTAGCGGCGATGCCAATGGTGGAGAAGAGCAGGCCGAGCCATGATATGAGGATCAGGAAGGCCACCGGTTTGGCGTGCGGCAGCCTGCAGTAGAACAGCTCAAGGTAGGCCGTGAAGCCTCCCTCGTCTGGCGGGCAGTTGGCGCGGATGTAGGCGCATTGGTCTGGCGAACTGTGGACTCGGCGACAGTCGTCCTCGCCGCGGACAGAGATGGGCGCATCAAGGGAGCGGGGGTGTATCGGCGGCGCGGGTCGCGGGCGGAGGTAGGGGTCGATGAGGAGGGCGTAGGTCGCGAAGAGGAGGCAGAATCCGGTGGTCAAGAAGAACCTGCCGGCGGCGCGGTGTCTCGTTCGGGGGCGGGCGTCGTGGCGCATATCGATATCGTGGGCAGCAGTGGTGGAGGAAGGACGATCATGCTGGCCGGTCTGTGATCCAACACCGGCGCATGGGCAGCGAACTAAAGTTGACGGTGGCAATTGATGGAGATTTCAATAGGGCGGTGCTGCCGCAAACAAGGCAGGCGTGCAGTGAGAAGGCTGCTGGAGCATTCGACCACTGGCAGCCCACTCGTTCCTCTGCCGCCGTGAGGTTCGCTCGTGCCAGGTTCCAAGCCGCCATGACGCAGCCCTCGGTTGCGCGGAGCTCAGCCCGACCTGTGGCTGAGCGAGTGTGGCTGACGGGGTGAACCTAAAGTCCGTTTGTTTACTCGTAAACAACCGCGTTGGAACCTCCGACACATGCTTCACACCACCCTCACCGCACCCTGCACGCCCCGACTCGCACCGTGATCGCAACAACACAGCATGCCTCGAGTGCGCGCAAACGTCGGCCAGCAGTCTGCGGCGTCGCTCGCCTCCTCGCACGCGTCGCCCTCCCGAGCGGCCCAGATTCCGCTGAACGATGACAAGGAAGAGAAGGCCAAGCGACTGCAGTCCCGCCAGGCCCTCCATTCGCAACAGATGAGCCAGATCAAGGCCGCCGCCGCCACCCCCCAGCGGAAGCGCAAATCCATGGGGCTGGGCGAGGGGCCGTCGACGCCCTCCCAGGACGACGATGTCTACGGCCTGCGAGGAGAGCATGTGACGCCTATGAAGCGCGTGCCCATCCTCGCCAACTTCGAAGAGTGGATGAAGATGGCCACCGACAACAAGATCAATGCGACCAACAGCTGGAACTTCGCCCTGATCGACTACTTCCACGATATGAGCCTTCTCAAGGAAGGCGACAGCGTCAACTTTCAGAAGGCCAGCTGCACGTTGGATGGGTGCGTCAAGATATACACCAGCAGGGTGGACAGTGTCGCAACCGAGACCGGCAAGCTTCTGAGTGGTCTGGCGGATAGCGGGAACAAGAAGCGCAAGGGCGGCGATGCAGAAGAGGAGGGAGGAGAAGAGGGCGATGAAGATGAGGAAGGAGAAGACGGCACGAAGAAGAAGGGCCGAAAGAAGACACAGAGATCGGCGGAGGCCACTTTGGTCACATCCTTCGACCATCTGCGCCTGAAGAAGATGGAGCTGGAGTTCTCCGTGGACCCTTTATTCAAGAAGGCGTCGGCAGACTTTGATGAAGGAGGTGCGAAGGGTCTGCTCCTGAATCATCTCTCCATCGACAACACTGGCCGCATTGTATTCGACAGCAGTGATGACGCTCAAGATCCGGAGGTGGATGACTCGCGACGAGATAGCATGGAGCCTGAAGGCGAGGAGGGAAAGGAGAGGGGGGAGCCCGAGCCACCAGTCGAAGATGGACCGGTCGATATCGTAGCTTTGGGAGCCCGTTTCTTCCCAGATCTTGACCAGCTGGACGAGCAAGACATCTGCCCATCACTGAAGACCTTCGAATTGGGCGGCGGCGACGCCTCACTCGACCTTCCCTTCCTCAAAGCACCGGAGAATTGGCGCGACGAGCAACCTGAACCTACTTCAGAGGGAATTGACCAGACGGGGATCAATCTCAACGACAACACCGCAGCTTTCGGCATGGATGACGACGATGCAGGAGTCGGCGGCTTTGATTTTGGGCCTGAAGTTGGATTCGGTGAAGGTGGCGAGGCTTGGGCTCGCGAGGCGGCATTGCACCCACAGATGCGCGTCTACAATGCAACGGCCGGCGCCGAATTTGGAGATGACGCTGCTGGTGAGGTGGGAGTTTTTGACACCGACAGCAACACGTATGGGGTCAGACTTCAACACAGACCCGAGCATGACCAGGAAAATATACTCAATTACTTTGACAACGCAATGCAGAAGAATTGGGCAGGACCGGAACACTGGAAAATTGCGCGAATAAAAGAAGCAAGCAAGGAAGGACCCAAGAAACCAAGGAAAGAGAAGGAGCCTTTCGAGATTGACTTTGCTGCGCCAATGTCCCAAGACCTTGCCAACTTGTTGTACACTCCCGCAACCAATAACAGCGCCATATGCTTGCCCAAGAAAGACTGGAAGAGCCGATCCCGAAATCTCCTGCCAGACGATAAACATTTCAACTCCAAGGATCTGCTCAAGTTGTTCTTGAAGCCGAAGGCGAAGCTAGGGTCACGCAAGCCGGGCAATTCTAAGCAGCAAGGCCTGCTGCCCAATGGAGAGGTCGACGAGGCGTACTGGGCATCGCATAACGCCGCACCTGCACAGCCACATCCCATGGACGACGATGCGGTGCAAGGCGATTACGACGCAAACTTCTTCCAGGACGATGGTTTGCCCACGGCCGGGGGCATCGACGATGATGACGACGAATTCGTGGACGCACGCGAAGCTTTCTCCCCTGGCGCGGACGAAGTCGATGCAGCAGGGCCGGTTGGCGCTGGCATCGACAGCGTTGCTGGCCCTCAAGAACCCGGTGCAGGAGAAGCCTTTGGGGCAAACCTCGTCGCGCAGTCACGTCGAATGCGGCCTGAATATGTGCAGTACGCACGTGTGGCGAAGAAGGTCGATGTCAGGCGGCTGAAGGAGGAGATGTGGCGAGGGATTGGATTTGAACAGAGGTCAGTATCTTTCACCCTTCCCGCTCATCAACAAGTCACTGGCCACGATGGCTCGCTGTGTGCCTTCATGATATGTTGCACGTTGATGGGCAACTTCCGCACCCAATTCAAGAATCTTCAAAGCTAACACTTCCCTCCCAGACCCGATCCCGATGCTTCCACGTCAAGACCCCAGATCCCAGCGCTTTCCATGGACGACAAGTCTACACTAAAGTTCACCGACATCATGAACAACCTCCAACACGTGTACCATAAGCAACAAATGGCTGACATCAGCACATCGTTCGGCTTCATATGCCTGCTGCATCTTGCCAACGAGAAAGGCTTGGTAATCGAAAATGTCGATGGCTGGAGTGACTTGACGGTACGGAAAGACTTCGATGCGATTGTGTCAGAAGGCGGCGATTGAAAAGGAAAGATTCGCATGGCCACAGGCGCATATTGGCTGGACGGAGTTTCCTGGACATGGTGATCAGCCTTTCGTATTGCACGTTTCATGACTCCTCGGGGATTGATGACTGGACTAGTAGAGAGACTTGTACAAAAGACTTTATTGATTGATGCATGTTAAGGTTACCGTCTCTTTCACCAACAGCGATTGACGTGGTGACCTTCTTCTTCGAGCCCACGGGACTCATGCTCGGGTCAAACACCTGGCATGTGAAAGCCTCTAGCTCGAGGAGTTAGGACTTAGGCCGCCTATAAGGAAAAGACGAAAAGATAGCGCGACATTCCTTCGACACTAAATCAGTATCGCAGACTCTGAGTGGACGATCATGGACGCCTTATACAGGTTTGACAGCATGAAGACGACGCTAATGTTCAGGCAACCACTATCCTCGCCTTCGATAGCAGCACATCCAGCGCTCGGCCGCATCTTCGGCCGAACCCAAAAGTGCTCCGGCTTATAGGTTATGGCACGAACAGCGACCACGGCTCGATACCAGGTCTCGGATGTAAATGCAGGATGAACGGTATAAAAAGGACCTCGACGTCTTGTCGGAATCCAATCCTTCCTATCACACAACCTCCAATACTCAGAACAACACTCCTACCACAACCCCAATCACAAAACATCTCTCGAAAATCATTCCATCCATTGAATCCATCCCACTTCACCTCAAAACGCACCATCCTCACCATGTCGACCACCGAACAAGGCCTCCAACGCGCCTTCAAAATCGTCAGCGAAGCCCAAAACGACCTCATCAAATCCACGCCCCAACTCGACTTCGCCATCTCCAACTCCAAAGCCCACGGCCTCCCCTCCATCGCCATCGCCCCCGCCCAGGGCGTCTCCCTCTCCATCCTCTGCCAGCTCGTCCAGGCCAAGAACGTCCTCGAGATCGGCACGCTGGGCGGGTACTCGACGCTTTTCTTCGCCAACTCAGTCCCCGGGGTGAAGGTCACTTCGATTGAGTACAACCCGAAACATCACCAGGTCGCTTCGGAGAATACCAAGGATGCGAAGAATGTTGAGATTATCCTTGGAGCTGCACTGGATGTCCTACCCAAGCTGGCGGCGGAAGGTCGCAAGTTTGACTTCGTCTTCATCGATGCGGATTGGGATGAGCAGAGGGAGTACTTCGATTGGGCCGTCAAGTTGACTAACAAGGGCAAGGCAATCTATGTCGATAACGTGGTGCGGCAATTGACCGAAGCCGAGGCGGATGGGAGTGACAAGGGGAGGGCGTTGATTGATCATGTGAGGCAGGACGATAGGGTGGAAGCGACGTTGATCCCTACGTTGAGCACGCACAAGGTAAAGACTTCGGAGTTGGTGGATGGGTATTTGTTGGCGGTGGTGAAGTAGACCGTGAGGCGGTGCCAGGTTTGTTGGGCTGTTGGAGTAGGTAGATAGTTTGATCTATCGAAGGCCTTCCACCTGGAATATATTTCACTCATTCCCTTGGGCGAGCTTTGTATCTGTACGAGTTGTCTCTCGCAGCGAGTGGGCAAGATCCAGATAGCGTTATCTGATTGCCAGTGTCGCAAAGGGTGACGTCCGTGGAAAAAGTCCTAGTGTCAAAACAACCTCCGAAGGCGAACGCCGTCGACCGAACGCCGATTCCGTACAACATGTCCATCACGTGTGTCGTAGATCGTTCAAATGAGAATTCCCGTCTTTGCCCAAAGAAAATCCCAATAGCTCACCCGCTGGCCCAGACATTGTCCTTCAAGAACTGGAGAACTTCTGGGTTCATGGCATGCTTGTCTTCCCGGGGTAAACGAAGCACTTCAAGGCCCTCCAAGCTCCTCGCCCGCGAGAGTGCAACGTAAATCATCTCCTTTTCGAAGCTGTTGTAGAGATCCACCGAGACAAGATCCAGAGTCATCCCTTGACTTTTGTGAATGGTGATCGCCCATGCGGCCGCCAGTGGTATGTTCGTTCTTGAGAGTATGCTGTACGGCCGCTCAGAGCCGATTTCCTGTATTTGGCAGCTGGGATAGATGGCTCTAGTGATGCCGCATCGAAACTCGACGACAGGGAACTCTTGAACGGCGGCACGCTCGACGAATTGGCGGCATTGGTCTTCTTTCCACGCAGCGATCTCGCTCACGGCATCGGATTCTTTCGAGCCCTTGCCAGATCTCGACGGCGAGCCTGGAGGCTTTTGCACGAGTGGGAAATTCGGATTGTATCGCTCAAACCCCACGATCTTGCCTTGACTGCCATTCACAAGACCGGCCTGCAAGTCTAGATTGACCAGTAGAATCACCAGCATGCCAGCTTTCAGCTCAATCCGTTCCTCGAAGCGGTGGTCTCGAAGTGCTGCAATCGGTCCATCCGGCCGGTTGGCATACAGCAACCTGCCCTTATCTTTCAACGCAAACTCATCCTTGTTCCGCCACTCAAAGCAGTCGACACAATCGTACGAGCGTGGAGTGCCGCGCAGCATCCGAAGCCCTTCTAAATTCTTGCGATTGACCTCCGCCTTCTGAGGTAGCAACTTGACCGCCGCGCTCATATTCTCCTTCTTTTGAACTAACACTGCCTTTTCGTCCGCGGAAAGTGACTGGCCCACTCTGACCTTCTGGAGCATGGAGATGAACTTGGAATCCTTCTGCCGGTGAACGTGTTTCAGCTCAAAATAAGTAAACTCGGCAGCTTGCCACGCAGGACTCGCAAATGCCCACTTCTGCTTGTCCTCGTATACCCGGTGACAACGACCGCAAGTCTTTTTATGCCCTTCCTGTCCTTCAAGGTCACCGCCGCCACAGTAGAGACAGAACTGGAAAGGCCTGACAGGTGGTAGCTGGCAGAAATCGCCAGTCACTATGAGCTGGACTCCACCCATGCAATACCGGGCGCTGTGTCGTGAGTGTGAACGCCGCTCGCCTCGTTCCTGTTTCCAGCCATCTCTCACCGCACGCATGGTTGCATCAAGTCTTGTCATCATATCACTTTCCACCATGGATATTTCGTCGATGACCAAAACATCTGTTTGACACAGTCTCTTCCGTACGCTCTTACCCCAAGCCTTCGCCACGAGTTTCTCAAGGCCATCTTTGAACACGTCTGGGTGCCAGCCAGCATATGAAAAGATGGTCGAGCCACCTATCGCCAGTGCGGCGATGCCCGATGGAGCAATGATATCCACTTGCTTGCCTTGATCTTTCAACGCTTTTACGAAAGCTTTTAGTACCGTCGACTTGCCCGTTCCGGCCGAACCAGTGTAAAAGACATTGTAGCCTTGGCTCACAGCGTGGACGATTTTGGCTTGCTCTTCATGTAAGGGGGGTTCTGGCGGATCGAGTGGCATCGCAGCGGATTCTGTGCCGTACTCACTTCGCATGGGCGGTGGAGTTGAGGGACGCTGTGGAATGGTCATCGGTGGTGGAGGGACGCGGCAAGACCGACATTTCCATCCGCTCGTATCTTTATATTTGGCGGTGTTCGCAAGACCAACACATCCCTTGTGGTATATCTTGATCTTGCACGAGTCGCTTGCGCACTGTACAGTGTCCCCAGCTTCATCCTTTCCACAGTTGCAAACCACATTCCAGATCGAAGACGAGGGGGGAGGATGTCGTTGGAGAGGTTGAGCATCACGACGAGCGGGGCGGACTGGGTGGTCACCCTCGCCAGTCAAGTCAATGACGGCAGGCTCGGAGCGTTGGGTGGCATTGTTCGCTGTGTCAACCGTCAGTGTGGCTCGAAGGAAAGGCCATTGCACATACCAGGCTGTGAGGCAGCCGCTCGCCTGAGAAGGCCAGACGAGTTGGGTAGGTAGCTGTTGGGTCTTGGAGCTTTGGGCTTAGGCTTTGCCGGACGTGAGACGAAGCCGTACGCGTCCAGCCCAGACGTCTTTCTCTTCCTGTCCATCTAGGTCGGGCTTTTGCGTTGTTCGTATGACGGTTTATATTGCAGAGACGCGTGGGGACGTGAAGCGCGTAGAGCGTTTCAACGCGGGGGAGGCGGAACCAACCGTCCAAATGTCGAGGACAAGGTTGACAGGTCACAAAAGTCAATACCCGCACTCGAACACCAGTTCTGGTGGAGATGGCGTATATCGGGCTTTGCTGGACAGCCTGATGCGTGCGTTCGCCAGAATGGAGGTTCTGGTATCCCCATTGTTACCACTCCCCACTCCCACCAAGCTCTCGTCTCCTCATCGAGCACCCTGGACGATGGGTTGTTCTTGCTGCTGTTGTTGCGCCTTGAGGGCTCTTCTACGCATGGCGGACCTGGCTCTCCTCCTGCCTCGCTTCGACTTGCGCGCCCATCGGTCGGTCACATCCTCCTCTCCCACGTTGGACTGCGCATTCTCCTGCTGCGTCGGCTTCTCGGCGGGGTCGCTGGCCTCGATGTCATCGTCGAAGTCCAAGCTACACTCGTCAGCTCGCGGACTCCCATTCCATCGTCAACAAGGCGCGCCTACTCGGTCGACGTCCTCAGCGCGGGCGTGCGCTTGGCCTCCTCCCGGACGGCGCGTTTCTTCTTCAGCAGCGCCTCGAGTCCATTGTATTCCTCCAACTCCTCCAGCCGCTTCTTCCGTTTCAAGAGGTGCTGCATCAGCGGGTCGTCCTCCAGATCGATTCCGTTCGGGGGCGACATGGCTGCCGGTGTGTTGTTGTCGACCCGCGACTGTAGACATGCGGCAGTGGAAGCGGCATCCAATCCAGTCCAGATGTCGAGATCTTGGGTCGGCCTCGGCTCGCTTCGGCATGCTCAAACACCGAAGCGGACTTCACCTCACCTCCTCGCCTCGACTCTCAGCGTGTCTCTCCCACAGTCCTCTCCCTCACATGTAGACTCCTGATGTTCTGTTGTCTCCATGGCAGATCAACGCCATCGTGCGCTGTGAAGGATCGTCGACGGAGATGAAGGTTCACCGGAGTTGACGACTCAATGCGGTCTCCCAACCAGGTTGGTATTCCGTATCAACATAATATCCCTATACTACCTTCACGTCTTGTCTTTCATCGTTTGTGTGTCGTTTGACGTTGAGGCGGGCAGGTGGATTACATCATGATCTCGAAGGACGACCTCATCGCGCTGATTGATGCGGACCGCGAATCCCACTTGCACTTCCTGCAGTCTCTCATACAAACCCCATCGCCGAATCCTCCAGGAGATACTCAGAAAGCCATATCGGTCGTCAAAGATTTCCTCGACGCACAGAGCATCTCGTCGGAGATCATCGCCCCGAAGAAAGAATCCCCCAATCTGGTCAGCATATTCCACGGCGACGTTGAAGGCAAGGGCAAGCAGAGAAGCATTGCTCTCAACGGGCACATCGATCAATTCCCGGTGGGAGATGCAGACCGCTGGCTCAAAGATCCATACTCCGGCGACATCGAAAATGGCTTCGTCCACGGCCGGAGCGGCGTCGACATGAAGGCAGGAACCGCGGCTTCGATCATCGCCTTCTCGTACCTGCATCGCCACCAAGCCCAGCTTACAGGCCGATGCGTGCTTGAAGTCGTATCTGATGAGGAGACTGGTGGCAAATGGGGAACGCGATACCTTATCGAAGAGGACGAGCGTCTTGACCAATGGAGGGCGGATTGCATCCTCATCGGCGAACCTTCTGGACTCCAAAGTATACGCTTTGGTGAGAAAGGAACTTTGCGCCTCACGTTCACCGTCACAGCCCTGGGCTTGCATGGCGCTTATATCCACCGCAGTGAAGGCGCCATCAGGATCGCAAGTCGCTTGATTGAAAGGCTCGTGGGTCTCGAGAAGCTTACCAATATTGGCATGAATGAGGATCTCAAGGAATACATGCAGCGGCCAGAGGTACGAAAGGTGGCTGATGAGATCATGGGCAAGGGAGCAGCAGACGCCATGCTCATTCCAACAGTGAACATCGGGACAATCAAAGGAGGCGACAAGATCAATATGATCCCGTCGGAAACCATCTTCGAGGCCGACATCAGAATTCCGATTGGCGTGAAGACGGAGACGATTCGGGACTGTATTGACGATGTCTTGAAGGACTTCCCTACTACGAAGTATTCCATTCACGAAAACCACTCACACATATCCACGCACAGTCAGCCACATCACGAACTCGTCACTTTGCTGCAAGAGAACGCTAGCATCGCTGGTGGGACGATACCATATCCCATCTGCTCGCTGGGCGCTACGGACTGCAAGCACTTCAGGAGAAATGGCATTCCTGCATACGCACTTGGTCCCAGCCCAAATGGTATGGCTGAGAGAGACGAGAAGGTTAGCATTGATGACTTCTTGTATCTGGTGAAGGTGCACACATTGGCAGCGTGGGACTATCTGGGAGGATCAAAGTGAAGAATCATGTACACTCTATGTCCCAGTAGCTGGGCTGAAGCCATGTTACTTGGAATGCCTCGCTCGAAGTTCAACATTTTCCTTGTTCCCCGCTGTGGTTGAAAGTCTCGCCATGTGTGTTGCTTTGCAAAATGGTCGGAGATTACGACTTGTAGAACGCAATGAGGTGCGAGGCACGTCTATATACTGCTACACTGCAGACTATGCACCTACAAGACTAATCGCATCAACCAAAAGACTGTATGCTGTCGTGCCTGCCACGCCAAAGCTCACTCCTTCCCTCTCCAGCCTAGCGCGCACGCTAAAGCAGATTTCGCCGCAACTTCGGCAGAACAATTCTTAGGCATATATTTCTCCAAAAGCTTTACCCCTCGTCGAATCAGATTCGGCGTGGTGGTGCAGGGGTAGATGAAGGAGCTTGGGCTTGGAATTGGAGGGGGGACAGGCTGGGTTGGGAGGAAGGATAGGAAAGGGAGGAGGTTCGATTCCGAGCAACGACCAGCAACCGACCGACCGAACGATGCCAGACGACCGAAGTGGCACGAAACGACCGAACGACCGAACAAACGAGCAAAAAAAGCAAGACATGAAAAAGCATTTTCTGTCTTCTCTGATATCGAAATATCAGTTCATCTTGTTTTGCCTCCCTTCCATACTTTGAAAGATTTTTTTGGTTTGGGAGTTCGCATTACACCTTTACGTCGGCAAGGTACCTTTTCGATCTCGACAGGTAGCCGTGGTATTGCATTGGCGGCTTTGGATCAAGAGTCTTCACATTTCCGGTGCTATCTCGAAGGTGACTGGATAGCCTATGCGATGATCGGCACCTTGTGTCGTGGAATCGATCTCTAATGATCGCTTCATGAGCACCACCAAGTCGTGATGTTCACGGGCCTAGAACCATCAGCCATTGCGACGGAACTTCCAAACATCATCGACTCACTCCATTACGAGCAACGCCTGGCGTGCTCATTTGCCGCCGGGGGTGTACTGGGAGTAGCCATCACCCGAGTTGTAGTAGGTCGAGCCATCGGAGTTGCTATAGTAGCTACAAGAGAAAGGGCAAGCGTCAGTACATCTCTCGCAGTTGGTAAGGGACACCTTCAAGATATACATACTACGAGCCGTCCGTGTTGGAGTAGTGGTAGGAGTTGTCATTGGCAGCGTCGGAACCGTAGTCGCGAGAGCAGTAGTGGTTGCCCTGTTTGTGCGGATCAGTTGAATGTTCTTTGAAGACTCATCACAGCGATATGCTGACCTGGTCGTTGGTGCCGCTGGAGGCGATCTCGTAGCTACCGTTGCTGGAGCTGCCGGAGCCCAGTCGAGCCAGAATTGCCGTTGGAAGACATGATTTCGCAGTAATTGCACGCCGGTGTGTTGATGTTTTCTTTGAGCTGTGATTTTGGTCTGATGTTGGAGTTGAGAGGAGACTTGATCGAGAAAGAGAAGGAGGAGGGGCAGCTCATGTGGAGTCCATTCATTTTGGTATGTTTGCTACTTGCTCACTCTAGGCCTCTGAGCCAGTGAATGGAAGTAACTATCCAAGATTACTAGGGATGACCCCACCCTACCACGTAGGTACCCAAAGTCGCCGGAAATTACCCACATCTCCAGAAGGATTGAATCCCAATACACATTTCAAAGCAATTTTGAGAAGGACTTCCGCAACGAAGCGGCATTCAAGGATTGTCGAGAATGGACATTTGATGTCCTTGGGGCCAGCAAAGTCAGCACACCATCACATCCTGCTCCCAGCGACCTGCTTACCTGTATCCTCCAACCTATCGAGATCTACTTGCCGGGCGGCGTGTACTTGGAGTACCCATGGCCGTTGTTGTAATACGTCGAGCCGTTCGGGTTGCTGTAGTAGTACGATCCATTTCGATTGGAGTAGTGGTAGGAGCTGGGGTTGGCGACGAAAGGGCCGTAGTCACGATTGCACCAGTGATTGCCCTGGAGACAGTTAGCGTAATCAAGATGAATTGCAATCAAGGAAGGCAAATCTGATTGTTGATGCCGCTGGCAGTGATGGTGTAGCGCATGTTGTCGAAGCCAATGCGGCTGGAGCTTGGGTCACTCTTGGAAGACATGGCCAACTTCGTAGAGGTGGTCTTGGATCGAGAGGTTTCTGATATAAGTTGCTCCAATCCAAAGCCGTTTGCGGGAAGTTCTTGATGAGGACGGAAAGGAGGTAAGGTGGGAGGGCGTAGCTACTCATATCTACGATGACCTGGCAGGGGAGTCCTCGTTCCTGCATCCTGCTATCATCTAGCAAACAAAGCTGGAGCCCGGTGGTAATGCAGGTGCCCGATTCTGCTTACCGAGAGGGAAAGATCCATGTATTTGCAAGACATGCGCATGCCATCTCAGGTTTGGTGATGATTGAGCTCATGTTCCGGATTCATTCTCGTAGCTGAAGTCCATGAGCCTTGCGTATCGTTGGGGTGCTTCCCTGCTTGCTTCACCTTGCAATTCTTAGAAACACACCCTGTCGATACTGAGGGGTGAGTCCATGCCACAAGATCGCGTCATGCGAACGAGAGCTGGCGGCGTATTGTGGCCATGGCGCATCCACGAGCATTATCTGTCGAACTCGTCTTGGCCGCTTGATCTTGTGGCACCAATGTCCTTCGAATAGCGAGCATGGCCACGGCAAGCAGTAGCAAGCCAGTCCGAAAGTCCTGTCTGAAGCGGCGGAGTGTTTACGATGACTTTGGAAGCGTTGGCTCCAGTGGACCGAGCAGGCCTGACGGAATCAAGAAGCAGAGGCAGTCTACGCTGCCAGTACAGTCTTCCCAGCAGCAGAAGAACAAAGAGGAAATCAAGAAGCCAGGCCCGCCCAAGATCGACTTGACGAGTACACACGAGGCTGATCAGAGCAAAGGGTCAATGGCTGTTAGTGACCCGGGCAAGTCTGGACAGCCGGATATCATCCAGCTGGTAGGCAGACTTCAAACCAGAATATCCTGGTGCCCATTCTGATATGAAATTTCCAGCACGAGGCATACGTGATCCTGGTCCACACCTTCAACCCAGAATCCATCAGCGAAGTGACAGTCGGACAAGCCTTCCACTCCCTGGAGAAGGCGAACGAAGGCGTCGCAAATCTTTTCAGGCGAGTCAAGCCAGAGTTCGTCGACATCGTTATCGACATCGGAGTCGCGAACGAGTTTGACGAAGGAGGAGACACCTATCCCGATGTGAGGAGGAGGGTTACCTCGAGTGGGCGAGCCGCGTATCTGTGGCACACCGAGGAAGGGCGAGGTGAATTGAATGTACATAGGATTTTGATTGAGTAGGAAGGATGAGTCAAGTATTGGCGTGGTGGATTGGGTGAGTTGTATCCTGTCCTGCATCTTCCTGAGAGGCACGTTATCGCGGATCCACGAGGATGCGGAAGTCGACGTTGTTTGATGGTTCGGATGATGTACAGTATTGATCTCGTCGGTCGTTCGGGGGCGGAGGTGAGAGCGATGACAAACGCCCAGAAGTCGCGGGCCTCATCTGGTGTTCTCACGAACAACACACAGCAATGCTATTCGTTTGACGACACATCGAGGACGGTGCTTCATGAGTCCAATGGAAGCCTGTAAGTCTCCGTCACAATTTGGCTGGGTACTCGCCCGACGATCAGGCGAAGCCAGGCATCACGCCATCCGAGCTCTCCACGTTGACCTGCACCTTTCTCGCAACCGCAATCAGTAGACACGTCAACGTCGTCGCCTCACCATGGGTTCTCTTCCCAGCGAGCGGCGCCTACGGGCGAAGAGCGTCTGTATCATCGGGGCCGGTCCGACAGGCCTCGCGGCAGCAAAGTAAGGTCGGTTGGCCGATAGTGTCATCTCGAGGACTATGCCTGACGGCTTTGTAGGTATTTGCTCGCAGAGAAAGCGTTCGACCGAATCGCGGTAGTCGAACAACGATCTGAGGTCGGGGGAATATGGAACTACACGCCGTGCGACGATGAACCGGCCAAGGACCTCTCCGTTCCCCAGACAAGTCCTCACGCCGGCGTTGACAAGCCCGTCTGGAGAAATAGCAATGCGGCACACGTATTGGGCGAGAAAGAGGAGGAGGAGGCTGCGGCGTTTATCACACCCTTGTATGATCGCCTGGAGACCAACATACCGCGGGGTTTGATGGGCTTCTCGGACTTGGACTGGCCAGAGGACTGTCAGTTGTTTCCGAGGCACAACGATGTCCTCGACTATCTCAAACGGTACGCCCACGACGTGCGGCACTTGATCGAGTTTCGAACACAGGTGCTGGACGTCAGTCAGCTGGAAGATGGGCGGTGGTCTGTACAGACGCAGGAGGTACAACGAAACGTTCCACAAGCCATACAAGAGCACATCTTCGACGCCGTGATTGTCGCCAATGGACATTACGACGTTCCATACATCCCTTCCGTCCCTGGCATTGAAGCCTGGCACAAGTCTTATCCTGGAGCCATCACCCACTCCAAGTTCTACCGCAAACCTGAGTACTACACTGGGAAGAAGGTCATCGTCATTGGCAACTCCGCATCCGGGATAGACATTGGCACTCAGATTGGCACTGTATCGACGACGCTGATACTCTCCCAAAAGTCCGAGTCCTACTTGGGCAGCGTGGCATCACCTAACAAAGTGGAGAAGCCTGAGATCGTCGAGTTCATCGAGAAGGACCGCTCCGTGCGATTTGCAGATGGGACAAACGAATCTGACATTGACGCGGTGCTTTACTGAACCGGCTATTTCTACTCGTACCCATTCCTCGACTCTCTGGATCCACCTGTCGTGAGCACGGGAGAGCGGGTCGAGAACACTTACAGGCACTTCTTCTACCGTCCGAATCCCACTCTGGCTCTGCTCGCCCTAAACCAAAAGGTCATTCCGTTTTCTGTGGCGGAGGCGCAATCGGCCGTAGTCGCTCGCGTGCTAGCTGGTCGGCTTGCACTGCCCGATGAAGCCACGATGAAGCCCTGGGAAGAGGATGTGGTCGCCGATGCGGGCAATGGCAAGTCATTCCACGTCCTCAAGTTTCCCAAAGATGCGGACTATATCAACTCGCTTCACGACTGGGCCCTCCAGGCTGATGCAGGAGGTAAGGTGGTCGGTAAAACACCCCCATATTGGCGGGAGAAGGACTATTGGACACGCGAGCAGTTCCCCGCGATCAAGAAGGCTTTCCAGGAGTTTGGCGACGAGAGACACAACAAGCGGACGCTGGAAGATGTTGGCTTCAGCTTTGAGCAATGGCAGGCAGGAAGTCTCAAGAACAGAAGCTAGTGTAGCGCTATGACGGGGGTCGTTCAGATAGAGCAGATAGATCAAATAACTTCTAGAATTGACTACGAACATATCGGATCGACGCTCACTGGGTATATGGTAGCTGTGCTAGTGTTACAGGAACGCTTCAGAAGCGAGCTTTGACGGTTCCCTTCTCAATCTGACCAATGATTCCGCCACCGGCCAAGGTCCATCTTTCGCTGACCAGACCATCAGTCACGGCGTTTCTCAGCATCCCAGAATGAGCATAGTACTCCATGATGCCTCGCGCCTCCTCTTTGCTGAGTCCTTGAAGCCGCTGCACACCCACACCCTGCATCGCCTCCTGCACGTTCTTATCGTACTTCACATAAGGATCCCAAGCCGGCGGCTCTTGCTCGTTTTGGATTGCGGCATTTCGTGATACAGCGTGATCGAGAGTGTGGGATGCAGCACGATTGGACTCGGAGACTGCGCCGAGGATGATACCTCCATTGCTCAAAGGTTCGCGGCCAGACAGCAGCTCGATGAAGTGACCTGGCAGGAGTAAGTCGTGAGCGTGGATGGGTTCAGCTTCAGCATTCAAGTAGGCAGAGATGCGCATGATGTGATCGATGGCGTCCAGCGTGAACATGATGGGTGGTCGCGAGAGGCCTTCGCCTTGCTGTGAGGGCGTGGTGAGTTCTTTCCACAATGCCTGCCACACTGGCCATGCACGGTCAGGATCCTTGGCTCCGATTTCTGCCAACCGCGCAAGTGTTGCGTCTGGTTGAATCTGAACGGGGATCTTGTGCTTTCCACTGAGTCGAAGCTTCTCGAGCAAGGGACGATTGGCATTGAGCACATTCTCAAGGATTTTGGCCGTGAAATGTGGTTGGACGTAGCGGGTCTTGCCATCCGGAGTCGAGACAGGTTGGTAGGAAGTATGCGCAATGGTCAGATCCATAGCTTCGGGGATATGGACGACAACCCAGCCTTTCAGGGACGCCATTGCCAGTGCCTGAAGAAGCAAAACGCTCTTGCCGCTCCCTCGCTCGCCGTACAGCACTTTGCGGACGGTTCTGCTTTCTTGGCCAGCTTTCACCCATTCAATGTCGCCTAGGATGTGTGTGGTGTCTTTCCTCACCAAGCTGGCGGGCCGGCGAAAGAGATTCCATCCCTGGGTTGGTTTAAAAGCTTCCAAAGCTCTCAGCTTATCGACCGTCGTATTGTTGAAACCAACGACTGTTCCCTCCAATGCCTGCAGTGTGCGACTGGACAAGTTCTGCTTCGAGAGGTCCTGCAGTCCGGGGACTTCGAGGGCGTTGGTGTTGCTGAGGACAACTCTTTTCCGCAAAGCCTTACGCTCTCCTACAGCGGGTGGTCGAGTATTCGAGGCACGGGTATTCTTGGTCAGGCGGAGGGAGCGGCCTTGGCGAGACGAGGGCTTCGCGACCACGGCTTTCTTCTTGGGCGGGTTGACAGAGAGTGGGGCCGATGTCGAGAAGGCGGCCCGCTGGGGGTGGACCGTCGTCGCGGTGATTTCGAGGTCTTGGAACGAGCGCCGGAGGCAGCGTGGGCACATGAGCGATGCCATGGCTCCTTTTAGACGAAGGTGGAAGTTGGAGCTCGATGTGTTGCCCCAACGGGATTCTCGCGGGTAATAGTTTTGATGTCTTCAGCTTTTACAGCAGCACACTCTCCCCACTGGCGTGTGCAGCCGGGATGAGCAGTCGAATGGCGGATCTTGGGATCTTGGGACGATGTTCAGTGGAATCCCAATGTCAACTTGAAGCATTGCGGCGGCTCCGGGGAAGCCAAGCCTTTTGGCACGTGACTGGCTGAGCTTCAGGCTAAATCCAATCCAAACATCACCTCGAGCTCCATCGGCTCCGCTGAACCCCCTAGCTCGCACACCAATGGTAGGACGGACACGGACAACAAGCCATGGCCCTGGCCACCAAGCGGCCGCTGGGCGCAAGTGGCACGAACAGTGGCATACAATATCCAACACTGCCCAAGCGCCCCAGAATCGATGATGCGACAAGCCCTCGCGACCTGGAGAACGAAGGAGATCGTGGCGACCCAGATGAGCAATGTGGCTCTGATCAGGCAGAACACCAGGCTGAAAACGATGCACCAAGCCTGGAACCAGCCGTAGCAGAGGATAGTAGGCTCAGATGGCAGCTCTCGCCCAGCGACATTCCTCCGACGGCCAAGAAGGTCTACTGCGTGAGGCGTGGCCAACGACCAGGCTTCTTCTTCGAATGGTCCGGGCCGCAAGGCGCTGAAGAACAAGTGCGAGGGTTTCAGGACAACCTGTACATTTCCTTTCCTCAAGGCAAAAAGAAAGCCTCCATCCAGCACAGGAATCTTGAAGACGTCATTAAAAACGCGGTCGACTTCATGAACCACGGACCGGATGCGTGTCATTTCAATTGCAGGGGTAAGTGCGGGCTGGGCGAGCCTGCGCAGCAACAGCAGCGCCCGAAGGCACCAAAGGCCAACGACCAAACTCTTTGTCGAAGTTGCCAACAGCAACCCCCACGGGAAGTGCAAGGCGATCGCTGGCGCATCTGCCATTCATGCTGGATTTCTAGCTCCATCCAGTCAGCTATTCACCGATCCACTCTGAAGCTACAACTGTGTGAGGAGCAGACGAGGATTCTAGAGCTGATAGCACAAGGCCGCAATGTGTTCTTTACCGGAGCGGCAGGAACCGGCAAGTCGCGAGTTTTGCATGCAGCGGTGGACTTGTCCAAGCGAATTGGGCTTGCCTCCAGAGTTGTGGCTCCAACAGGTAAGTAAGTCTTGCGGTATTCGTAACGCATGCCAACTAATGCTTGTGCGCTCCAGGTATGGCGGCTATCAATGTCTTTGGATCGACCCTTCATATTTTCGCGGGGTGGTCAGTGAAGCTTGCGAAAGGCTCGGAAGTAGAGCTCAAGAAGTTGGCGCACGAGAAGAAGGTGTGGAAGCGGTTCAGGGAGACTGATATCCTGATCATCGACGAAATCAGCATGGTTGAGAGCGACACCCTGACTCGGCTTTCGATCATGATGCAAGAAGCATTGCAGAGCTACAAACCATTTGGCGGCGTTCAAGTCATCATCAGCGGAGATTTCTATCAGCTTCCTCCTGTCAGGCCCTTCGAAACTTGCATTGATTGCGGAGACCCGCTCGAAGGCTGGGAGCAACAATTGAACACCTACACGTGCCGACAGCATGGGACCTACCACGATGGGGATAAGTGGGCCTTTCGAAGCCGGATCTGGGGAGCCTGCTCGTTCGCTACGATCCGACTGACTACTGTCCATCGGCAAGCAGGTCCCCTGCTGATGTCTATTCTGGATAGTATGCGGAAGGGCGATGGCTGGACCCGAGAGCAGGAGGATATTCTCCTCAATCACAAGCACGATGTGATCTTTGACGACGCAGTCAAGCTCAGTCCACTTCGCCAAGAGGTCGACAACATCAACGACGGTCACATGAGAAAGCTGGATACGCCGGCACGCTTCTATCAATGCATCGACGACCTGCAGTGGGCCCAGCAGCACCCAGAGTTTATCGACGTCACGCAGCCCGACGGCATGTCAAGAGCACCTTTTGCGTCACTGCAGCACCACAGATACGCCGCAGGACTCGAGTTGAAGGAGGGCATGCAAGTCATCTTGATCCAGAATCTCGACCTCAAAGCGGGCTTGGTCAATGGCACGAGCGGCAAGATTGTTGGTTTCGAGCCGATGGTAGCGGAGAATCTGCCACGAGCCAAGCGAGGATCGAAAGATGAACCCAAGAACGGCGAGGAGCTGCTCTCACATGAGCACCGGCATTACGTGGAGTCCCGCATCCGTCACTTCTACGAATCCGCAGAGTGCAGGTGGTGGCCCACCGTTCAGTTCAATCTGTCCGGTGGCGAAGTTACAAAGCGAACCATCAAGGCACATTGCTCCATCACGGAGTTGGGGAAAGATGAGCCGTACAGTCTCCTGTCCCGGACCCAGATCCCGCTGATCGCTGGCTGGGCGATCACCGTCCACAAGTCACAAGGAATGACCCTCTCGAATGTTGCAGTCAGCCTGGATAAGTGCTTCGCCTCGGGTCAAGCGTACGTTGCGCTGTCGCGAGTCAGAAGCCTCTCGACGATGATTGTTCAATCTCTGCCTTCTGCAGATAAAGTACGGCCGGATGATGCTGTGCAGGAGTTTATGGCGAAGACGTTTGGAGTGTGAATGACTTGCTTGTATGATAGCAATGATGTGCACTGGAGAAGAGACTTTGCAGGAAAACGGTAAATTGTGCGAGTCTGTCATACATAGTGATTATTTTGTACCTGTTCATGCCAGACTCCTTCTTCTCTTTCCTTCACTCATTAAAACTGCCGTCCAAAATACATCATCCGCGCTATGCAAATAATCTTCCCCATCAAGCCTCATCATTCATGGGGCATCGACAGCACCCTCAAAATCCGAAGAACATCTTTGAAATCGTCTTGCGTCAAGTCCACGAGATTGCAAGCCGCAGAGATCCCAAAGTCGGTAGTGCCCAAACGTTCCGCAGCCTTGAAGAGACGCCGCCGGCTCCCTTCTTCATCTCGAGGCAACACGAGACCAAGTACCAGTTCAGTCTTGGTGGGAAATCTGTCAGGTGCCAAATCTTCAAGGGGAAGGAGAGATTGCTCATTGGTGGTGTCTGGAGGCAGGGAAAGATGCATCCAAGCCACGGGCTTAGAGCACTGTCTTCGCACAGCCTTGGCCATATCGACAATGCTTTGCGTGGTACCTGGAGAGGAACTGGCTATATGAAGACCCAGTTCAACATCTGCGGCGATGTAACGGGCCAGCCTGGCTGCACAGCTTGCTAGAAGGAGTGTGTCGTCTATCTCTGAGCCGGCGGTACGCATTTCGAAATCCGGCGACGTCAAACGACAATCGATCTGGATGGCCAGATCCTGATGCGGAATGGATCCTTGAATGCCTTCGATGGCACGAACAATGGCAGCCTTGTATTGAGTCTCAACCATCTCCTGATACTCTGGCTTGATCCACTCCACCACGAGCGTCTTGGGCAGCGGCAAAGACACTTGCAGCCTGACGCTCGAGGGGATGGTCTCGGCGGCTTTGTGCCTAGAGAAGGCCTGGTACGAGGCAATGGCGTAGTGGGCATATCTGAGTGCCAATGAGTCAACCACCATCTGGGTATACTCGTAGAAGAGCGCCCACCTCGTGTCCAGCTCGAGGGCCGGATCGATCGAAACTGCTGGCAAGAGTGCCTCCAGTCGCGCACATTTCAGAAGCGCTTCATCTTTCAGGAAGTGTGACAGACCGGCCTGCTCGAACACCTGGGTCTGCCAATGCAGCGGGCCTTGTCGATGACCGGTCTCGCCGTCGGGGATGCGCTTCAACTGCTCGGGAAAGGTTTGGCACAGGGTGGTGAAGACCTCATCGGTGGTGGGGAGAGGGAGAGGGCCTGCGAACTGGACGTGATGCCGTTCCCCCGGCGACACTTGCGAGGTGGTCGCCAGAGGAAGAGGGATGGGGAACCATGTGACGTCTATTTTGACAGCGCGCAAAGGAGAATGATAGAGTGGATGGAGGAGATTTCATATCGCTGCTCGAGAGGGACTCACCTCAATATATTTCCCATTCAACATCACCTCGCTCGACTCCGGAATTCCGGCCAGCGGTTAGATAGCGACTAGACTGGGAGGGCACCGCAAAGTCGACGTGTCGAGGCTCTCAAGGAGTACCCAGTGCGGCAGTCCCCAAAGCGTGACGTCTCGCGTTCCACCATCAGAATAGCAGCCCCAGGCGCAGGATTGCATCTTGCATTGCAGTCACGAAGGGCCATGCAGGGTTTGATAGGCGGATGAACGCTGGTCGGTCGTGTGCCTGGGCGATCGCCTCAGCCGCTTGAGCAGCAGACCGGGCTGCGCGAGGCAAAACAAGTCGTCGAGGCGCAAACCCCGTGGAGATTCAGGCTCGCGGAGGATCACTACTAGCAACTATCTGATCACGACCAGGTGGAAGGATTCGAAGTGCAGGTTAGGGGAATCGCTGGGCTTGGCGGTGTTGTGCCTCCCGAGCGCCGTCGGAATGCCGAAGACTGGACATTCCGTGAGCCGAAGGAGTCGAACTCAGGGACTCGTGGGACTGCCGAAAATGCCTAAATGTTGACAGTCACCTGCATGATCTTCGAATTGCCCTAAGAGCTCCGCCTCGCCCGTCATACGAATACCTGCTACCGTCCGCTGTCGTCCTAGTCGAGCACGGGAAACAGTCGTCCCTCTCAAGTTCTTTCTCAAAGCCAGGAAGCTCTTCTTCGTACGTCCGATCGATCAAACGACTCGCGAAAACGATGGGATCGTGGTGGGGATGGAGAGCGTAGAGCAGAAGCTGAGAGAAAGTTCATGTTGTGAGAAGCTACGCTATTTCGGGAACCCCTCCCCCACTCGGCTGGCATCGCATCTTACACCACACGCGACGGACTCCATGTCCTCTTCCGATATCTCACCAGACGCGACCTCTCGGACGCGAGTTCGAGATGGCTCTGCCCTCGTCGCCACCACCACTACCTGATCTCAACGACGAGCTCCCCTCCTCCCCGCCTCTCCCTACCTCCTCCGCCCTCCCCGCCCTGCCAAACCGCAAGCGCCCACTCGATTACGACAACAACAACCTCTCCAGCGATCCGCTCTTCTCTGAGGATCCCTCCGAAGCCGAGGACCAGACCGAGTATGAACAACCGAAGCGCAAACGCATGGTCAAGGGCCCGTGGTGGACGTTGGGTCGAAGAAGCTCGCAGCAGTCTATCCCACACACCAAAGACAACTTTAGGAACGCGGACAGTGGTGTGTTCCTCGGGAGCGATGAAAGCATTGATAGCTTGCTCAACAACGCCCGTGATTTAAATGTGGCCGATCGCATTCCTACCTCGAGCAGCGCCGTCCCGCACCCATCTCTTCCACAGGGCGAGCGCATCGCCCAGCAGACCATTGGTGACTGCGTCGAATCTGGACACGATGCGGTGGATCTTTCCGCTCTCGGCTTGGAGCACATGTCCTCTGAGACGCTCAAACCGTTGCATCAGCTCATCCGCCAGTCACACGGCACCCTCACCGAACCTCCATCAGAAGACGAATTCGTCGCCTTGACGCCCTCGATCAAGCTGTTCCTGGCTCGCAACCAACTGCGTTCCCTGCCCGCTGAACTCTTTCGGCTGGAGAACGTGACAGTGCTCAGTCTCAGGAGCAACGACCTCACAGAGCTGCCGTATGCCATTGCGAGATTGCGCAATCTGAAGGAGCTGAACATCGCTGGAAACAACATCCGATTGCTTCCCTGGGAGCTGATGCGCTTTCTGGACGGTGGAGGTGAAAGCCGGCGAATCATTGTCCGGCCGAATCCTTTACTCGAACCTACCACGATTGAAGGACCTTCGCCTCTGTCTGGCCTGACTGTGCAAACCAACAACGAGGATTTGAGCCGTTGGGGAGACACAAGAGAGTACTACGAAGGCTTGAGAAGGTCGTATCAGGAACACGGCCCATTGAGTATTCGAGCAGAATTGGAACTACGCCTGAAGCTTGGGCGTCTGCTGCGCATACAATATCTGCAGGAGGCATCGAGAGCTGGCAGAGAGGTCGAGCTTGGCGCGGAAGAGCTCATTTTTCTCGCATCATCCGCGATTCGCTGGAACAGTGTCGACGGGACGCCACTTCACAGGGCGAGACCCGACCGAGACCCCTTTCAAGCGACCCTCGATCCTCTCAGCGACGCACCAGAGCCTGCAACTTGTTCTTTCGCTCCATCATTGTTCGAGCTTGCTTCGAGATCGGCGCAGAAAGAATTCAACTTGCAGGAGCTTCCATCCGACATTCCTGCTGTTGTCAGAGTGGCTCTTGACGCCGCAGCGCGTGGGGTGGAAATGGGTAATCAGACGTGTTCGACTTGTGGGCGAGCCTACATCAAAGCGAGAGCGGAGTGGGTGGAGTATTGGCACAACGGGTCACCTTCACAGACGGAGCTGAAGCAAGAGAACATCTTGCCGTTCTTGAGGAGGGTGTGCAGTTGGCGGTGTGCTACACCAACACCGATTGGGGAGTTCAGATGTTAAGAGTGCGGAGGTGTAAATACGGCAGGCTCTTATTCATGACCGAGATGAAAGGTGGAGAGATTGACATAGCAGTTGATACGTTTCGATTCGATATTCGACGCCACTACATCGACGTCTGTTTCCCTCTCCTGCTCGCAATTTGCGCACTTCTCCATTACTTCGATGCATCGAGCCGTGAGTCCTTCAACTTCGCCTCATTCACCTCGCCCTGCAACGTCGTTCCCAGCCCTTCAAGCCCATGGATCATTGTCGTCCCACACGCTCAACACCTTCGCGTTCTCCTTCTTGGGTGGAATGTCCTCGGCCTTTTGTTGAGCTGGCATGCGAGTGCCGATGCCTTGTCCTCCACCCTCCTTGCCAGCGCCTGCCGTAATCTTGGAAGTCTTTGGGGAGGCCGACTTCGAGGTCTTGTAGGGGTCGAATTTGGTGGGCTCGAGGGTGTAGCTGTCGGTGATGTTCTGCTGGTTGGTTGAGAGCTGGAGCTTCATCTTCCAGTCTGACTTGTCCGTGCCCATCTTGTTGACCGAGCGGGGCGTGGCTGCCTTCTGCGTGTCTTTGGTGGGAGACTTGGTGGGAGACTTGCTGGGCGACTTGCTGGGGGACTTGCGGTTGGCTGCAGGAGTGGCGGCGGCGGCGAGGCCTTTGGCTGTCTTCAGGGCGGCCTTGTTGTTGCCGCGCTTGGCACGACCGCGGATGTGGTCTTCATCCATGTAGTCGCCGTAGTCATCATCGTCGTAGGTGTCGTTGGCTTCCTCCTCCTCGACCAGTTTGGCGATGTGGTCGTCGAGGGACATGGTAGCGATCGTACTGACAGTTATGAATGACTGTGTTGGGATTGCTTCGCGTGTGATCGAATGCCTCTTGTTGGGTTATGCCTGTGCGGTTGTGTGGAAGGTGAGGTGTGAATCGCGAAGAAGCTGGAGGCGAACAAGGTTTGTTGGTGGTTGCCCGGGGAAGGAAGGAGCAGTGAATGGGAAGGCACGTCGTGAGATCGGGGGTCGATGTTGGCTTTGCGAACGATATTTCAGCATATATTGCAACCCCATTGACGATCACCGTGCGTGTCTCTATTCAACACGCCTCCAGCTGCCTGCGAGATCTCGAGCTCTGTTGCCAGGGGTGGGATTCTTGGGGACGCCCAACTGTTCTCGTTGCACTATCGTTGGCTTCTTTTGCCTAGCATGTTGAACATATGGCGTGGGCTTTCCATTGAGCACCGGAACAGCGCTCTCAGCTTCTTCCGCACTGCCCACGTCGACAAAGCAGTAGTACTGTGACCCTTCCTCGGGCACAACGTTATCTCGCGGAGATATGAGCTTGCTGACCGCTTGAACGTCATACCCATCGAACAGTCCGCGCATTTCTGCGTTGACGACGTCCTGGTTCGGAATCCTGGATAGACCGCCCACAAAAAGTCGGCGACGTTCTTCAAACGGGGCCGTCCAGTGCGACTCTGCATCTTGGCGTGACCATCGGTCGAAAGCAAAATCGTTATTCGTCGCGTTGGTTGTAGGGAATCTGTGGGTTCGGCGGCTGTGCTCGTACTCTACGGTCAGAGGGCGGTGGGTTCGTGGCCCCTTCTGAGTGTTGAGATTGACCTTGACGGGCCTTCCCCGAACCGTTTGGCCTTGAAGAGCCTCCATCGCGAGGTCGGCATCAGCAGGATCCAATTCGACAAAGCAGTAGCTTGGGTTTCGTCCCGTGAAGGGGTCAATCGACATGTCCATCTTCTTCCTGCAACCCCTCACCATCAGCCTTGTCGCCACAAACCTCGTCTCAACAGAAGTACCTACAAAGGGACATTGTTCTTCGCGAATAAGGTTTCGATGTCCTCCCTCTGAGCTGCGTACGGCAGGTTGCCCACGTAGAGTCGCACCGTTTGATCCATCTCTGCTGGGAAGACTATGAGTTGCCTAGGTACCACAGAGGAGAGACAATCTCCTCATTCGGAGGGGGCTTTGTCGGCGGAGTGGGAGCTGGGAGATTCTGTTCTTTGTCAAGGTAGACTTCGTTTCAATTCACCGAAATTGAGAGGAGAAAGAGAAACTTTGAGACGGATGTTGAAGAGGAACAGCTTGCCTGGGGAAGGCCTGGCTTGGCGCATGGTGCTGCCTGCCCTATGAACATTAGAAACCACACCCCTCGAATGTGCTGTGTCCTTCACCACCTCGTGAAGAGCGAAATGGGATGAGTGTGTGCCACATGAATGTCACGAAAAGCGAGGCAGGAACATGACATCGGAAGGAAGGAACCGAAGTGTGGGGAAGCGGAAACTTTATCTTGAGCGCGCGTTAGCGTGTTAGTCTCGCATTTCACAGCTTCCATTGATCGTCACCTCACCTCTCACAAGACACCCCGAATCCATACCACCGCCGCCTGACATCGTCGTCGCCGCCTTCGCCATCACCTCGACCGACCTCAGCATGTTGCGCAACCGGGCATCGTCGCCCGCGGTCTCCTCGCTCCGTCCTCCACGCTTCAAGGGCACGGCCACACCTCCGTCGCAGCAGACACCTCCATCCGCCCAGCGACCTCCACCCTCGCAGCAGCAAGAGCGGCCGACGACGCCCACGGTCATTCCATCCTCGATCCCTTCGCAAGCTTCATCCGAACCTGACATCGCTCACGATGCCGACCCTATCGAGGATTTCTCCGAGTACGAAGATGGGGGAGCAGGGACACCAAATAGCGCCAATGGCTCTCAGAATGCCTTTCAGAAGATGACGAGCTCTCAAATGTCGTCAGGCTCCCAGCGCTTCGGCGGGTTGAAGCAACCTCCCAAGTGGACCAAGGAGGAGGATGCGGTGCTGATCCGCGGCGTCCGTGAGGGTTGGTCTGCCACCGAGATCGCACGTGAGCTAGGACCGGGGCCTGTGAGACGGACAGGGTCTGCCATTCGAGGACGGAAGAAGGCTTTGATAGTGCGTGCATGCTGAATGCAGCCCATGAGCCGAAGATGCTGACCAAGACCAGGAGAAGTTCAACCTCGAGGCCCGCGCCGCCAAACCGACCTCCCTCCACGTTGAGTCGCGCCGGCGATGGACTCCCGCCGAGATGGCGATCATACAGCAAGGCGTGAGGGATGGCTTTGATGCGGCGGCTCTCCAGCAGAGACTCAAGGATCGTACTTTAAAATCCATCGAGCACAAGGTCCAAAAGCGGAGGCTCCTGTCCAAGTCTCCCATAAGCAATGGGGCCGAGCCGTCGGCAAAGAAGTCCAAAGCGCGGGCGCCTAAAAGTGACAAGTCGAAAGACAAAGTGGCTCAATCGTCGACGCCGCGTGATCCTGCTGGTGATGAGATGGTAGTGGATGAGACGGTGCAAGAGGAGACGATACAGGATGAGACGGTGCAAGATGAGATGACAGTGGATGGGGCAGTGCCGAATGAAACTGCACAGAAAGATGCCGTTCCAACGGATCAAGTGATGACGGACGACGTCGAAGAATATCCTGCATATCCACCTGAACCACAAGAGCGCGTCGCCACTCAGAGTAAGGAGGCAGAGGGACAATATACTCCGATCGAGGACGGCTTGGATTTTTCAAACCTCCCCACCGCTTTTGTCAAGCTTCCGGCAAATGCACGATCTGGCGTAAAGGCTGGCCGCCTTCGACGCCCGACTGCAGCACGCAAGAGAATCACTCGTAGCGCCACAGCAAATGTCGACCACAGTACACCTGCGCACGCCCAGGATGCTCCTGCACACGACAACAATGCTACAGCGGAAGATCATGACACTACAGCGAACGACCGCGTTGCTTCAGTGATCGACCATGATCGAACCCAGGCTGACGATGATGCAACTGTCAACGACTACGACGCCATCATGAACGACCATAATGCTCCCAGGGACGACCACGGTAGAACCGCGGACGACTATGGAGGATTGTATGATTCTGATGAAGTCGAGATGGGCCAGCCGGAGCCACGAGAGCGGCGCCAAAGTCTTTTCCATGACTGGACACAGAAGCAACGTTGGCGGGACTGTTTGAGGGTGGCTGGTGGTGACGAGGACGCGGCGAGGCGTCAATTCAAGGAGGCAAACCTGACGGCGAACATGTACGATGCCATACTGCGCAAAGACCAAGCGACCATCGACTCGATCAAGGCAGAGCGCCGGCAAATGGAGTTGCGCGAAGCCATTGAAGAAGGGCGCGCTCGTCGGAAAGTCCCACTTCCAGGTGCTTCGATCAATGCGGACGCCGAAGACGTGGATGATGAAGTTTTGAGAGAGGAGGATTGGGAAATTTTCATGGAGAAAGAGGACTCATGGAGTCTCCCGAGCGAAGACCATTCGTCGGCAGAAGATGATGACGATGAGGAGGAGGATATGATTCGAGATCGAGAGATTGAAGAGGTGGACGACGATGAGGAAGATCTGGTTCCTGATCGAACGATTGAAGAAGTCGAAGACGATGGAGAAGACGTGAGTCACGACCGAGAAATTGATGAGGTGATGGATGAGGAAATTCGGTACAAGGCACCACCACCGCTCCCTGGCCACCACTTCACACCAATCCAAGCCATGCGGGCAACAGTGGTGGACGGCGGCTTGACAACACCAGTAGCGACGAGCGAGAAGCCTCTGGCGTTTGCGGTCGATTCAAAACTGCCGACGTCGAGCATCCCCACCACCGCCAGCGAAACGACGGCGGCGAGCATATCGCGGGAGAGCGAAAGAAGTGACTCGAAACGCAGCCGGCGCCGGGCGCGCGACGCAACCCAACGCCGCCAGAGTGGAGGCTCACGCTCGTCGCATAGACGGTCGAGGATGTCCATGAGTGAGATGGGCGGTGCTGTCGGTCAGATGGGACCACCGGGATCGATGAAGGAGGCGGAAAACCCGTTCATGAAGATTGTGAGGAATGCACACATCCCGCCTGCTCCCCGGCGGAGGGAGGAGCAGCAGCCAGCACGCCGCCGTGGCACACCATCCCCGCCGACGTGGTTTGCGTCGGACAATGAGTCTGAGGATTCGAGCGAAGAGTCGGAGTAGGAATTGAGGACGCTTTGTTGGTAGCTTCAGATCGCGCATCGCTCACGAAATGGATCGCTTGTTTGCATTCTTATACTGACTCCCTCGACCAGCGAGAAATGCACATAGCTTTCGTTTCGTCAGAATTTATCTTGTTGCTCATAAGCTGCTGGAGAATGCTGATGGCAAACGGTGATCCCTGTTCAGTGACTACGGCAGTCAGCTTCTGTCTATCTAGTTCATATGCTATGCGATGAACACACACCAAACAAGTCTGGACATCTGCTGACATTGACTTCGTAACCGCATCTCTGTAGCATGTACAACGCAAAAGAGGATGGATCTCTCTTACCCGAAGAACTCGCCATCGACGAGCGTCTCCCACGGCCTCCCCGTATCCCACACCGTCTGCATCAAGGCGCGAGCGCGTCCGACATGAGACATGCCCCAACCCTCCACCGCCTTCAACCGATCCATAAACAGCTGTCGTTGGTCCTCGCGCTGCGCCTCGCACCCTGCGGTGAACATGGGGAAGAGCAGGCACGATTCGGCGGTGCTGCCTCGTCGCACTTTCTGCAGCGAGCTGATCACCTTGTTGACGCTATCTTGCACTTCCGGGCTGGTGGAAGAGAGCGCCAGGACTCGTCGTGAGAGGTGGATGAGACCCGCCCAGTGGTACGCTTCATTCGTGGCGTAGATCTCTTCGGCTTCCTTGCCGGCTCTTGAACCGGTCGCTTGGGGGTCGTTGGGATCGGTGTGCATGCAGCCGCGGTAGACGGTATTCGCGCTGGCGTTGAGTCGCTTCTTCAGCTCTTCGGCTTGTTGTCTGAAGTACTCGGGCGGACGCCATCCCATTTTGACCTGGTTCGTGACAGGGTCGATTCGCTGGTTGTCGCATTGTGCCGCCAGTTCAGCCACCTGGGCGAGAAGTGCAATGCATCTTCCTGAAAAGCCAAAGAAGCAGTCGATTTGGTAGATTTCTTCGTTATCTCGGTTTACCAGCCACAGACCTCCACCATCTTCCAGGTACGCACCAAAGAGAGGCTGCTCGTATCTGTTAGAGAGACTGCCGAGCACGTCCAAGTACGCAAACCATCGCGAGAGAAAGAAGATAGCTTTATCCCGCGCGCCGTCTGACTTCTGCGCGAGATGATGAAGCCCACCTTTGGCCACAATCATCTGCCGTGCCACTTGGAGGTGCTGCTGCCAAGGTATTCGAACAGAGAAGGTGTGCGGAGAAACAATCTCCAAGGAGGCCAGCATGATAGCTGTCGCGAGGGGCGCAAGTGATGAAGGGTCAGTTGGGTCAGTCGAGCCTGGTGACGATGGCTCGCCGAGGGCTTGACGAAGTGCCGGCAGAACGTCCGACATCCAGCCGGCGATGCGGTTCGCAGGCTCCGCGTGGTCCAGAAGTCTCGCTCTGTGTGAAGCCGAGAAAGCCAGCAAAAGATGGAGTAGATGCTGATTGCGGACCGCCATCTGAGGCAAGACTCCGCGGAATGGGTTCTCAGGACAGTCATGTGGCACCATGATACGTCCCGTGTGGTTGATGAAGTGGTGGAAGTAGAGGAGGTTCATCTGATTCTCCAGCAACTCCGGTGGGAGAGGCTCGAGAGCGCGTGGAATGCGAATGGCGACTGGTTGAGCATAGTAGCCCCCTGGCTCGAATGCGATCTGCTTAGCATCGATTTCACCGCTGGAGGTACTGACTTCTGAGACTGCCGCACTGGCACGGCGAAGGTCTGGCGATTTGGGGAGGACGACGTTGTTGTCATCATTGTGCGGCACGTCGAGATCAGGGAATCCGTGGTCGTAGCCATATGTGCGATGGCCTTGCTGGCTGTCGGCTCGAGGATAGCGCGGTCGATCATTCTCTTCTGCAGGGTCAGACAATAACGACTTAACCGACAGCCTACGCAGATCGGGCGGATCTTGCACGTTCAACGCAGCAGGCTGAGGAGGGTAAGGGGAGCCGGAGTTGATGCTGGAGCCCGGCGTCGCTGGAGTATTGACGATGCTGCTGATGCTGTGGGGAGTGAAATGCGTGGAGCTGGGCGACTCCACCGCCCCGGGATACTGCGGCACAGCAAACACCGGACTCGGTTGGGCGGTGGGAGGGCTGTTGAGCTTGACGCGCTTCGCTCGATGCTGCGGCGACCAGCTGAACTCATCGCGCATGGGAGCGGAGGTTGGAGAGGTGCGCTCGGTGAGAGTCGGCGAACCGCGCGCACTGCCGATGGGAGGGAGATATGTCGGCGCATGCGGACTGGGCTGATGTTCGCGGTTGGGGACCTGCTGCTGCTGTTGCTGGGCGAGTCGCAACCGCGGATCGATATATGTGCCCTCGCCACCACCCGGCGTCGGCTCCGGCGTGGGCAGATCGATCGGATGGCTGCTAGGAGGCCGCTGGGGGCCGGAGACGATGTGCTGGGCGGAGAAGACGTGGTCGTGGCCGGCGCCATTGCTCTTGGCGGGAGCGGCGGCGGCGGAGATCGGAGTGGTGACAAAGGTGAAGCTGCCGGCGTCGCTGGGGGTGCCGTCCTTGTCCTTCCTGCTGCGCCCGCCCCAGTTGAGGCGGATGCTGTAGTCGCACGCCTCACCGCTCTTGGTGCAGTTGGCGCACACCGGCTTCTCCTCGCCGCATTTGACCTTGCGCGCCTTGCACGGCCAGCACCCCGTGCGACTGCGCTTCTTCGGTTCTGCGCCTGCTTCTTTCTTGGGTCGCGGCATGGCGGGTGTATGGATGATGGATGTATACCGGCGGGTCGGGTCTCATCGACGTCGTCAATCGCCGGGCTGCGGGATTCCGGTGGATGGGTGAGAGGCGCGGTCTTAGCAACGGGATCGAGGCGAGGTGATGGAGGCGACTATGTGGCAGAGGCTGCCATGGCGTAAGGCTGAGAAATCGATAGGTGCTACCGCTCGTCGAGCTGGGAGAGAAGTTGCGACCCAGGGGGTTCGGTTGGGAAGGAACGGCCGTCAGACGGGAGTGAGCAGACGCTGTGGCAGGCGCGACCGTCGATAGATAATACTCGAGGTGATGTGCTGAGAGAGGCAGTAGCGAGGATCAAGAAGCGTCAGCACCACAGAGCGCGGCCGAGAAGATGAAGCACGCAGCAGCAAGCAGCAGATAAGTCGAGAACCCCGCCGCCGCAGGATCGCTGCGAGGCCTCGTTCATTGGTCCATGGGCGACGACGTGCAGCGGTCAGCCAGATGTCCACTGCACCTGGGTCCGTAGCAACACCCCGACGCCGCGAGAGCTCATCCTCTCGCAAAAGATAGTATCGATCGGGGTCTGTTGGTGGTGAAGACGGGAGTGGTCGATGGCACATGCTGGCGCTGGCGACTGGAAGCGGTAAGGCTCTGGTATCCATCGGTGATGTCACACGGTTGGGAGAGAATCGAACCGACGGAAACTCGTGGCCCAAACTTACCCTCTCCGTACCTGTTGATCGTTTCTGTCTCCATCGTCCTCTTCCTCTTCGTCCTGTGATCTTCGTCCCCTCCACACGACTCATGGCGCACAAACAGGCCGCCCGCCAACTGCTGGGCAAACATCCGCTCCAGAGGCTGCCTTCTCCCTCCCGTGGAGCCTCTGCGGTTCTACACGTGAGCGTTCCCCTCCTCCAACATCACTCACATGTGACAGTGCTCCAGTGCTCACGCGGTAGCAGACAATTGGCTTGGCGTCGTTTGCCTACTCCTTCAACTACCTCGTCACCCATCCCAATCCGGTGTACGCCTCCAGACGCTCCACAGCCTCCCCCGTGCTGACCACCCGCTAGAAACGAATCCTATGGCTGGCATTTACAATATCTCACGATCATCGGCCTCTCCCTGGCCACCACCACCTTCGCCATAGGCCTGCTGGCCGACCTGACCCTCTCCCACCGCCTGTTCCAGATGAAGAACATCCTCAGCGTGGCCAGCGCACCGATGGAATGTCTGATCAGCCTGCTCTACTGGGGCCTGCGAGCCATTGACCCCAAACTCGTCATGCCCGAGTGGGCTCCACCGCTCGAGTTCTCCGCCGACTTGTCCTTTCACGCCATGCCCGCCATCTCCCTCGTCGTGGACTTGCTCTTCTTCTCTCCCCCATATACCATTGCGTTTCTTCCCGCGTTGGGCTTGAGCGGTGTGATTGCCTTTGGATATTGGTTCTGGATTGAGAGGTGCTATCAATTCAACAACTTCTACCCTTATCCCATTTTTGACCTTCTGGATACTACTCAGCGAGTTGGGTGAGTCTATCGGTCGCGGCAATACGGGCAAAGCTGACTTCACCGCAGGCTCTTTGCTGTTTCCGCCCTCTTGATGACGACCGCCACGGCGCTGCTTGTATGGCTATATGCATTAGTCAATGGGAAAGACATGGAAGATGTGGTGAATGGAGATCTCAAGAAAGCGAAGAGTGGCAATGTCAAGGGACAATAGACGAGATGTATACACTTTTAGACATAGAGTCTTGGATACCCCAACTACATACACTTCACGAGATGAGGTGTTACAACCGCGTTCTAGCGGTGTCCATCGCCTCAACAATGCCTTGGCGGATCTCTCCCACGATCTCTGCGGCGGGTTGCTCTTTCTTCACCAGGCCGACACCAGATCCCGCCCACATGGCTGTTCTTCCCTCAGCGCCGAAGCCAGCATCCGGCCCCTTAATCGCCTCGGCGTGGCGTTTGCGAATCTCATCGATATCGACTCCGTCCTTGTACTCCTCGAAGCTCTTCATGCGGATGCTCCTCCCGTCGTATGCGTTCGGCCATCGATTGGGACCTCGAAGCTCATCAAACAGCTTGGCTCGCACGGTACTCTGCCCTCCATCCTTTGCCGCGAGGACCGCTGCTCGGTATTTGGGATGAACATTTGGTCTCAGGCGCTGACAAGAATCGCGTACCCAAGACGACACCCTGTGCACCCAGGTTCAATGCAGCAGCCCCAGCTCGACCATCAGCTATACCCCCGGCAGCAACGGCAGTAATATCGTGGCCTGCTTCTGCAAGTGCATCTGATATCTCAGGCAGCAATGAGATAATCCCAGCCTCTTTCTCAAACCCGTGCCCACCTGCATCCGCTCCCTGAACACACAGCACATCCGGCCTGGCTCCCTCCGCCACACGCAACGCAGCTTCGACATTCCCCACCTGGATCTATAACTGAGAACTCGGCGACGCTTTCCGCACTTCCTCCGCCCATCCGGTATAGTCATCCAAAGCGTTGGCAGCAAAGACCCAAACAACGGCTGGCTTGAACTTGCCAACGATATCCACGGCCGCATCGGAGTTGACGATGAAAGAGAGAAAGCCAACTCCGATGGGTAGAAGCCCGTTGTGGCGACCCAGGGCGTCTTCGACCTGCGAGAGTCGTGTCTTGAAAGCTTCGAGATTATAATCGACGCCGATTTGGCCCAGGCCGCCGGCTTTGCTCACAGCGATGGCGAGGTCGGCTTGTGCGATTCCTCCCATCTGTAAGAACGTATTAGCATCTGATGTTGAATTGTGCATAGTTGGTTGATCTACTGGAGCGTTGATGACGAGGGGACTTTTCGTCCATGGTAGTGAGTCGCTCAACTTCATTGTGGATTATAAGAACGAGGATGAAAGTTGTCTGGCTAGATGTGAATGTTAGAGGCAAGGTCATCTTCACAATTCATCCTCGTCAGAGGCTGAAGTGATGCTTGAGTGGGGAACGACACAAGCTTCGAGAGCTGAAAATCAGTCCGATATAGGAAAGACGTCAGACCGCTGCCAAATTAGCCCCTAGCATGTGCTAGCTGGGATGATCTTTTGCATATGTGGCTAATGCGATATAAGAATGCGAGAAGAACGACCCCTTAGATACAAGGCGGAGTCGTGCGGAAACGCGACTGTACATCGTCAGACGAGTCTTCTTCGTCGAGCAACACGTGCAAGCTCTCCTAAAACCTGGGCGTTCGAGCGCCTGATCGAGGAGCAGCCCCTGCGACGCTGTTGGCACGACTCGCCGCGCGACTCGCAGCCGGAGTGCCTCTGGGCGTGCTCTTCCTAGACTCGCCGAAGAATCTTCCGCTCTGCGAGTATGATCTGTCGCCAACGCCTGGGCGAGCCACAGCACCTGGGGAGAAGAGGTCAGCAGACTGTAATCCACGTACAAGTCAGAACTACACTTACTCGCTCGTCGAGAACCTGGGAAGGCCATCGAGCTAGCACGTCGCACCGCCGTGCCGTCCACGCTGCCATTTCGAGCCTCATCCGCAAGTCGCTGGGCGAAGGGAGATCGCTTTCGAAGTCTCGGCCCGTAGTAATACACCGCGTACACGGCCGCCACCAGAACGGCCGAGATACAGGCCAGAATGGTAGATGCGTACTCGAGGTTGTTCCCACTGTCGGCACCGATGTTGGAGAAGAAAGGCGTGGCAGGAATCGTAAGCACACCGGCCAAGAAGTCACGAGCCCAGCCATTGCCACCAGTCGCCGATGCAGAATATGGACCATACGCACAGATCATGTAATCGATCGTTGCCATGTCTGAGAGTGTTCGTTAGCGTATGTCTACAGATGTGGGAAAGGTGACGTACAGATGGAATAGTTAGCGATTCCGACAATCGCAGCGAAGATCATGGAGCCAATCCAGTGAATGGGAGGTCCTTGAATGGTCCACGCGAATCCAAACAGGCCAATGGGCAAGCATGGAGCGGTGTACAGCAAGAACCACAGGCGCGACTCGTACTGGGCACGTTCGTCGTTGGGCTTCGCCTGTCGTTCCTTGATGTTGCGCTTGATGGCGGGAATGAAGGCGATCCACGCGATGATGTAGCCCACACCGATGGAAATGAAGGACAAGCCGACTGCGACGGTCGAGAAGTTCCACTGGTCGTAGACGAGCGCGAACGACTGGATGAACATGAAGATCAGGGCGTCGGAGAAACCGGACAGCAGCGAGAGAACCAGGACAATTGGCTCGGTGCAGAACATCACGAAGGGGCGCGACCACGTCTTGAGAATCTCCTTGACGGTCAAACGCTCGGAGACGGGGACGAGCTCGTCGGGGCCCCAGACGTTAGGGTTGCCGTTCTTTCTGCGCTTCTTGGCGATCTTGTTCATCATGATGGTGGTGCGGGTCTCGGGGACGGTGAAGAAGTGGAGAGCCTGGACGAAGCCGCCGAAGATGAGCTGGATCCAGATGGACCATCTATGATCATGTCAGCATAGTTTTGCTCCGGCGAATGCGGAAAAGAAATCATACCTCCAGCTGAGATACGCTTCACTGAACCCTCCAATGATAGGACCAAGAATGGAGCCTCCCACGGACGAGAAGACGACGAATGCCACGGCGTACTGCTGGGTGTCAGACTCCCACATATCGGCGATCATGCCCAAAGTAACGGAGCCACCGGCCGAAGATAGACCACCGAGGGCACGGCCGACCATGATGGAGGCGAAATTGGGAGCGAGGGCCACGGGAAGCTGCCAGATGTTGACGAGGAAGAGCGAGAGCTGGAGGATGGGCCAACGGCCAAACTCTTCAGACCAAGGCGCCCACAGCTCGCAGCCAAAGGCATACAGCACGAGGAAGATCATGGCACCGCAGCGCGCGGCTTGGGCGCTCACACCGAATTCCTCGCTGATGCCCGGGATGGCGTTGGAGTAGAGCGAGGTGTTGAAGTTCATCGAGACCTGGACGATGAAGATGACGGAGAGGATATACCACTTCTTCCACGAGGGATACGAGAAGCCCAACTCTTCATAGGCGTCGTCCTCGGTCAACTCATACTTGTCGTAGGTGCCCAACCTATCGAGCTTCTCGCCGTCGCCGCTCGGGACGCGGGGGTCGTGGCGGTGGTTGGCATGGCCGTTGTCGCCGTCGCTGTGGTCCGCCTTGGAGGAGCGTTCGAGGTCGTCGTCGGCGTTCTCGAGTTTCTCGTTGGCGCGGTCGAGGTCAGCCTGATTCATAACCTGCGGCGGCTCCTCGGCGAAGTGCATGTGCCGAGTCGCCATGTTGACGGTGAGGATACAGAGAGTGTCGGCGGAAGACGCTGCGATGTAAGTCTAGCCGGTGCGGTGGGCGCACATGGATGGAAATGGTATGGAATGTCGCTCGAATTTCCACAGCAACGCGAGCGGGGAGCAGCAAGAACGGTGCAGTGAGCAGGGCCCGCGCAAGAGGATATATATTGGAAGGAATGCAAAGCGGAGTCGCCTTCCCGTGGTACCACTGTGCGCTCCATCGCCTCATCATCGTCCAGCTGGTTCGTAAGAGAAGCTAAGTAATTACTGCGACCCACCCCGTCACGTTGCGCTCAGCTCCCTCCACGGCAGCATGACGTCTTGCGACTAAGCTCTCGCGCCCCAGTACCACAAGCGACCAAAGGCGAGGCCAAGCTGCCAATGGTGGAGCTTCAATTGCCGGGACCAACACCGACGAGCCCAACTCCGCCGTGATTACTCGCCCGCCGGACGATGTTGCGCATCGAAGACTTTTCTCATATTACGTCGGTGGCGCGAGGACCTCAGAACTTCTGCAAAGGCGGATCCTGCCGCGGGCGTGATCGCGATGTCGTGTCACCCGGATCGCGGGCGGGCGGCCAAGCCCTGCGAAGCACTGCAAGCTCACGGGCTGTGCGGGCGACTTTCCACAATCCCCGGCACGTCTGGAGGAGGAACACCTGGAGATTGTCTGCTTTTTGCGGGAGTCCCATGGGGAGTTGATCTCACCGCGCGGATCGCTTCTCCGCTTTCGTTGTCGCGTGAGGCCCTCGTGCTGACGACTGCCACTCACGTCGCTCTCAGTTGGAGTCGATCCAAAGTCAAATGTTCTTCGCTGAAAGTCACATGTTGGCGCTGGATCCGGAAAGTTGACGCACGCGGGATTAGCCTTCTTGGCAGGAGCCGCCTTCCGCTTTGCCTCAATGGGCCTCCCGGGCGACCAATCGCGAGTTCCACCGAGGAAGATCTTCAAAAGCGCGGCCCACTCGACTCGACTTCGACTTCGACTTCAACAACATCTTTCTCGCTCGTCTCGTCCTCGACTCGTGATCAGTCGACGGCGACGTGAGCGACGGACGGTCTCAGAAAACAATGAATCCACACTTACGCGCTCGCATAATGAATCCCATTTCTTCTAACTCCATTCTTCAGCATGGTATCTCGACCATCATTTCGCCATGGGCACTGCCAACTTCGACGCGGCTGGCCTTCTTCTACTAGCAGCCTTCTTCGTCTAGTCCACCCGGCTCTTGATGCGACATCTTGATGCTCTATTCACCGGCTAGCCACCGTTCGACTTGGCTGCTTCTCGTGCGTACTGGCTCGCGGAAGACGAGCTTTCCGATAGACTGTGGGAAAGCATTCGGGATGCTCTCAGCGCCTTTAGTAGCGAGAAGTTGGATATATAAAAATGGGGAATTGTCTGGCCAGTACTCCTTTGAACGGTACGATATCTATCTCCCGCAAAGTTGAAACCGCTCGCGCTTAAGGCCAGGTCGCATAGCTTGGAACTTCACCAATATGGCGGGAAAGCAAGAACGGCCTTTAGACGGAGCATTGAGGCATGATCTCCCTAAACGGATACGGCTCAACGAATAGACGACGGCGAGGCCTGCGCGTTTGGCGCTCTGGAGCTGAGATCGCTGGACTGGTTCATCCTTACGTCTCAGTATGGACTTGGTAGACAAACGCCGATGCTACAGGTAAGGCGCGAGGCTCTGATGCTAGGTGGCGAGTGTGTTGCCTCCAACTGTCACTGGGAAGTTTGGAATCTTACCACATCAGCTCCGCACTCAACACGACGTCTTACAATCGACTGGACGAATTGGCCCAGCAGACGCCTACGAGATGGCCCGGAGACAGACAGACCTTACCTTGACCTATCTACAACACCACACACGCGACAGGGCAGATGTCTGATGCCGTAGGATTGCCCACGCTGAACGTTGCATCTTCTCCAAGCCCAGAGCTTTTCGAACCTGAGAATGCGGCCGATCATCTATTTCTCAGCCCTGGGCAAACCGTGAACAGTCACAGATGAGACTTTGAGGGCTTAAAGACCTAACACCCATCCACTGCCTAGTGAGCAGTTCCATCTATGGCGTACGATATGTCTAGGCGTAGCATGAGAAGAGGACTCCCAAGTCATCTAAAGGGTTTCACAGGCCATGTAAGTTCTTGTCTCTTATGCATCCTCTGTATTCCCTTCCTCTTTTCCCCGTCATTGAGCGTCCACAATTGGGAGATCGTTCAAGCCCTTTGACACTCGTCGCACGCCAGGGATTCGATTGAGGGGAAGTGAGCACAAGAGCTTCTCCTTGGCACTGTTGGCAGCTCTTGTGTGCGTCGATCACTTCTTCGCCGTCTAGAGCCGACAGTAGCCTATCACGCTATTCACCTACCAATTCACGGCGGGAATCTCAGTCAACTCGTTCGAGTCGACCAAAGAATAGTGATCACGCTCGAGATGAGCTGACCTCACCTCAGGCTAAGACTGTTGCTCGTGACCCCAGACCTCGACAAAGGGCACGGCACCGCTCACAGCCCCGGGGAACGGCTCCACATCTCTGTCATCGGCTTGCTTCTCACTTCTCCGCGCCGCCTGAAGTCAGTTGACGCAAAATCGAACAAAGGCGTTCTTTGATTGGCCGATGATTCCCGCGATCGCTGCGTGCTTCCACGTGTTGTTGGTCAATCTTTTTCTGGGCGAGAGGGTGCCGCTGCATCATGCACAGGTGCGCGAAAGCTGAAAGGCGGGAGGACTCAACACGATCCTCTTTGACCTGTCCGTCATCCTCAAAAATCTCACCTCCGCCGTCCCCCTGCGCTGAATCGACACCGCAGAGAGCCGGAATCATCGTCGACAATGAAGCCTAGGCGACGAATTCTCACCTCACGCCCGCTGACTTGACCGCTGAATCGCTGACCGACCGGACGGAGCCGAGTCTGGCCGGGGGAGGCTGGACGAAGGCAGACTCACCAGGCCATGGCATCCAATTCCTCTGCCTCTGCGTCGTGGACGTCTCCAGGCGCGGGCATCACTGGCGGCTACGATGGCAACAGTCAGACGTTGCGCATCTTCATCGTCTTCTTCAGCGGATTGGCCATGTACAACGCCGTCGAGTTGATTACTATCATCTTCCTCAGCTTCAATCGATTCCGGGGCTTGTACTTCTGGTCACTGCTCATTTCCACCATTGGCATCATCCCGTACTCGCTCGGGTTCATGCTGAAATTCATGAACATCACCACCGGAGACTCGAAGTGGCTCGCCATCGTTCTGCTCACTGTTGGCTGGTACCCGATGATTACCGGTCAAGCTCTCGTCCTCTGGTCTCGACTGCACTTGATCGTTACAGGAGTCAAAGGCGAGAGGATCCTCTTCTACACCAAGTGGATGATCATCATTGATGCAATTATCCTCCACATCCCAACGACAGTCTTGACCTTCGGGTCCAATGGCGATCTGGCGACGGACCGGTTCGAAGTCGGATACAACATCATGGAAAAGATACAAATGATTGGCTTCTTCTTGCAGGAGGTCACGCTCAGCTCCATTTATATCGCCGAGACCTTTCGTATCTTACGCACCTCGTTACAGCCCGGGACTCGGAAGACCATGCATCAACTGATCTTTATTAACGTGGTGATTATCATCCTCGACCTCGGACTTTTGGGCCTGGAATGTGCATCTCTCTACATTTTGGAGACGCTTCTCAAAGGCATCGTCTATTCAATCAAGCTCAAGCTGGAATTCGCGATCTTGAGCAAGTTGGTCAAATTCGTGGGTGGATCGAAGCCAGGTCAAGATATGCGGAAGTCGTCGGTGGGATTCATTACTGCGGATCGCGAAATGGGCAAAGACGAGCAAGATATGAATATCCAAGACTTCGTGGACCTTGATCGCGTCAGCACCGATGTCACGCATCCCTCCCGCTCCCATCGACACTCCGACTCTCTTCCCTCGAGGCGCAAAAGCTCACGTGTGGCTGGAATGGATCTCGACTATACTTTGGCTCGTTTTCAACATGTCGAAGATGTCTCCACGCTGCGAGAGGGCAGTTCCAGAGACTCCCTCTCTCCAGGCCGAGAAGCAGACGTGTGAACAGTCTTGCAAGGAGCAGATGATTCCAGAACCTCTTATCATATGCGCGTTGCACAAAGAGTGCTACGTACAGCATTCCTTTTTCTGCCCTTGAGCAGATTCGGTGCCCCTTGCTTCACATCGCGCCGCCTGGTATGTAAATACACTGTCGCCTCGTGCAGTCAAGACTCGGTGACTGACAAGACGAACAAGGCACAAGGCAAACGAACACCATGTCGCCAGAAAGCTCACCAGAGCGGCGCCCGCATCGCGAGTCGTCGCCCATGACACCAATCTCGCCGTTATCCCCGAGCAGCTCCCTGCCACAATGGCTACGACACACACGTCCGCGAACGGGGTTGTTAGCGAATGCCAAGTTTCGAGTCCTCGCCGTGGCACTTGGATGCATCATGATGGGGTGGATGCTCACCTCGATGCTCGGACCTGGAGAGCGGGCAATGGACTTTGCAGGGACGTACGATGCGGCCTCGGGTGGAATACTGGACGACCCAACGGGGTTTGGGATGGCTACTGTCAAAAGTCAATCGATGCAGCCTGGCATCATTGGTGGAGAAGAGCCGAAGGATGAGATGGAAGCCGAATCGGATACCAATCGTCACAAGCAGCCATCAGTCACAGGCGCACTGTCAGAGCTCCACGATGCAGTCAAGGATAAGTTGAAGTCGTGGAACCCATACCATGCTCAACCAGTCTCTCATGGAGCCTCACGGGTCAACTCCACAGCCACCGCCTCGCGGCCACACGGTCTGGCTAGCGCCACAGCCACTGCACTCGCTGGTGAGGCAATCACGGATGGTATCAGTGATGAGGAGCGCCTTGGAGCTCGAACTCGCATTGGGAAATGCACGATCCTCTTCAACGGCAACAGCTTCTGGGAGCGGGCGATCCGGACTCACGAACGGCACGACAGGGAACACGGATACCGCCTCCACGTCCTGCGGCAGCATCTGATGGACGATGTCTGGTCAAAGCCAGCGTATATCCTCAGTCTCCTCCTTCGCGAGCTCTCGAAGCCAGAAAGCGAACGACTGGAGTGGCTGTTCTGGGTCGACGCCGACACCATCATCCTCAACCCTCACATTCCGATCGAAGTTTTTCTTCCTCCACCAGGTTCAGAGTTCGACGATGTTCACCTCTTGTTCTCTAACGACTGGAATGGTCTCAACAATGGCGTCTTCCCGGTTCGAGTGAATCAGTGGTCAGTTCAGCTCTTCTCCGCCATCACTTCATTTCGTCACTACCGCCCCGATGCACCCCTGCCGTTCCGCGACCAGTCTGCTATGGACGCCCTGATGCATGAGCCGGCGTTCTCCAGCAACCTCGCCCAGGCGCCGCAGCGCTGGTTTAACGCATATCAGGGTGAACATAACGAGACGCTGGCACCCTTTCAGATCCGCAGAGGTGACTTCCTGGTCCATTTTGCCGGGGTGCTCAATCGAGAAGAACGGATGGGTTACTGGCTGGAGCGGGCTGAGCAACATTTGGACGACTGGGAGGTTCCGGTCAAGTCCACCAGCTACCCCCAAGAAGTCAGAGACTTTTGGTCGGAGCAGAAGGACCTGCGAAGGCGGAAGAAGGAGGCTCTGAGCGGGGCGAGATTGAAGGCGAAGGAGCTGATGTCGAACGTTGAGGAGCACATGGAAGAGTACGGTGATAGAATGAGCGAAGAGCAAAAGTCATCCATTGAGGAGAATCGCAAGGGCTTGTACACCATCCTGGAAAGCGGAGACGACGCATCGGACCTCGACAAGATGGAGGAGGCAATGCACAAACTCGAAGAGTCGTTCCAGCCGTTGACCTCCGTCGTCACCGAAGTCCACAAGACGCTGCTGAACTCGGCGCACGAGGCTATCTTTGCCGGCGAAAAGGATCTACTTCAAAGCGGCTTCAATCAAGGAAGCAGCAGCCCCGAGCTCGAGAGGATCTCGGACAGCGTCAAGCATCTGAAGTATCTCGTCATGACGCCGCAGGAGAATTGGAATCGTCACGACATCACAGCCGCCACGGATGCTGTGACGGATGCTCGTGCGAAGCTTCAGGAAAAGGAGGCCGCTACGCTCGCGGAAGCGCGTAGGATCGAGCAGGCCAAGAAGCAGGCTGGGATAGCTCTGGATGACGTCCAGAAGCAGGCCGCAGATGCATCCTCAAGCACGAGCTCGTCTCTGGAACCCTCCACCACGGATTCCGCGTTGGCTCCGACAAACGTGGGCGAGCCTGCCTTCGCTGCCGTTAGCGCGGCTACAGACGATTAACACATTCATCACGTCAAAAGACTGTTGACATCGTTTCTTTCCGCAGCACTAGATACAAATGTATATGTTCTAAACTTTTGAACTGAGTAAATTCGAGTCTCAACCTGGTTCGTTCAATCAGCGTCGCTTCGTGCCAGGCATCGGCGTGACGATGGTATAGTTACAGGTGGGGCAGCTGGTGTGCGTGTCGGGGGTTGCTGGGTAGTAGTCGTGGTTGTAGGTCTTGTTGAGCTCCACCGATCCCACGACGTCGCCCGTCTCGAGGCGGATCCAGGTATCAACCACGCCGTGCCGCAGCTTCTCTTCGGTGATCAAGACTTGCCGTGCCCCTCTCGTCCATGTTCCGTATCCGCCGTAGCCTACGTTGCATGTCAGCGGAAGTCTCATTGAAATATGATAGGTTTCACGAATTGTTCATACCGGAGTGTTGGCCGAAGCAGATGTCTATTTGGCGGTCAGCTTTAATCCAATGAGCAAAGACCGAAGGCCGACTTACTGAGCCCGTTTCCATCCACGGTCATTCCAGGGAGAACTCCATTCCATTTGTAACACCAAGTATCGCCGTGATCATGTCCGGAAAACAAAGCCATCAGTCCTGGGGTGGACGTCACGGCCTGCATGAATGGGACATCTTGGGCGCCGTATTCGCATGTCTACAACATTCATCCATGTCAGCTATGCACCACATTGGATCAGACAAGAGGGAGGGACCTACGCCGTCGTTCCTGCCGTCTGGACACCACCCCTGGGCTTGCTGGGCGAGGATATAGTCGTCGTTGATACCGGGCTGGTAGTTGGGATCCACCCCAGCCTCTGTCTGTAGGGCTTGGGAGGCATTGGTGGGGATATGAACGAACGCCAGCGAAGGAATCGTCTTGCGGTATTGCCGACTGAGCCTCGCGTTCGTCTGCTGGAACCAATTGACGACACTCTGGTCGACCCAGTCCGGCTGGCCGACCCGATTGCCATCGGCGTCCTTCTCCTGGTAGTAGAAGCCGCCTCTGCTGTCGAAGAACCACAAGATTAGGCATGGAACTTGGCCGCCGTAGGAGGGATACACCAGCAAGTAGTAGTTGCTGACTCCAGCCTCGCGACCGAAGACCATTTGGGTAGTGAGGGCGTTGCTGTAACGGTGCTCCCGAGCGAGGATGTCGGACCTTGAGAGGTTATAGTCGGAGTCGTGGTTTCCGTATGTCGACGCCCAAGGCAGTCCTGTTCGATACGTCAACACCGCGGGAAGAGTATCGAGTTTGCACTACACTTACCTCTCTGCACGAGCGGCCCAGCAATTTGGTCGATGTAGACAGTGCTGTTGAATTTGTACGCATTCTCTCCAGTGATCAAATCACCATTGAGGACGACCAGCTGCTGATTCTCGGCATCGAGAACTTCGTTCAGCACCTTGACGCTGTTGATGTCCTGCTGCGGACCCCACGAATCCCAGGCATCTTCTCAAAATCAGCCGAGCTCAAGTATTCGCGAACTCGTGAAACATACTCTCCCCAAAATGCAAGTCTTCAAAAATGGCTATCTGGAACGTTCCGGCGCGAGTGAACCGCAGCTGCTTCTGCGAGCCCCAGTTCCAGCTCCAGTTCCATTGCGGCAAGGCTGCGGCGAACGTAGAGGCCGCGAAGAAGGCTACGAGGATCAAGAGACACGACATCCTGACGAATCGATATCGCTCGTCGACGGCCCAGGCGAACAGGCAGGAACGTCGTCGGGGACGATGCTCGTCCGGTATATGTATTCCTCGCATCTGTAGCTCGGCCTCCCAATATTCAACGCTTTCATGCCGAAGTGGAGGAGATCAAGCCGGGGTTGCATAGAATGGACACCAGAGTGTTGCTGCGTCTGCTACCGAACCATCGTTGAAGACAAGCGGTGCTGGCGACTAGCCACTGGGATTCACGCATGCACCAACGTGAATGCAGGAAGGAGGCGGGAGCTAATGCATGCGATGGAGCAACAGCAGTATCAATGAAAGATCGGCGAGGTCTGGAGGAATGCACCGCAGAGAATGTGGACGATTCATGTGGACGACGCGCCAGGGACGAAAAGGAGCGCGTTGTACGAGAACGTGCGAGGTTGCAGGGCGATCCTCGTTGTCCCTCATCGGCATTGGTGCTCGGCGTGTGCCGACTTCACTTTGTCTTCGAGGCGGCAGCAAGCATTGGCCCTGATTGAATTTGGGTTCGGCGCGCGACAGGAAATCAATCGAAACTCACGGTCCGATACTCCAGCATCAAACACCCCAGCTATGCGATACAGGACGAGATGTGGTGGAGGCTGGTCTTGTGTCTTGGTGTCGGTATGAACAGAATGCGATTGCAGCCGAGACCGAACTCTCGCGACGTGGTCGAGTACTGCAGCACAATTACAACAGCTATCGTCTATTCAAGTGACTCAAATGTCCAGCTCTCACCCGCCGACCCTCAACTTTCCCTCAGTCTTCGAATTTGATGCCTTTCGGCGTCAGGTCGATCATGCCGCCCCGGTATGCACCTAGGACTACGTCAGCTCACCGTGTTACCGACTACTGGACGGAGACGGATATATGGACAGGAACTTGCTCACCTCGCTTCTTCTTGTTCTTCTCCTTGGTGAACCCTTTGCCCTTGGTCACCGACAGGTCGCGGTATGCCCGATCGGCGTAGTCGTATGAGACGTAGTCGTTGCTGGAGAACCGAGGGTCGACCTTCTGATCCGTGGGAATGCGCGAAAAGGGCACCACCTGCTTCTTGGCCTCGGCGGCAGTCTGCTTCTTCGTGCTCTTCGACGGCGGCGCCGGCACCTGCCTGAGGCGGTCGGGATGCACGTGGTTCGGCTCCTCACTTTCTTCCTCTTTTTCTCCCGCCGACTCGCCTTCCAGTGTGGCCGAGGACTGGGAACCGGCGTCTTTCGCTTGCGTGTCAGAGCCAGTGGTCTTGTCGGATTTGCCGCCCTTCTTTTTCTTCTTGTCAGATGCCGGCGGCTGTGGTTCCTCGTCCTTTTCATCCTCGCTGTCGCTGCTCGAGTCGCTGCTCGTGCTGTCATCAGCGCCTGCGTCCGAGTCGGAATCGCTCGAGCTGTCGTCGCTCGAATCCGAGGACTCGGAGTCGCTGTCGCTGGAGGGCGAAGAGCTTTGCACCTTCGCCTTCTTCGCTGGAGGAGCGTCGCTGTCCTCCGACGAGCTCGAATCATCCGAGTCGCTTGCACTGTCGTCAGAATCTTCTGACGATGGAGGAGTCAACACCCGCTTCCGTTTTACGCCCGCTTTCGTGGGGCTTGCATCTGAGTCGTCGCTGTCCGAGCTGCTGTCTTCGTCGGAATCATCGTCGCTGGTCTCTTCAGCTTCCACGTCCACGAGAACTCCTTCTGCCTCGTCCTTATCCGACTCGTCATCACTTCCGCTGTCATCGCTGCTCGACTCTTCTGCGGCATCGTCCTCTTCACCTTCCGGGCCGGGCAGGGTGGGGAACTTGTCGTTGGCGTCATGCCACTCTTCATAGAGGTCGAGCAGGGGAAAGGCGGTCTTGGCCTGGATTCCACGCTCCCACTTTGCAATGTCGAGGATAAGGTCGTTCTTCTTGGCCTCCTTGTACAGGCTGGCGAAGGTCTTGTTGTAGCCCAGCTGGTCGAGGAAGTGAGCAATCTGGGTGAGGACGTCGAGCAATTTCGGCGGGGGTGCCTCGTCGTCGGACCACAGCTGCGACAGGTCGCCCGTGAATGCCATGGCGGCGGGAGGTGAGGTATGGATGGTGGAGGAGTGGAGGAGGAGGTCGCTGTCGGGCGGCGGTGAGGGGCGAAGGGGCGAAGGGGCGAAGGGGCGGAGTGGTGGTGTGAGCGGAGGCAATGGGCAGATTGGTTAACCTTCAAAAGTTCGAGAATTGGGAGAAATTAACGTCTGTGCACGGCAGGGAGCGGTCCGCGCCGCAGAGGGAGCAGGCGAGGAACACCCGTTCGCCGAACGCCGATGCCGATGCCGATGTTGACCTTCGAGCTTTCCACCTCCACCTCGACCTCCACCAACACTCTACCACCACCACCCCCCTATCTCCACACCGCCGCCATGGCGCAGCAAATCCACTTCGCGGAGACGATCCGCAGCATGAAGTTGGCCATGAAGCGCCGCGCCGACGACTCGGACCACAGCGCCGCCGACGTCCCCCACCGCACGAACCGCGGCAACAAGCTGATGCGCCGCGCCAGGTACGTCCAGCAGGACCGTCTGGACGACACGGGGCGACTTGCCTACCGCCAGGTACGTCTACAAACCGCCTGAGGTATACGGTGGACTGACGAGTGTCGTACAGAAAGTCACCCACGCCGGCTACACGCGACACACCATCTCCACCAACCCGCCCCTGTTCGACGACGACGGCGACCTCTACTCGCCCGCCTCCTCCGACAACGAGAATGACGACCGCTACGGCCAGCCCATCGACGAGAACCCGTTCGGCGAGGTGCAGCTGGAGAACCTGCTCCGTCCGCTCACCGCGGCCGCCGAGCTGCCCACCCACCCGAGTCTGAGCATCCCCTACAAGAGCACGGCGGTGACGCAAATGGCCGAGGAGGCGCTGGAGATGCTGAGGAGGGAGCGCAACAATCTGTGGAAGGCGAAGCACTTGCTGCAGAGGTTCAGAGGAGACGCTGACTGGGTACCGAGCGCGACGTTCGAGACGGAGCACGATGATACGCTCTTGAATGGGGAGGGGAACGTGGGAAATCAGAGCGCAGTGCCCAGTATCATTACGGATCAGTTACCATTGGAGTTCGAACCTCCCGCCGAACCAGACGTTCAGATGGTGGACGATGTGGTCAAGCCTGCACCCGTTGATCACGCTAGCCTCGTCGACGGAGAATCGGTGCGAGATGCTGAGGCGGTAGATGCCATGGTAGTGGATGCGTTGGCCAAGGACGAGCCAGCCAAGGCGCAAGAGACCGAACCAGGCGAGCCTGCGAATGCGCCTGGCACAGAGGTGAATGGGGAGATAGAGCGGCCGGCAGCATCGACTGGGGAGAACGTGGCACCAGAGCAGGCACCAAATCCCAATGTCTCGGATATCGCGGAGCGAGAGGCAGCGTCAGAGACGGCCTCCAACAGCAACGGCACCAACACTCACGCCATGACGACCCGGGCTCGAGCTCGCTCTCCCGCTGAACGGTCAGATCGCACCCCTTCCCCATCGCCCAGCGACTCCGCTTCGATTCCAGTGGTCCATCCGTGGTTTGTTGCGCCGTCCACGTCTCTGTCCGACCGCGACCTTGGTCTGCCCGTCAATGAGGCCGACGACACTCGCAAGCTGCTGCTCCTGTACGTCCAAAAGCAAGAGCAAGTCGTGCGCTCCCTAGATGCGCTGTACATGGGCCTGCAAAAGACGGACCGCCTGCGGCAATACGTGTACAGGAGCTGCAAGGCGGAAGCGCATCTGGTGCCCGATGGCAAAGGCAACATGGTCACCGAGATGAGCGACGGCGAGGATTGGTATGACATCTCCGACTGGGGTCTGCAGCCACGGGAGCTCAAAGATGGCCAGTTGGAGAAGGGCAAGGACGAAGTCGAGGACGTGGAAGAAGAAGGTCGCAGGAGACCTGGCCGTGGAAGGCGGGTGAATCGTATATAGTCCCCTGATGAATAGATGCATTGATTCATGTTGCTCTCAGTATTTCACCGGCTCGTTTTAATCCTGGCCGAGACGCCGAGGGAACGTCATCGACGGCCATGGCAATTTCTATCATTTTCAGGCCTCTGCCCTCGGCGATACCCTCGTCCGCAAGTACGTCTTCCAACTCAGCCCACGTCGACACTTTTCGTGAGATCACGGGGTAGTCGGAGCTATTGGTGGGGGCACCGAAGAAATGAGCTACTTCGGTATACTGCCAGGCTGGGACATCGTTGTACTCGGCCTCCATGCCGTTGAGCCAGCGTTCGTACGCATACCCGCCGTTGTTCAAGAGAAAGGTCGTCACATCCAACCGGTATCGAATGATGTCTGACAACGCTTGACAAGTCACCTGGAAACTGCCGTCGCCCTCGAACAGGATGGTCCGGCCGGGAATCGCCAGGTCTCGCTTGGCCGCCGCAACTCCTTGGGCGGCGGGAAGCATTTGGCCGATGGAGCACCAGATGCCCGAGGCGATGACCTGCGTCGGTGTGGGCAATCGCAGGTCTCTGCCTCCGATCAGGGGCGTTCCGTTGGCCAAGAGCTGCGTGTCGTACGGCTTCAACCAGGCTGACATGCGTGCCCAGAAGTCGTCTTGACAGATTGCAGATCCATGAGGTGGTGATCGGATGGGGTCGTGTGATATCTGGTCCTTTGGTCTCCCCTGCTCTCGCCCCATCGCTTTGAGTCGACCTGCCAGCTTCTCCAGCAGTGGCTTCGAGTGCAAGTGATAGACTCTGTGTCCGACAGTGATGGTGTCCAAGCCGAACGAAATGCAAATCCCTGGATCCGGAATCGCAGACCAAGCAGCCGTGTTGGTATCGCTGAGCAATGGACCAAAGAGCAATGCGAGGTCGGTCGTTGCGCTCAGCTCCGTTTGTCCTGTCAGTGGACCTTCCCATGACGGCAAAGATTCATCCACCACGCCTTTGCCAGCGTTGTAGCACATGGTGGGTATGTTGGTCGATTGGACTATCGTGTTGACTTCGGCGATGAAGTCGAACGGGTAGCTCAGCCCGTCTGCAATGATCAAAGGGTTCTCGGCCGCTTGGATCCGACAGAGAATGGTGGAGATGACTTGCTCTTCTTCGGCGGCATTGTTTGTCGGACGGCTTAAATCCAATGGACGGTCGAGCAGGGCCGCTGGTACTGGAGCTGAGACAATGTCACTCGGCATGTTCACGTACACCGGCTTGGACTGTCGTACGCATTGTTCGAGGGCATGGTCGTAAATGCGCGCGGCTTCTTGCGCCTCATCACATCTCAGGTCCGCTTGGGCGCAGGTAATGTGTTTCGCCATCTCCGTGTAGACTCCCAGGTTCCCGTCTGACAGACTGTGATGGACACAGGCACCTGTCTTCCATTGCTTTCGCGAAGGCGAGCCCACCATGTGCACCACAGGCACACTCTCGGCGTAACTACCCGCCACGGCGTTGATGGCAGACAGTTCTCCCACGCCGTAAGTCGTGTACAAAGAGCCGACTCGGGGCGTAAGGGCCTTGTGTGGGCCAGCTGCCGTCGTGAGACGAGCCATTCCGGCGGCTCTGGCGTACCCATCGGCCGCGTAGCCTGCGCAAAGCTCATTGGCGTTTCCGATCCAGCGGATATTCGAGGCAGACAAGAAGTCGAGGGCTCGAAGCGTGTAGTCTCCCGGTACGCCGTGGATGGAATGACAGTTGAGCTGATGGAGTCGAGAGAAGATGTGCTGCGCAAGCGGGATCGTCGTCGCCTTCGTCGCCATGGTGGTGTCTTAACGGAAACAACGATCCTGAGATCAGGATGGCCTTCTTGTATCGCGATTGTCTCAGTGCGGCCTGAGCATTTTGCAATGAGATGTGGTATGTCTGAAACCCGAGCCAGGCGGCGAGGAGCTGTCAGACGAAACTCCGAGGGCCGATCGTCTCACCAAGTTGGCGAGTGTGCGGCGGACCGCCCTGTCGCAATAGTACGTCCAAATATATCAACCACAACTCAAAGGTCAGTCAGTCGCGCGGATGGGCGGAGCTCGTGGAAGGTCACTCAGTGAATGTGCCAATCAATCAATGTAGTTCAAGATTGTGGAAGTCGTGAATTGTTGAGAGAGAAACCAACATGTTCGAGATATTGTTTGATGCCCAGAAATTATGCCTATCGCCGCCTCGTACCGCCAAATCCAGTACTCTCATGCCGGCTACTCGATGGCCCAGCAGCGCTCGATCCTCCCCAATCGCTCCTCGGTGATGGCCGATCGTACGTAGGAGAAGTGTTCGTCCCGCCGAACCAGTTCGAAGCTCCTGGTCTCGCCTGATTTCTATCCTGGCGGTTGCCATACGAACCTGCTGCATAGCCTGCCGCTGCTCCAGCTGCAGTGCCACTCCAGAAGCCAGGTCGCCAGGGCTGATTCTGCTGTCTGCTGCTGGAAGAGCGTGAGCTGCTGGATCGTGTGGTTCCGTAGGACTTGGGCTTTGGTGCTCGCGGAGTGTACGGTGGAGGTGGGTCGTCGTTATCGTCGCCACCACCTCCGAAACCACCGTGGCCTGTTCGAAAGCCATCGCCGCGCCTTGGTTGTTGCCCTGACGGAAAGAATACGCTGTAGAGTATTACGAGAACGATGACTGCGGAATTAGACATTAGCGAACCTTCCGGAGTTTTTGATTTTGCATTCTCAGCGTACCTGCAAAGACAATCCAAAAGATGATCGCCGCCGGCTTGTCACTGCCAGGCTCATCGCGGTCCTTGTTACGTGTTTTCCAAGGTCTTTGATTGATGCGATCGCGATACTTCTCCTGCCCGAGTATCAGCACACGTTACAGCACCTACGACAATCAACCAGCTACATCGCAACGTACCTCTCCCAAATCAGTGAGCATCAACCGATACTCAACTCCACACGAACCCTTCAGAACGAACGGATCATCGGCATTATCGTAGCCCTCACAAACGACATCGGTACTGCCCAGCTTGAACTCCGGAGGCAGATTCGCTTTGCACGTCCACTGAATGTCTTCCGTGTCGTACTCTGCTCCCGAATTGGTGCACCGCATCACATCGACATCGTAGAGACCTTTCGCGTTGCCACCAACGCAGCTGAGTTGAGGGAGCGCCGAGACTCGTCGGTGGGAGGTGTGTTGGCCATCGCGTAGGGTGAGGGACTTGACGCTTGATAGCAGGACTGCGTCGTTCTTTTTGTTCTTTGCGAATATCGATGGGGTCAGGGCCAGGAGGAGGCCGAGGAGGTTGGTGACACGCATGCTTGTCGCAAGGGGTTGTGGCGCAGGAGTTGTAAGAGGAGAGATGTCGTCGCAAGGACGAGAGATTTTTGATCAGGTTACCACATGCAAGACGATAAGTGGCGTCAACAACAAAAGTGGTGGTGAAGTGTGGCGATGACAGCTTGCAGTAGTGAATGTCTGCCTTGAGTCGTTGTTGATGCCTCAGGCTCCCACAAAATGTGGGAAAGCTCTGCGCTGTGTAACCCACTGTGAGGGCAGGTGGGCCGAGCTGGCTGCACGTTGCAGGTGCACCAATTAAATTTAGATAGCTCTAACAATGTGTCGTGGACTGCTCCAGCATGCACGTGACCTCGCTACTTAGCGTGCTACTAGCGGCTTGGCACGACACGCCAAAGGTGCGATCTTTCTTAGAATTCCTTTAGTCCTTTATAGAGATTATTATAACTATAAAGGGCGATGCCCTAGATATAGTGCACTGGCCTCGTGCTTACGGCTTGGCGTACTGCACTAAAAAGGCCGGGCTCCGCTAGATAGATTCCTCTCCTCTATCGACCCTATTAAATACTACTACAAACGCCTATATACACGTGTTATAGATCGTCGGTCTTGCTTAGCGAGTTACCTAATCCTAGAGCACGTAATAGAGAAAGCGCGATACGCGGTCGTGATACTTACTTTCTCTGCTTACTCTACTCTCTCTACTTTCTTAGGAAAGTATAGCAAGTATAGCGAGCACGACGAGAATGGAGAAATCTCCTTTGTATATAGGGACGACATTGTACTTACTACAATAGCGTTTAACTTACTGTTCAATCTTACTGTTTAATTTAACATAACACCTAAACCTCTACTTCACCTAATTATTAGTAGTCTACCGACTCTCTCCCTTTAACGAGCTCTAACTAAGGACTTAAGCTGAGCACCTGTGCTAAGTAAGATTCTAGGATCACCAAACCGATCCTAACAACACGCTGCTCGCCCGTAACAATAATCTTAGTAAACGACACCTTTTGTCTAGTCTTACAGTACTTCCGTGTTATAATGTAATACATTTTACTATCTAACAGCGCTACAACACCTATTAGGTATAAGGAGTCTTTACTAGAGAATAGCGTTAAGCGTAAGTACAAGAGATCTATAGCGTATAGTATATATAGGCGTAATAGTTAAATATTCGACAGTCTATCTAAGAGGTAGCTAGGAAAGTGGAGTAGTAATAGTAGCGCTAAGGCTCGGCGTAGGCCGAGCTACGGACTAAGTCCTATTACATAGTAGTATGTTACTATCGAGTTAAAGAGCTAGGCCTATAATAGTAAGGGTCCTATTAAGGATCCTAGGCAAGGGATACTAAGAAATTAGATAAGAATATAAGGACACTACTACTACTACTACTACTACTACTACTACTACTACCTAGGGTCTCTCGGTCTACTCTCCGAGGCCGCACTAACCTAGTACTAGTAGCTTAGCGGCTACGCACCTATATAGGCAGATTCTGCTCCTCCTCCTTTTTGCTCCTTAGACAATACTTAATTGGATAAGCTGCTGTTTACTTGTATCGCTGTTTTCTGCTTATACAACCTTATAGTGTATTATACGATGAACTACTACTACCGCGCTTTTAAGACACACTCTCTTTGTCTATACTACAATATCTATCGCTTGTGCGGACCTTCTGTCCTTCTCGCTTAGAGTCGCTCTCTATATGTAAAGGGCGATGCCCTAGATGCAATGCACTAGCCTCGAGCATCGAGACTAGTGCTTACGGCTTGGCGCACCGCACCAAAAAGGCCGGGCTCCGTTAGATAGATTCCTCTTCCCTATCGAACCTGTTGAATACTAATACGAACGCCTGTGTACACGCCGCTCGCCTGTAACACTATAGCGAGTACTTAATTGTTACGGACACGTTCCGCTGGCGCAGCCCAGCACGTGACCCGAACTGAGAATTGGGGGCCAAAAGCCCAACTGAGCGCCCAACTGCTCAGGCTGATTAGACTGCTCAGTGTTCAGACTGCTCAGACTGCTCAGATGAGGGACGAATCTCCTTTGTTATATAGGAACGACATTGTGGTTTGTACAATGGCGTTCAACTCACTGTTCAATCTTACTGTTTGGTTTACAATCATACCTGAACCTCTGTCTCAAGATCATCTCAGTAGTCTACCGACTCTCTCCCTTCAACGAGCTCTAACCAAGGACTTGAGCTCAGCACCCGTGCTGAGTAAGATTCCAGAATCAACGAACCGATCCTAACATTAATTTAATACAAACCTATACATTTTACGCGCCTAAGACCCCTCCATCCCCCGCTTTAACTGCGGGGGCGAAGGGCGTATCGTAATTTCATCGCGCGCTGGGATGGAACCCTTGCAGACGACTTGGACGTCTGACCGGGTCGTGTAAGCAGTCGAGTAGCCTTGTTGTTACGAGCTGCTGAGCGTAAGCCCGCGTCAGCTACTTCTGTTGATTACTCTCCCCATTAGCCACCCGGGCCGCGCGCCCGGGTCTAGAGGGGGCCGTGAAGTCAGCTGGCCTTCGATCAACCAGCGACGGATTGATGG